GTCCATTTTGTCCCCTTTGTCTCTTGACTCTTGTCCATGTTCTTCTACCGAGATAACTCTTTAATGGGTGAACTGGGTGGTGTTATATTGATCATTGCAGGAGATGGGGATTCAAGTCACATTGGATTTGAGGTTAAGATGCCCGGCGCCTTTGAAATTGCCTCAGTGAGTAGTAGTAACCCTTTTCTTTTAGGTTCTTGACATGATATTAGAGCCTTTTATTTTACGATAGAGATGTCTCTGTTCGAATCCTGGTGACTATAGGTGGCAATTAGGATCCAAATCCATGAATCCAATCCAATCCATCCACCAAATTATCCACCTAATCCAATCCATTTAAATCCAATCCATTTGATCCAAATCCAATTGGATTGGTGGATTCATGGATCAATCCATGGATCCAAATGGCAAATTACGATTTGGTACCTATATTTTTTATATTTTACATTTTGGTACCTAAAATATATATTTTTATACGAAAAATATCATTGGAAAATTACATTTTGGTACCTAAAATTTTTTATTATGACACTTTAGTACCTAAACTTTTCAAAATTTACATTTTGGTCCAAGCCTTGGATGTTATTTGGATTCATGGATCAATCCACCAATCCATTGGATCCAATCCATGAATCCACCAATCCATTGGATCCAATCCATTTGATCCATAGATCCACGAATTCAATCCACGGATCCACGAATCCGATCCAATTGCCACCTCTACTGGTGACTTAGCTTCATTTGTTAAGCAGATGGCATTTGTACCTGTGTAAAATTCAAACCCGTATTAGGATGCTTTTGATTGAGTGGATGTGTTAGTAAGTAAAATATGACTCGTAATTAAACTTCTCTCAACAACTCGAATTAGTGGTATCAACTGGTTCTTGACCGTATCTACTTCTGCTGCTTACATTTTGCCCTGATGGAATCATTGATGATGAAGGAAAGGGAAACTTGGTCACTTCACTATATTTGTATCAGAACCTTATAGTGTCATTAACTTGTGGCAGAATGAGGTGACAGTCGGGCGTGTTCCTGAGAAAGCTGACATGGTAATCCCAGTTGCTACAGGTAAGAACCAGATCCATTTTGAAACGCCCTTAAAACAAGAATTAAGAACACACTGTGGATTAATGGATTAGTTTGAACAATTTTTTGTCATGAAAAAAGTGTCTGGAGTGCACGCTAGAATCCAGAAGAAAGGAGGGAACCTGTTGGTGACGGATCTGAACAGCACCAACGGCACTTTCATCGGCGAAAAGCGCCTCCGTCCTGGCGTCGCTTACACTCTCGCTTCCGGCGACGTCGTCATCTTTGGTACACTTTTTGATATCCTGACTCCCGCGAGTTTGTTACTTCAAAATAAATCAAATGATGTATCATTCTGTTAAATACGTGAACAACAATGGATGGCAGGGGACATTAACCTGGCAATGTTCAGAGCTTCGAAATTGGAGAACGTGGAAGTTGCCTCTAATGGCTCGCCGGCCGACGAAGAAGCAGTTGCAGAGCCTGAGAAGTCGTCGGAATCTACTAGTAGTTAGACTTGTATCAAGGATTCAATCTAATTCGGTTTTGATCTAGTCAATTTATTTGCTTTCCGATGATATAAACTAAAACGAAAATTCTATGCATAATGGCGAAAATGAAATCAATCTGATTCGACCCGATCCTATCAAAATGTCGATTTTCGGTACAATATGTTTGTAAGAAGAACTTCGATTATAGTGCATGTCTCTCCATGTTTATTGTATAATGGGGTGTGAGATCCATTACCTTGCAATCAAAGCAAGAAAGTATCATTTACCTTGCCTACGAAGTCATACTTTTGCTATAGCTAGTTTGGGGCTTTGGGCCCAAGCCTAGCCTTACAGGCCCAACAAATGGTCCACCTACTTAACAACCTTCGTTACGGGCCCAGTAGTTCCTATTGGTTTTCAACGACTGCGAGCTGAATCTTCCATTCGTCGCCGGAATAGAAACACATCACCACTTTCACGCCATTTCCCTCCGTAAAGGAACTCGCTTTTTCCCATCTCCGATGGACGCCTTGCAGTCCCGCCGAACCGAAGCGATAAGCATCGCCGTCGCCGTTGTCGCCATCGGCGCCGGCACTGCCTACTATCTCTACATCACCAGGAAACCCAAGCCGAAAGGTGAAAAGGTCCTTCCTTTTTTTCATCTTTCTTTTTGGCTGTGAACGAATTCGTGTATGATCGTCGACCGTCATCGAGACTTTGGTTCCAATGCTTTTCTGGGTTTTCCTTGCATTCATTGGGGGGAAAAAGATCGTTGCCTATTGTATCGCTTTTTTGTTGCTGTTGAGTTGGAATGGATCCATGGGTATGCTTTACTTTTTTCGCATTTCTTGCAATTACCAAATGTTTCCTTTTGCTGTATCTTCCATGTTTTGGTAGCCATTGGTGTGGTTTTTTTGGTTTGGAAACCATCCGTTGCTTATGGTTGGAGCTCTTTCTTGACACATTGCCATATGTCTTGGGCAGCAGCCTGCCTGGATCCTGAGAACTTCAAGGAATTCAAGCTTGTTAAGCGCACCCAACTCAGCCATAATGTAGCGAAGTTTCGGTTTGAGCTCCCAACACCTGATTCAGTTCTGGGATTGCCAATTGGACAGCACATGAGTTGCAGGTTTGTTTAGTTTCCCGTGTACTTTCTGTTTGATTCCCCTCCACAAGTGATGAGTTGTTCTATTAGGTAAGAGATGGATTTTATTTTAGTTACTATACCGCATGTTTGATGAACTACAAACTGCGTGTACCAACAGGGGAAAGGACAGTGTGGGGGAAGATGTAGTGAAGCCATATACTCCCACAACTTTGGACTCTGATGTCGGCTATTTTGAATTAGTTATAAAGGTTTGTCTCTAAACTGGGAGTATTTTCTAAGGATTTGGTTCATTAGCATTGCTTTTGTTCTGTATTTTGCTCCTGATTCTAGAGTCGTATGAACAACAGATGTATCCACAAGGGCGAATGTCTCACCACTTCCGAGAATTGCAGGAAGGTGATTACTTGGCGGTGAAAGGGCCCAAGGTAAATGATCTCTCCAATTCTCCTGATGGAAGTTTCAATGGCCTTGCATGGATTTCCTCTTCATTAAGTTCCTTACTTTTCCCTGTGACCAAGCTTCAACATGATCATCATAAAGTCCCATTCGAGTTGCATTGGCGTTTCTATTTACTCTAATAAAACATTGTGGATCTTATGTGTGGATGCTATGTAGACTGGATCCTGGTATAAGTATTGCCATTATGTATGTGTTTGCATTGTCAGTATGAAGTGAGCAGTTACTCCTTTCATTCTGGTGGAAGATACATTACTTAAACTGGACATTTGATTAGTGAAGCATAGTAGCATGCCTTACGATGTTTTAGGAATGTCTAAATAGTAACATAAGGGGTTTTAACATTCTTGAACTGCCAGGGGCGCTTCAAATACCAACCCAACCAAGTGAAAACATTCGGAATGCTAGCTGGAGGCACTGGCATTACCCCAATGTTCCAAGTATGCATTTCAAGATTCGTTCTGATTCTTGAATCATTTGGACTGTTGAAGGCCTCGGCTCTTATTGCCAATGTTTTGTCTAATTTCCAAAGGTTGCCAGAGCCATAATGGAGAACCCTAAGGACAAAACCAACGTAAGCCTCATATATGCCAACGTCACATTTGAGGACATCCTTTTGAAGGTAATCCTCTCTTTTACTCACCATATTCAGTTTCATCACTTTTACAAGTTGCATGTCTAATTTCGACTATATCTGATTTCTCCATATGCAGGAAGAGCTTGATAATCTTGCCAAAAGTTTCCCCGGCCGTTTCAAAGTGTATTATGTTCTGAACCAGGTATTTAGTCCTGAGAAGTAATCTGTATGCTATCTTGTGTCATTATCATGTTCTTTTAGAACTAGCATTTTCACCTTCACATACTTCACCTCAAATGAAACTTGGTTATATGGATATCCATTTCCTATCTTCTTCCTCGCATCAATCTGAATCTGTGTTTGCAGCCACCAGAAGCATGGGATGGCGGCGTTGGATACGTAACTGCAGATATGATTAAAGAACACTGCCCACCACCAACAGCAGACGTTCAGGTGATTTGCCTCCCCGTCATATTTCCATTCCTTTCTTTCCCTCATTTCATCTTAATAAACCGGTTTCTCGTTCTCGGACCCTGTAGATGTTGAGGTGTGGCCCTCCACCAATGAACAAGGCAATGGCAGCTCACCTGGACGCTCTCGGATTCACTCCCCAAATGCAGTTCCAGTTTTGAGAAAAGCTCTTGGAGATGAGCTTTTCTTCTGGTTACCATAGAACAATTGATTGACTGCCAGGGAGGGACGCTACGGCTTATCTCATCTCTTGGCTTATGAGACCAGTTGCAGAACTTCTAAACAGATGCAGCTAATTGTTATACTATGAATGGTGGGCATCCTATTGTTAAATCCCACTTTAAAACTAGATTATACACATTCTTAGAACGGTAATTATACACCAATGTCCGATCTAAAGAGATACAGAAATGCTATTGCAGTATTGCCTGTTAATAATTATATGTAGGCAGGCAATTGTGCTGAATTGGACAGCACTTCATTGATTGTATGATTAAGTTGATGTTAAGAAAAGTAACCCTCTTGATACTGATTAGCAGAAAGTTTCTGCAAATGGTTTGAGCAAAGCAGTTGCGATGAGAAAAGGACCACTGCCACTACTTGCATACTGAACATCGACAAAACTTCGAATTAGTAACCTTGAGTCGTTTCAAAATACATCACAAGCAAAACTCAGATGGCATAAGATCTCAGAAGAAATGATGACGAAAAACAAGCATGTGATGCTGTCACTTAAGTTTATGGTACGCTGATCTGATCCATAACACAATAATACAAACTGGAAAGCCTGCAGCTAATCGACGAAGAAATTAGTACACAACAAAAAAAGGAAAACAAGGAACAAAATTCATCTGGGATTGCAAGCTAATCACCGCCTTCTCATTCCCCGTCCCCTACCTCCTCGGAAAGCTCCTCCACGCCCTCGACCACCCATGGCGGCAGCATCTCCTTGAGCACTCTCAGACTGTGCCATCAAACACGAGAACCGATAACAGCATTCAGTTACAAGATGCACTAATTGCTTGAAAATTCACCAAGGATGCACTTATTTGGCTACTAAAGAATACACGCAAATCCACCAAGGATGCACTAATTGCTTGAAAATTTGGCTACTAAAGAATACACACAAAGCGATGAGGCTAATGATTCGAGGTACAAGAGCAAAACCGAGTACCAATGACAGGACCCTACAAGTTCAGTTGCAGTATGAGAATTTTTTTTTTTTTTGGCTGGTTGATAGATGCTATGAAGTTCAAGGTTTTACTCTATGGCATCTTTTAAGGCTAGGGCAAACCAATGGTGCATTGCCTACAGGCTTCAGTCACTTGTAGTTGACTGCTCAGTACTCCCATTCTTTGTTCAAACGTTAAGAAAAAACTTTGGGGTTGAACAATGTCCAGAAGACAGTATCAGAAGCACAGTAAGAGTAAGAAAGATCAGATAAGATTTTCACCTTTGGGTTCTTGACAGTCTCGTCGACACTTAGAACAAGACAAGCAGCTTCGGTAGCAGCATTAATAGCATTAATCTGCAACAATGTATCATGCATGTACAAGTGTCAGCACAGAGATCGTAGAAAACAGAAAGAAGTAACCGGCCCAAGTAAATAATGAGGGCTCGCCTTGACTACAGCTGGCTCCCAGACAAAGTTTGCAAATGAATCAGCAATGCCGCCAGTGTTGATGTCCACCCCGTAAGGAGCACCCTCACCTATAGAAAGCCAAAAAATGTTAACACTAAACAGTGATGTTTTATGCATTCAATTAGGTTGAGGAAGAATTACAACAGTATAAAGCCTACCAGATGCATGAGCGTGCTTCTGTCTCAATTTGTTCAGCACATCAGTAGCATCAAACCCCGCATTGTCGCACAGTTGCCGAGGGATAATCTACAAAAGGAAAAATGCCAAGCCATTAGCAGGGCATCGTTGAGGACACATAATAAATAGATATCAAATGTTTTACAGAACTTTCTAATGAAATACTAGACAACCAGATCTACTCTACGACACAAGACTTTTGTAAATCCAGCCGTTGGGACAAAAAAATCTGACGAAACTATCCTGTCATTTGCAAATTTACAATGTAGTTATTATAAGAAAAAAGCTTGAGGTCTGGTAAGTAAACCTCAGGAAGTCATTGTAGCAAGAATCTACTTTTCTTACTATAATACCTTCCTGATTAGTTAAAAGCCAATCTTTAACTCAACAAGATCGAGCTCTTGTAGGTCTAGGGACACGAGGACCCCTCACATTTGAAGGCTATACAGTAAAGGAGCTAGCGCCTAGCAGCATACTACATTGTCATGTTTCTCTCAAAATTACCGATTTGAAAAAAATATAAGTTGGCCCAGGAGGAAATTATAACTTGAAAATAAGACATGACTGCCTACACCTTCAGAACTCAATAGAACAAGGACTGAATACCTCGAACCTACCTCTAGAGCTTTGGCATATGAATTGATGAAGAGCTGAGACTTTCCAAGAATGCTGCGAGCATGCTGCCTCAGGTAGCGGCTTATCTCCATCTGAAACAAAAACAGGAGGTTTCATCCTTAAGACACTAACAAACAAGAACATCCACAAAACTGATTGAATGAGTTACAATAAGCCACGTACATCTATAGCTCCACCACCAGCCACCACTGTTGAGTTCTTCAGAGCCCTTCGGACTATCATGATTGCATCATGTAAACTCCTTTCAGCTTCCTCAATGAACTGAAAATATGAACAAAATGAGTCCAAGAAAACTGAGTCTCAAAATAAGAAACAGCTGAATAGCATAACATTTATTAATTGCATCAACAAATTATAACCTGATCGGCACCACCACGCAGAACTATAGTTGCGGTTCTTCCAGAAGGACATCCACTGAATATATTAAATCGCTCATTTCCAACTTGCTTTTCCTCGAACACCTCACAAGTCCCAAGAACCTTGTACCATAAGAATCACTTTCAGTTGCTTACCAAGAACAAGCCAAATGCCTACAAGTGTATTTACAGCGATAAAGTTAATATTATAATCCCAAGAATACAGTATGCAAGTTCTCACCTCGTCAATCACATTGTTGACGGTAGTTTGAACAGTTCCACCAGATGCTGCAGCAACCCTCTGAAGATCTTCTTCAGCTACACGTCCAGCACAGAAGATATCCCGGTCGGCAAAGTACTGAATTAAGGAGTTTGTTAATGACGGAGTTAAACCAGAGAAAGGAATTAATGAGCAATTTCCTAACATATTATTAGATGCAGCCAAAATTGAAATGGTAATAGTATCTCCCGTCAAAACAAAACTTAAGCTCATTGACAAAGATAATTACAAGGATTCAGGACACCGCCACACCGGTATTAAAGAAAGAAAAATAACTATCCAAATGCATGCCAAAAGAACAACGGTTTGCAGCTGACAAGTATGTTTCCAACAGAAAATTATTGGCAATTCTATAAATTATAAAAGAACAGAAAAATATTGAGAAAGAAAAACAACATTAAACTACATTTTAAGGAAATAGTAAATCCCACCTGTGTTGCTAGATCACCAATAGCCAAACGTGAGAGGACCACTTTGGCACCACTTTGTACACATTTATCCAATTTTTCATATATGATATTCCACTCCGCATCAACAATTGACTGATACTGTGATGGATCAGAGAGCCTGTAGCAAATTATGGAAGATCAGACTCACAAGTCATATATATCAAATTCTATCACCGAAGAAAAACAATCCAGGAAGATTATGCAAGAAGAATCAACCTTATCTCTGCATTTTCTTTCTCAGATTTCAGTTCTAATTCAATGTTGAGTAACAAGATCTTTGGATTCAGAAACTTCTTAGGTTGCTGTTCAAAACCAGCATAAGAAAATGTCTTCTTAAAGGCAACACCATCGACTAGAAATGAATCGCGCATATTACCACCTGGAACCTGTGACATAACGACATATACAAACACAATCAGGACCCACAGTGAAATATACAGACAGAAAAATAATGGTTTAAATTCAACCATGAACCACAGCAATAATACAAGCCTAATATGTGGCAATGTCTAACTTAAACTTGGCTACTCTTCACCACTTGGTGGTCAAATACAGCCATACAGGCAACACGATTGCTGAATTTGAACCACATATGATTCTTGTACAACATTGCAGCTTATAAGGCAAGGGATGAGAATAAGTACCACAGATCAACAAAAAGAATTCCCCTAATGCATGTCACAGATTTCACATCATATAATAACCCTCATAAAATATGCAGAACAGACACATTTTCCATTTTCTTCTCTTTTTCTCAAGTATATAGATGGAAGTGCATAGACTTCAACAATCAGCTACAGGTATATCAATAAACTATTATGAGCTCTAAAGCAGAAAACAGCTAATTGAGTTAAACATAATCTTTAAATAGAACACATCAACTATTTTGCATTACCAACTCATCGACGCTAATCAAGCCCAAGCTCTTACCTTCTTTATTCCTATCATGTTTAGCCTATCATCGGTTCCAATCGCAATGACAGCATTCACAACCATCGTTGCAAAGAACTCCTTCTCTCCACCTATGAGCTTCGAATTCAGCGTTGTTTGAGCACATTTAGAAAGTAAGCTTTTCTTTTCTTCCAGACTCTTCCCTTCTATGCTGGTCGCTAAACTTTTGACCTTGTCGATGGCCTAGCATTTCAAACAGCTAAGTAAGTAGAAAATACAAAGATTAGCATTGAAAGGATGATATACTGTAGACAAATATTTGATGTCACACACCAAATTGCAGGCCGTTCTATAACTACGTATCAGATTTTGTGGGTGGACTCCATCTTCGATAAAAGGTTTGGCCTCCCTTAAAAATTCTGCTGCTAAAAGAACCACTGTTGTGGTCCCGTCACCAACCTGGAGCGCAAAGAAATAAAAAGGAATAGAAAAGTTACCAGTTAAAACATTGACAGCCAAATTAGCTGGATAAAAAAGCTTGTTCACCAAATTGGTTTGTACTTTTCCATGGAAGATAAATAGCTCATCAATCTATTTATGAAAACAACCATTTTGGCAAAAGATTGCCTCACGGATCATGCAATCAAGCCCTGTAATAGAAATATGTTAACTTGCTGCAGCTATCACTATAAGCCGCACCTGGAACAATTTACCCCAAATCGCTAGCAGAAACCATCATGCCAAAAGACACAAGATTGAGGCATTCTATAGAGGGGGGAAATGTATGCCCACCTTGTCTGTCTATACATAAGACCATTCAGAGGAACAGGGAGAGAAATCTTATAACGAGCACTCTCCATATATATCTATCATAAGCTCAAGATCTGTTTTTGCCACTAGGAAAGCCACAGAAACACATAAAACGCCATGTCTAATCCGTCACTAATCGATGATTCAAACTCCCTCAAAGAAACAATGTCACATCAGTTTGAAGTGTTTCATTATCTAATGCTACCTAATTAAGCAATACCAAGTTAAAACCAAAACTTGCATCGGGGAACGAATTCAACGCCCAGCTCCTCCTCCATACAGCATCAAAACAACACCATTCGCATCGTAACATGACTTACTTCCACATCTATACCAACAAAACAGAGAAAGCAAGCAGACAGCGCACCTCCGAATCCTGGGACTTGGCAATGTCGACTAAGATCTTAGCAGCAGGATGTACGATATCAAGCAGCTTCATGATAGTAGCCCCATCGTTCGAAATGGTGACGCTCCCATTGGCATCATGGATCAACTTGTCCATCCCTCTGGGGCCGAGGGTCGTCCTGACCACATCCGCGACTGCAGTGCAGGCGTTGATGTTGCTGACGAGCTGCGCCTTCCCTTGGGAAGTGTCCGTGCCTTCCTTCAAGAGTATGATCTGCGGTTGCTGCTCGTCGCCATTTCACAATCACACCCAACAGAGATGCAGAGGGAACAGAGAGTCAGTAAGCCAGTAGTGCGAAGATTTGGGGGAACAAGAGAAGTTTGAGAATGGGAAGTAGATATGCTTACCATCATAGACGCCATTGCTGGCGCGAACTAGGGTTGCGATTAACGGAACTGGAGACCGCGACTGAAGTGTGGAGATGCGAGAAAGACAGTTTAGGGTTTTTCGCGCTGCTGCGTTGCTTGCTCTCTGCTCGGTGAGCTTTGATTTCTTTCGAATTTCTCCAATTGACGGGTCGGTCTGGTTCATAACCGAACCAAATTTAGAATGGACCGGACAAACCGTCCGGGGAACAGTGGCGCCGTTAAATGATCTTTTAATGGGCCGGAGGCCCAGAACGAAGCGAGTTGATTAGAAGTTAAACCTAACGTGCCGTTTGGAGCTGCCGTCTTTTTAATGTTTAACAAATTAGTACCTATACTATATTATATTCCAGAACAAGTCCTCATACAATGTCACCATTAAGAAACTAGTCCTTCCATTCACCATTCTGCCAAAAGGAAAGTTTACAAACTAGAAACAACTCCGGCGTCTCTATCCTCTCTCAGACGAACCGATTAAGAAGCTCCACCTCGCCGCCGTATCCCCGGGCCCGGCCAACAATCCGGCACCGGATCAAGCTCCCGACCGTCCCCGCAAACATCCTCAGATCCTCCCACCCATTCCTCTCCGCCAATCTCTTATACAGATAGCTATCGAACGTCATCCTCTGCACGTACTCGTCGCCGCAGAGCTCGACCAGCGCCTCCCTCGCCGCGTTGCTGCGGTAGAACACCCGCTGCAGCCCGTCGAGAAACCTGAACGTCGTCGCGAACTCGCCATCCCACTGCCGTAGATACTCCCTTCTCAGATCCGCCTCTCCGATCGCCTTGTCGCCTCCTTCCGACGCCTTCACGATCGCCTCGCCGCACATCCGGCCGGATCTGGCGGCAAAGTAGATCCCTTCGCCGGAGCACTTCGTCACATAGCCGGCAGCATCGCCGATGAGCGCCACCCGGCCCCGCACACGGACCGGGCGCGGGTGCTCCGGAATCGGGTGGGCCTCGACCCGAATCACTCTGCCTCCGGAGATCTTTTGGCTCACCCGCTGCCGGATTCCTTGTTGGTACAATTTGATGCTCTGCTTCGAGGAAACAGTCCCGGTCCCCACCGCCACGTGGTCGCATTTGGGGAAAACCCAAGCGTAGAAGTCGGGGGACACGTCATCGCCGACGTACATCTCGGCGAGATCTCGGTAGTACTCCATTTTGTCGTCGGGGAGGCGGATCCGCTCCTGGAACGCCATCGCGACCGCGTAGTCGCCGGCGTTAATCGACTTCGCGACTCGGCTGTTGGCGCCGTCGGCGCCAACCACGGCGTCGACGGCCAAGGTGCGGATCTGGCCGTTCAAGTTGTGGTGGATGAGGTAGGGCTCGGCGGCGGAGGAAGGGACGTCGAGGCGGGTGACGAGAGCGGGGACCAATTGAGCTCCGGCGGATTCAGCGCGGGAGCGGAGGAAAGAATCGAGGACCTCGCGACGGAGCATCGGGATGTACTCGTGGGGTTTTAGCGTCTTGGAGCCGAAATCGACGGTGAGATTGGAAGGGGAGACGATCTTCATCCGGGTGACGCGGCGGTCGACTAAGTGAAGAGGGATGTCGAATTCGTCGAGCATGCAGAGCGGGATGGCTCCGCCGCAGGGCTTCGGAGTTTTGGTGTTGTTGCGCTCGAAGAGGAAAGTCTCGATTCCGCCGGCGGCAAGGGCCTCGGCGGCGGAGGAGCCTGCTGGTCCTCCACCGATGACGGCGACGCGGAGCTTCCGGCCGGTGATGGGGGCATTGGAGGCGGCGGTGATGGTGAGGGGACGGATTCGATTGGAAGGCCTGCGGTGGGAAGGTTTCTGGTGGGGATTGAAGAGGAGAGAGTGAGCTTGAGCAGCAGCAGCCATGGATGGAATGTGGAGACTGGAGAAAGGATTGAGGTAGTTTGGTGGGTTAGTTCTTGATTAATCAGAGTGATTAGTGGAAGTCCAGTGATTAGATTAGCCTAACTTTGTGGTTGCTGCTTTCCTCTTTGTCTTTCTTTTCAGCTTTATGTGAATAAACATATTTAACTAGTGGGATTATCAATTTTTAATGGAGTTTTGTCCTCTGTTTTTGGCCAATTTCGATAAGAGCGTGGTTGTTTATTTTAGTCTAATAACAACAAAATCTAGAACAAAAATCAAATAATTTTGATATTTTCCGTGATGTAATTAATCAATCAATTCCTGCAGCTTGTGGTGGTGGTGGTGTTGGTCGCCGGATAAGGAATTCTCCCGAACGCCGCCGGAGTTCCCCGGCGAATCCTTCCTTCTCCGGACATAAAATCCCTGTTTATATGATGTTTCCTCTATTAAGGCAAGGAGCTAGAGATCGGAAGAAAACCCTTCTCCTTCCGTCCCCGACCAACACTATTTCACTGATCCGGTGATGAGTAGTGAGTAATTAATTCAACTACCCGACGAAATGATTCCTCTGTTTCCGCCATCGCAGCGGTTTCTCTATGGAAAACAGAGTATCCCCTGTTCTCCTCTGTTCTAGCAGTATTTCATTATCCGATTAATAATGGGTTAACCGCCGGGGTTCATCTCCGACGAGACATCAGACATGGATGGGAATGTGGAGAAATGATTAAACGAGTTTGGTCTTTGGTGGGTATTGATTAATCAGACTGATCAATTGCTATTAATGGAAGTCCATTGATTCAGAAAGTAGAGATGAAATCTCCAATTTACTTGATTCAGGGCACATGATAAGGAGGGAGTAATGAAGTCTCAAACAAGTTCTTCACTGCAGTGGGATGGCAAATGCTGGTTGCAGCAGAGTGTTCCTGATCAACAGACCAAGCTGAATCGGCAAGAACCGAGTTGACTCGCTGCGTAGGATTGTACAGATCCCACCATACATGCGGTGAAGAAGATAAGTTGCAGGCCATCTCCTCCGACAGGCAACCAATCACCACGCCGTGCATCCCCAATCCACAGCACGCATTCTCCGTGTCTTCAAATCCTGTCAGTTGAATTCGTCGAATTCGTAACAGGTTGAATTCGTAACATAACGTTTCAATCGGTATAACTTGCTTGTACATTACCACGATTTCACTAGGTAATGAAGCACACATAAACAGTCACACATTACCATATTTTGCAGGATTGGCAAGAATCTCCATGACACCAAGGTAAACATCACAGAAAACCATCTCAGCATCAAACAATTCCTTCTGAAGCTCCACAATTCCATCTGCCAACATCTTGTTATACTCTAAGACCAGTTCGTTTACCTCCTCAACGCAACCATCAGCCATCCCACTTCCATTCTTCTCACCACCTAGCTCCCAAACCGTCTTTGGGGCGCACCCAACGGGCAAAATCCCCATACAGATGATCTTCCTCACGTTCCCTTCGTACAGCCTCCTCACCACCATCACCACCTGGTGCACCAAAACCTCAGCGAACTCCCTGCTCCTCGTCGTCGTGGTGTTTTCGGCCAGGAAGATGTCGATGTAGTCATCTTTCCCGAAGGAGAGGTAGAAGATGGATGAGTTGACGAAGGTTTGTGCAGAGTCCTGGCCCAGGTGGAGGTCGAGGAGCTGGAACGTCTCGAAGACTTGACGGAGTTGTTGGGTGAGGCATTGGTGGCTCTGGCTGTCTATGTTCATGATGGTTGCACCGGCTGACCCGTAGTTTATTCCGCTGGTTAGCTGTTCTATGGTCCCGTTCTGTCTGTAGAATGGCAGGGGACGGTTTGGGAGTCCCATCTTCTCGGCTGCAGAAAGGTTAAAAGAATGGGTTACCAAAACTATGGAGGTTTGTGTTTATCAAGATGGAAACTTAAACTCTAACTCTTATAACATCAAGAATACCGAGGAGGTAAGGGAGGAGAGAAGTCTGGGAGCCTTGACAGGGGAGGAGAGAGAGGTTTCTATGGAGGAGAGGGTAAAAGAGTGTGTTCTCTCCACAATCAACAGAAGAATCTCCCATTATGAACATTGCAGACACACCAGCAGCAGCAACAGCTTGAGCTCGAACAGCAACAAGAACAAGAATCAAGAAGATGGTCATGAATGCTGCAACTTCTTTATCTATCCACCTAGTTTCTCATTCTCGTCCATAATAAAGATTGTTTCTTTTCTTTGCATCTCTTTTCCCTCCTGTTGGGGCTGCAGTAAAAGACTGTTCTACCTAGTTGGCTACCAAATTTGTAATGGAATGCTGATCTTGTGAATGGTCAATGGTGGTGAGTAAACGTGTGATTGATCTAACGAGTCAATTATGCAAACAGTCACTAAACTTTAGTGCCATTAACAAATCAGTCACCCTGACTTCGATCTCTGATATGACCAAGTTGAGGAATTGGTTGGGAACTTGGGACCAAACTTTCCAATAAGGTCAGATGCTTAACAAACCAGCAGCAGAAAAGCCAATGGATAAATCATAACCACACAAGAACCAAGCAGAAAATGCTGCAGAAAATATCCAGAAAAATGGCAGCAGGTTATTATTGATCAGCAAATGGATCAAAGGGACATAAAACAAATCCGTGCAACATCCTCTGTGGAAGCTCCACAATGCTGCTCTCCACCACCTTTCTCGCTCTCAAAGAGAATTTGGCTCGTTTGGCCAATCTCAGCAGCTTCCTCACATCGATGAGCGCCATTTTCCCATCACCAGAAGACGAGACCAGCCAAGGGAACTCGAATGCCAGAGAGTAAACCGGACCAGAGTGAGCAACCCAAGAAGCGATTTTGGACGAGTCGGTATTACCCATCTCGTACATGTGTATTGCCCCATCTTCTCCTCCGGTGAAAAGAAGGTCCCCCATGTGACTTCGAGTGATAGCAAAAACATTCCCAGCATGAGCCTGAGTGACGACATTTAGTAAAGTCCCTCGACGAGTATCCCATACATATACATCTGAACCAGATGCAGCTGCAACGGTGGTACCTTGAGGAACAAGGCTCCAAACCCAGTCTTCATGACTCAAGACCTGCAAGCATTTCAGGGAAGATCGATCCCATACACGAATGGTCATGTCCCATGAACCGCTATAGATTTTTGTAGGGTCCAAGGCAAGACAAGTAATGGGTCCGACATGCTCCCAAAGCCTGAACTCGGATGTGGGATCCTTGAGGTCGAACAAGTGTGGGAGACTTTCAACTGCCTTCCAACACTGGATGAATCCATCTGTACCACCCGCAACCAGTAGTTTTGAATCAGCCGAAACTGCTCGAATGGTGCATCCAAGGGACCGGGATGAAGCCAACGAGAGGCCGTTCTCCATGTCCCACATCTGTACAACTGAGTCATATCCAGAGGTGAAAATGAGCTTGGCGGAAGACAACAGGAAAACTGTCCTAACAGCTTCCTTGTGACCATACAGAACATCGATGCTATAACGTCCCAAGAATGTTCTACTCCTGAACTCCCTCTCCACAAACAGCTCCTTCCAGTTCTTCTCATCTGAAAGCGCTACTACTCCAACCGACGGAGGAGGGACTAGAGGAAGTCCCCATCTTTCACAGTAGACTTCCTTCCAAACCGGATTCTCAGCTGCTAGCCTGTTCAATACGGTCGAGACGCAGGAAACCACACCAAGCTCCTTAGGGTCCAAGCAATTCAGGATTTCAGATATCAATGCTGGAGGAAGGTCGATGATTGAGCGACAAAAACCGGGCAGAACATTATCATCACCACAGGGAAACTCTTGTGCAACAACACTGCTTAATATCTCGCTTCGAGAAGAGAAATTGAACTTGTGCTTTGAAACTGCAATGTCTCTAGGAGTAGAATTTTCTATGCAAGCTCGATTTTCTGTAACGTCAATGCTTGCTTGGCATTCAAATTCCATAAAAAGAATAGCTTTAACCTTGAAAAAGGAGAATCGAAAGGGCAAGCGACGAACCCCAAACCCGCGAAACTGGAAACTCGAAGGAAATCTACAAAAACCCCAGATGAGATCGCAGTCAAAGCTTCAAACTTGTGCAGAGATTTGAACGAACCCAACAACAACGAGTCACCAAACACCCTGAAAACAAAGAGCCCAGATGCGATTACAACACGGAAAATCAAATTAGCCGAAATTGAACGAAACTTCGAAACAGGGGAACTTCGAAACTGAACAAAAAAGGAAGAGACTTATTGCAACAAACCTTCACAGATCAATGAGCGATCGTCGATCCCCAAAAGAATGAACAGAAGAATGGACTACGTAGAACGATTGGAAGAGAGAGAGGGAACCGTATTTGAGGTCCAATCCTTTGCACGCTCGCTGCGTTGCCGGTGATTTCTGGCAGATCGTGCCGTCCTCCACCCATCGGTGGCCAATCAGATCGGACGGTGCATATGAAATCTCCAGCGGTTTGATAGTTAGGTTGCAGCCTTAGGATTTCGCCTTATTTTAATTTATGGTTTAGGAGGACGGAATCTTCGATCCACAAGAGTGACAAGACCACAACCCTTTCCCTTTGCTTGGTAGGTCTATTCTTCACGGGCCGGATTAGCCCAATTAGACCTAAATTAATGCATAGGTATATTCTCAATGGGCCGTCTATCCAAAGGTTGTAGATGTTTAGTGATTACGATACTTTTGCTTTGGGAATGTTCCTTCACTAGGTGACATTTTTGCAACCTTGGTAACTAGTGCAAGAATGTATTGTTTTTTTAGCAAAAGATAATCATATATATTGATCAAAAGATAGTTACATCATGTTTTTTTTTATCCAAGATAAGCCCCTAGGGTACGATCTGAAAAGCGACTCGTGGTCGGGTACATATGAAAGCCTTTTTAGCCACCAAATGGATCCTGATAAAGATGTCCAACTGTATAACGCGGCCTGTGAGGCCTGCTAGAGATTCCACACGTGGGCTCTACAGGAGATGGACGCGAAGGCGATTTTGGCGACCGGAAGTCTTCTCAGGGTGGCGGAGATGTCCATCGATCCCAAGAATAATGTTGATCATACGGAGATTAAATTTACTGAAAGTATTACCGTTTGAAAATTGAGGATTGTACCCCAAGTTGTTGTAGTAATGAACATTAGATTAAGTAGAATAATTTTTTATGTTCTTAATCCTAATCAAATTATATAGACTATAGTTACCATATCATGGAATGGCTCAAGTAGTAATGTATAGAGTTGGAAATTTGGGACCACCCGATTTAAAACTAATCGCATTATAGCCAAGAATTGAAAAGGTGCACTTGATGTTGTACCATAAAAGTCAGTAGTAGAGTATTTTATGCCGAAGCTGTGATTTAATCGTGGTTCAATCATTTCCATACCGTTAAATATCGTCTACCGGTGTCACTTCGAGTAGGAAGGTTTTTCTGGTCAAACCTTGTTTTCCAATCGTTGATGACCGCTGTACCAAGTTCTTGACTAATCTTTGATACAAAAATAGCTGTTTTGCGATTAATTTTTATTTATAATTAAAATAACTTGATAAATAACTAGTAAAAGAAATATATTCTAGGGTTTAGCTCAAAGCCTCACCACTAGTCCACTACTCCGGAATCCCAAACGGCGGCTAGGGCTAGGGTTACGCAAAGCCATGCGGAAGGAAATTCCGGCGGACGTGGAGATCGACATCTTGCGGAGGCTCCCGATAGCAAGCTGCACCGTCCGATTCCGCTGCGTCTGCAAATCATGGCGCGCTATTATTTCCGACCCCTCCTTCTCCCGACAGAAACTATCCTTTTCCGCCGCCGCCGACGACGACGACGCGGCGGGCGAAGCTATTTCCGATCCTCCTCGGCCGCTAGTTATGGTCATCCGCGAATATTGGAATCGGTCAGTTTACTCCCTCCACTCTTGCAAAACATTCAAACCGCTCCTCGAGTCCGTGGATCTGCCCTTCTCTTCGGAGAAAAAGTACCGCATCGCCGGCTGCTGCGGCGGTTTGTTTTGTATGCACGCGGGGAGCGGATTCCACCGTACCATCAAACCCTTTCGACCGGCGACGGATGTGTTCCTCTGGAATCCGACAACCTCGGAGACCAAGTTTTGCCCCGCGACCCTCTTCACCCCTCCGTCCGCGAGCGCGTCGGTTCGCGGCGTCGGGTTAGGTTTCGATCCGGAATCGAATGACTACAAAATCGTCAGGCAAATCGAGTATCAGGAAGAGCAATTCGATCGGAGTAGTAGTAGTATTCGAGTTCGCGACGTTCTCTTCGTGGAGTTGTACAGCTTGAGGAACGATTCGTGGAAGATAATCGACGATATAGGTTAGTCAATGTAGTCAAAATTTGCCATTTAAAGTTTTAAAAAAAACTTACACTTGCTTCTACGTGCAGTTTTTTTTAAACACAGCTTTTGAATACATTGCAGATTGCTCTCTTCGTCTTCCTCTGCTCCCATATTCCCAGCAGCCTCCGTGCTACAAGGGGAAGCTGTATTGGTGGGGCACCGACGCGTATCCGCGAGGCGAGGCTACTCGTTTCGTCACGTTCGATCTGAGCAGGGAAGTTTTCCAGAGAGCGGAGGTGAGGAATCCGGCTGATCGGCCGTGGATTGTCGGTTCGTTGTTCGTGCCGCCGGAATCGTGGACTGAAGGGTCTTAAACACGATGGTATTACATATCCAATAGTTCTAAGTCTTGATAGTTCCCTCTATTGGGTATGAACAAGAAGCTCGTTCATGATTTCTTGTATTAGACGTGGATAAGTAATCATAAGTCTCAAATTTTAGCATGCGAATGTACATAATTGGTGGAGATATTTCGAATAAAACCACAATGGTAGAGGAACATTAACTTTGTGTGATCTCACTCGACTCGAGCGAGAAATTAGAAAATTGTTCAAAATGATCTGTAAAAGGTTTAGAAGGATAAGAAAAAATCGAAAGGTTAATATGTTTTCGTAAATAGCATCCTTATTAAAAAAAGGATTAATGATCGATATGGCCATGTACTCGTGTAGTCAGTATATATCGAAATACATTAGCCACTTAGAAACAACTATACACTATACTTGTCCACATAAGCGAGATTAAGAATTGTTCATGAAATATTGTAGGAATATTCCGTCAAGTTAACTTCCAACTTTTAATTAATTAGTAGGGGTGTCCATTCGGGTTCGGTTTTTTGGGTTTACCCGAAACCGACCCGATTATATACATTTTCGGTTTTTTGGATTCGGGTTCGTTTCGGGTTTCGGTTTTTTCGGTTTCGGGTTCGATTTTGCTTATCGGTTTTTCTGGTTCCGGCTAAGAACCTCCAATGAATAGAACTCAGTATGTATTCTTAGGCGTTCGAGTTTTCGGGTTTCGGTTTTGCTTTAACCGAACCCGAACCCGATAAGGAATTTTCGGGTTCCGGGTATTCAGTTTCGGGTTTTTCGGGTTTCGGTTCGGATAATCGAACCCGACCCGAACTGACACCCCTATTAATTAGTATACAAGTGGATTTTTTCCTTCTTTTTAGCTTTGGATACTTGACAATTAGCTATTGGCCGGGAGCACCACATAGGATTAGTGACGTGGTACTCCCAGTGTAGGCAATAATTCCTCATAGTCTACATCTTCCGGAATATATAGTTTTTCTTTCTCAACCCTCCGAACAGAATCCAATCCCAAAACGGCGGCTAGGGTTAGGGTTTTACGCAAGCCATGCAGAAGGAAATTCCGGCGGACCTCCAGGTCGACGTCTTGCAAAGGCTTCCACTATCCCGGTGCATCGTCCGATTCCGCCGCGTCAGCAAATCATGGCGCGCTCTCCTTTCGGAACCCTCTTTCCTCCGGCAGAAACTATCCTGGCCCGAAACGTCGTCGGATTCTTCTTCTCCGCCGCTGACTATGATGATCGAGAACAATAACTCCCTCCTCAACGGCATCCAACGCGCCAGGTCAGCTTACTCTCTCTACTCTCGCCACGCGCTCATACGGCTCCGCCGCGAGGCGGCGGACATACCCTCCAATTTGCACAACTACGACATTGCCGGGTGCTGCAACGGTCTGTTGTGCTTCTACGAGCGACGCGGCCGACCGGCGGGGGACGCGATTCTTTGGAATCCGACAACCTCAGAAACAAAAGTTCTGCCGCCTACAATATTCAACCGCCGACACACGAGTGCCTGGGTTAATACAGTTGGATTTGGATTCGACCCGGAAACGAACGACTACAAAGTCGTCAGAAGAATAAACTATTTCGAAGATCAAGCGAGTCCGATGGACTTCTTCGTGGAGCTGTATAGCTTGACGACCGATTCGTGGAAGGAAATCCATGGAGGCCCTTTCCTTCCCCTGGTTCCGCCTCCCGAGGTCGCTCGGTGTTTCAACGGGAAGTTGTATTGGTGGAGCCACCCGTTGCGCTATGTATTCGAGCTCGTCTCGTTCGACCTGAGCAAGGAAGTGTTCCGTGGAGGGCAAGTGGGGAACCCAGCCGAGCTATTCGAGGTCCGGTCCTTGTTCGTGGTGCCGAACCAGGAGGAGGATTCGTTGGTGGCGATTGGTTCCCCTCGTCACAACCCCTCCTCTTTGGAGGTATGGGCGCTACTGAGGTTGTGGGTGACCGCGTCGTGGACCAAGCTGTACGTCTTCGCTCCTGACTGTTATGAATTCTGTGGGATTTCGAGGGATTTCGTGTTTTACGATCGTATAATGTATTCGGATGCTAGTGATTGCGTCATGAACGAGGGGAAGATCACCGCCTGCCGTTTGGGGAACGGAGAAATTATAGAGCTTGGCATCTCGACGAGTGTGGTGCATCTGATAGTGAATTATGTGCCTTCTCGAGTTTCTTTGGTATAAGGAAAGGAAGAGTCTATCTGTTTCTGGTTTCATCATTGATCGTTTTAGATAATTGTTGCAGTTCAATCTCAGCTGGGACAAATGCAAGCTATATGTGTCTTGCTGCTGAAGAAATGAAGCCCGCAGTTAAAGAAATGAAGAATGCAGGGGAGGGGAGGTGCAGGACAACTTGGAAGTGATGATCTGTGATGTGTGAAGTAAAGATCAAGTGGCCTGAAGGCTGAAGCTGAATTGAGGCCAGGTCACTTCTTTTGGGACCACAGCTGAGGGTATTAGTTGCAATGTCCCTGCTGGAATTGGTAGGAGACAAGGAAAGCGACTGATGTACTTGCTCCAATCTTTGTTTTGTTGGTTTATGCTTGTTGTTTCCTAGTAAAATCTGTCTAGGGTTTGATGTCCAGTCTATAGAAGGCTTTTTGTTTTTTCAGTTGATGTAATGTGAGTCAAAAGATATATATTGAAATGCAATGGAAATGAGATCGATCTGAAGCTTGAAAGCTCGAATATTGTCCAAGCAGCTCTATTTTTTTTTGGTTACTATTACCTTGGTTTCTTAGTTTTGAAGTTAGCTTTCTACACAATTTCATATTCTACAATAATGATTATACGTAGAGCTCAATATTTGAATCGGGAGTTCATGAATGTTCTAGACTTTCTAGCTAGTACAGCCATCCTAATAAGTGCATGCAAATAAGTTTTGATTTGACTTCTCAAACCTTGAACTTACATGGTTCTTGACCTCCTCTGTAAGCGAATCCAAACCCCCTGTTATGAGACAAGTCATCGTGACGATTCGACAATTTCTGGAGTTATGTATAATTTATACATCCTTTATAATTATGTGTTTCGAATTAATTCAGTGTGTTTGATATAATCGGTAATTATGTGTCTCCTAGTAGGAAAAGAATTAAGGAGATTTGGGTTGTGTAACTCCTATAACTATAGACATGATCAATATATGAAGATTGGAACCGAATTTAGCTAGATTTCTTACTTTTTGTTATTGGATTTATAGTTTTTTTTCGTAGAAAATTTGGGGCAGCTCTCTCCTCTTGCATGCCAAACATCATGTCTCGTAAAAACGGCGCGGCTAGGGCTAAAATGGCTAGACGACGAGCCATGCAGAAGGAAGAAGAAGAAGAAGTCCCTGCGGACCTGCATATCGACATCTTGCGGAGGCTTCCACAATCCTCGTGCATCGTCCGATTCCGCTGCGTCTGCAAATCATGGTGCGCTCTTATTTCCGATCCCTCTTTCACTCGGCAGAAACTATTCTTGAATTCGGAATCTTCTTCCCCTCCTCCTCCTCCGCCGCCGCTAGCAATGGTGATCAAGGACAACAATTTGGGCGGCATGTCAGCTCCCGAGTCATTTTACTCTCTCTACTCTTTTAACGCACTCAAACCATCGCTCCGTGGTGAGGCGGCCGACATCCGCATACCCTTCAACTTGTGCCACTACCGTATCGCCGGCTGCTGCCACGGCCTGTTGTGCTTGTACGACTCCCGATGCGGCCGGTCGGCGGGGGAGGCGATTCTGTGGAATCCGGCGACAAAAGAAACCAAGGTTTTGCCGCCTTCCCTTTTCAACCTCGCACCGCATAGCCAATATGCGTGCTACGGCAGGCTCGGGTTTGGTTTCGATCCAGAAACGAATGACTACAAAGTCGTCAGAGAAATCGACTACAATTACGAAGTTAGAGGATGGAATCATCGGAAGTGTCCCCTTTTTGAGCTGTATAGCTTGACGACTGATTCGTGGAGGAAAATCGATACCGGCTCCTGCAGCCCATTCTCCAACGGGCACCTACTTTATCTTCCTGCGGTTTCGTATCGCAAATTGTCTCGGTGTTATAAGGGGAAGCTGTATTGGTGGAGCGACCACTCGTCATTGTCCAGGTGCAGCACTCAGATTGCTTCCAGCAGGACTCAGTTTGCTTGGTTCGATATGAGCAAGGAAGTGTTTCGAGGAGCGGACGTGAGGAACCCTAGTGATGACCGTTGGGCGGTCCGTTGGTTGTTCGTGCCACCGAACGAGGAGGAGGAGGAGAATGATTCGTTGGTGGCGATCTGTTCCGGTGGTGGTGGCGGCGGCGGCGGCGGCAGAGAGTCTCTGGAGGTTTGGGCATTGATGAAGCTGTGGGTGCCGGAATCGTGGACCAAGTTGTTCGTTGTTCCTGATGACTACTATGACTTCGTTGGGATTTCGAGTAATTTCTTATTTTACCAACGTCACAAGTCTCACGAGCGCTCGAATGATGGTGTCATCGTCGTGAATCCAGCAACGTTGACAATCTCTGCTTATCATCTCGGGACGGGAGAAATTATCGACTCTGTCGTGTCGAACACGATGGTATTTCTAATCATGGATTATGTGCCTTCTCGAGTTTCTTTGGTGTAAGAGAAAGGAGGGTTTCTTTTGGTCCAAGGAAGAGTTTGTTTCTGGGATATTCGTTACAAGTAAACTAGGAGAGGTTGGGATATATATTGTGTTTAATTTGTGTGTGTGTGTGTGTTTTTTTAAGAGAATGACTATCTGTGGAGCTCAAAATGTGATTTGGGAGTTTATTATGAATGTTCTGGACTTTGCGGATATGTTTCTTGATGTACAATGCTATCCGAAATTTTAAGTAAGGAACCTGTTTGGTGCTTACTTCTGTTACGTAGCTCGATATTGGATCTCTTGAATTTGGTATAAATTTCTAAAAAAATATAGCCTCTTATTAATGGCGAGAACAACCCAACTCAATGCACAATTCAAAGTAAACGAAAGGGTAAACATCGCGCTAATGCGCAGTTCAACAACGCCCATTTAAAATAAAATGTCATCGCTATCAGCCTCCTATTATGATTTGTGTGCTTTCCTTTAGACTCTCTGTACTATTTCCAGAATTATGTAAGAGTTGTTTAGGTATGGTCGGACAAACTCCACTTAAATGGTTGTTGTTTAATTTGTCATGACATATATATGAGGCGAGTTTGATTCTTGACTATCTTTCAAAATTGTACTTTAATTATCAACAAACGGTGGCTTTAAGTGATCCGGCATACCTCGCGACATAACATATTTGTTATCGCGCGACTCAATTCAAACATCATTACAAATTACGTAAAAAAAGAATTTTTCATGATAATTGAGTCCAACTCACACATTATAACATATCGCACATAACATATATGTTATTGATTCAATTCACTCATCATAGATATGTCGAATTAATATTCATGGGATCGTGATAGTATAAAACAGATTTACAAGTCATCGTCTCCTCTCTTCAACAAAAATAGAGTTACGAATAGTAGGATTTTGCATAGAGCTTAAACGAAAACTAGTAGGGTTTTTCATATATAGCTAGATTGCCTTAGCTCGACTTTTCTTTCTCAACCCTCCGAATAGAATCCCATACCCAAAACGGCGGCTAGGGTTAGGGTTAACGCGAGCCAGCCATGCAGAAGGAAATTCCGGCGGACCTGCAGATCCACATCTTGCAAAAGCTTCCACTATCCGGCTGCATCATCCGACTCCGCCGCGTCTGCAGATCATGGCGCGCTCTCCTCTCGGAACCCTCTTTCCTCCGGCAGAAACTATCCTGGCCCGACGAAGACGCAGACGAAACGTCGTCGGATAATTCTTCCTCGCTAACTATGATGATCGAGAACCACGACACGGACGGCATCGAACGCGCTAGGTCAGTTTACTCTCTCTACTCTTGCAACGCACTCAAACGGCTCCGCGAGGCGGCGGACATACCCTTCAATTTGCACAACTACGACATCACCGGGTGCTGCGGTGGTCTGTTGTGCTTCTACGAGCGACGCAAACGGCCGGCGGGGGCCCGGGACGCGATTCTCTGGAACCCGGCGACCAAAGAGACCAAGGTTCTGCCGCCGACCCTTTTCAACGTTCCATGCAAGGAGACGTGGGTTCCTGCGGTTGGGCTCGGTTTCGACCGGGAGACGAACGACTACAAAGTTGTCAGACACATCCACTACTACGTTGTTGAAGATGATCCTCAAGGGTTTCGGTTGTATTACTTTGTGGAGGTTTACAGCTTGAGGAACGATTCGTGGAAGGAAATCGACACCGGCGGCTACCTAGAGTCCGACGACGACCCTTTCGATCCTATATTTTCGTATAGCGTAGAGCCTCAGTGTTATAACGGGAAGTTGTATTGGTGGAGGGACTCATCGAGCACTGAGTTTGTTTCGTTCGACATGACCAAGGAAGTGTTCGAAAAAGTGGACGTGAGAAACCCTAAGGTGCGTTGGGATGTCTGTTCCTTGTTCGTGTTGCCGAGTCAGGAGGATTCGTTGGTAGCGATCTGTTCCGTTGGTAGGGACGAGAGTTTGGAGGTTTGGGCGCTGCTGAAGCTATGGGTGCCGGAATCGTGGACCAAGTTGTTGGTCGTCCCGGCTGTGACTCACTTGCAAGATTTGTGTGGGATGTCGGGAAATTTCTTGTTTTGCTATTATCGTGACATTGGGATTGTTGATCCGACGCGAAGAATATTTGTAGCCTATCATCTTGTGACCGGAGAAGCTATCGAACTTGACATGTCGCTACCATATCAAATCATGAATTATGTGCCTTCTCGAGTTTCTTTGACCAAGAAGAAAAACAGCTCCGATTTCGATTAGAGGTGAACTAGTGAAGGGTTTGAGATATGTACGTACATTAGCTTGATTCGATTTCGATGGAAGTAGAGATTATGTATGCATCGATATACTTCATATGTTTTTTTTTAATATATGCTTGCTTCGATTTAGTTTGATGATCGTTGAAATACAATGCATAATCATAGCAACTCATTTTTCATGAACATCGATCGAGCTTGTCTTCATCTTGGCTTTCAGAAATTTCTCCTCGATTATGTCATCATAAGCTTTGGAAATTCTCCTTGGAGATAAGGGCAATTAATGTGTGATTAATATTTTGGGGAAATTCTCCTTCATTCAAAACGAGAGAGGAATTGTTCGTTAAAAATTATTGGGAAAAAGATTAAAGGTTTTTTATTAGCAAAAGAGTGTGTTGATATCACACTAATGTGAACAGGTTACTCATGTGTTACTCACCATAAGGTTATAGACCGGACCTACTCCCGTTTCGATAGATCTTCATTCATCTCTCTCGTTACTTTACATGGGATGGTTTCAAGAATTTTGATAGAGGGAGCTGTGGTATACCTGCACTGGGTTTTGCATGGAGATTAAACAAGTTGGTTAACTGTTGAAAGAAACAAAGTAAAAGCATGATAGAAGATAAGCTAGGGTTTATCTCAAAGTCTCTCCGCACACTATATATATATAGATCGCCTTATCCTTGCTTTTCTTTCTGAACCCTCCGATCAACCGAATCCAATCCCCAAAACGGTGGCTATAGCTAGCTAGGGTTACGTTACGCGAGCCAGCCATGCAGAAGCAAATTCCGGCGGACCTTCAGCTCGACATCCTGCGTAGGCTTCCACTAGCTCCGTTCATCGTCCGGTTCCGCTGCGTCAGCAAATCATGGCGCGCGCTCCTTTCGGACCCTTCTTTCCTCCGACACAAACTATTCTTCATGTCCGAAAATTCGGAGCACTCTTCTTCTCCGCCGCCGCTAACTATGATGATCAACCACACCTTCGGCGACATCCTCGTTACACGGTCAGTTTACTCTCTCCACTCCTCCGACACACTCGAACCGCGCCTCGTCGAGGCCGACTTGCCCTTGGATTTTCGCTACTACTCCGTCGTCGGCTGCTGCAACGGCCTGTTGTGCTTCCAAGAGCGACCGAGAGGGCTGGAGACGAACATTAATCTAGTTCTCTGGAACCCGACAACCTCGGAGACCAAGGCTGTTCCGCCTCCTAGTAGTACGCTTTTCGACCGCACTACACATCATCATCAACAACATGATGTCATGCATCATCATGCCCTAGGGTTTGGTTTCGATCCCGAAACGAATGACTACAAGATCGTGATAATCGGTCGTAGGGAACGTTTTCGTCGTCGTGGGAATAATGGGATCTACGTGGAGGTATACAGCTTGAGGAACGATTCGTGGTCTAAGAAAATCGATCATACTGGTGGTGTTCACGCATTGTCTTCTCTTCCTGTGCTTTCGCACCCACGGTTTCCTCCATGTTGCGAGGGGAAGTTGTACTGGTGGAGCAACACGGATTGGCAAGGGGAGACGACGACTCGTTTCGTGTCGTTCGATCTGAGCAGGGAAGTTTTTCGAACCGTGGATGTGGCGAATCCTGCTGCTAACAACAACAAGGGTTGGTTCGTACATTCCTTGTTGTTCGTGTTGCCGAGGAACAGGGAGGATGATTCGTTGGTCGCGGTTTGTTCCACGGATAGCCGTGGCTCTTTCGAGGTCTGGGCGTTGCTGAAGTTGTGTGTGCCCGAATCCTGGACCAAGTTGTTCGCCATCCCGCGGGCCACGGCTGAGTTCCAGAGTTTCTTCGGGGTTTCGAGGAATTTCGTGTTTTACTATTATGACATTGGGATCGATCGGATTCTCGTCGCGTATCATCTTGCGACCGGAGAAGTTTTCGAGCTTGCCGTGCCGCGTACGAGGCCAAGACCACAGCACGTCATGGATCATGTGCCTTCTCTGCTTTCTTTGACCTAGAAGAAAAAAAAGCTTGGTCGTTTTAGAGGTGAAGTAGTGAAGGGGTTGAGATATGAATCGATGTTTTGATCTTTTTGGAGAGCGATTGTTTGTTGATTGCATGATGTAATTTGAGAGTTTTTGAATGTTCTAGCTAGTTATTCATACGGCATGAGAAGGATAATTAGTGAATGGCCGATAATTTGGGTATCTATGTAAATCCTAACAAATCACACAAAGACAAAGATACAAAAACGAAATAAGTCTCTTGTTATTTCTATAGAAGATATATCTAATTCACGCATTTTTAATTTATTCACGTAAATTAGAGCTTATTCACGCCATATTAGTGTTTTTTTAATTAAGAGTCTTGATTATTTACACAACCAATATTGTTTCTTTTGAAGATTTATTAACTAAAAGAAAGGGGGGAAAACAAAGTACAGAGGATTCCAACCACAATCGAGGATCGCAAGGCATGATCCAGAAATTGGAAGGAAATGAGAGAATAAAAACAAAACAGGCAAATCAAAATAAAGCTGCAAAACAAAACGGAGAAAGGGCAGCAAATAGAACCACCCTAATTAAAATTCAATATATTTAGTTACACAATCTGGTGTTTATTCACGTATATTATTATTTAATCACGCCAATTAAATTCAAATTTTAAACTTTGAAATTTATCAAAATGGTTGTCATTGTATAGATTATGATCAATGCAACACATTTTTACAGGTTAACAAAATTAATTCCATAAAATATAACCTATACAAACTAAACTTACACTCTTACGTGAATAAATATAGTATTGCAACAAATTACATCGTTAGGTGTACCTCTCGTACGTGACAGCAAAAAATTTCCAAAAAAATTACTCCCGGTCGAGGACGACGTACCCTTCAATTTGCAAGACTACAACATCGCCGGGTGCTGCTACGGTCTGTTGTGCTTATACGACCGAAGCAGACGAACGGCCGGGGACGCGATTCTCTGGAATCTGGCGACCAAAGAAACCAAGGTTCTGCCGCCTACACTTTTCAACCTTCCGTACAGCCAGCGCGTGGGTTCATACAGTTGGGTTCGGTTTCGATCCGGAAACGAATGACTACAAAGTTGTCAGATACATTCAATATTATTATGATGATGAAGATGATCAAGAAGGGCTTCCCTTCGATCACTTTGTGGAGGTGTACAGCTTGAGGAACGATTCGTGGAAGAGAATCGACACCACCGGCGGATGCCGATTCTCCGACGACGAAGACCCTTTTCTTCCTCTGGTTTTGTATCGCCAAGCGCCTCGGAGTTACAAGGGGAAGTCGTACTGGTGGAGGAAGGACTCATTCTGCAGGTGAGTGCCGTCGAAATCGCGCGCGCTTTAAAATTTATAACCTTATCTGTTTTTTTTACACTTTCAGGTCACCAGAACATAGCTTCTAGTAATCACGCTGCTTTTCACGTACTGTACAAGTGTATAGTCAAAATCTACGCTTCTAGTAATTACCGGAACACTTCTACTTAGAATCACGATTTCGATATGCTATTGCGCGCAGGGATAACACTCAGTTTGTTTCGTTCGACCTGACCAAGGAAGTGTTCCAAAGGGCGGACGTGATAAATCCTGCTGACGATTGGGAGGTCCGTTCGTTGTTCAATGGCAAAAGGTGAAAGGGTTGGTCCAATTCCAATACCAAAAGTACAAATAGTACATTGAGAGTTCATGTGATGGTAAAGAAAAGTCACAAAAGGAAAAGAAGAATTGAATCATGAGAACTTTCCTATAAAATTATTGATGGTGGAGAGCTAGTTAGCTGATGCACTGTATACTAGTAGCCTCATACAACAATAACGACAAGCAACAAGGCCAAAACCAACATATGACACGATGATACAAAATCAAATCAATAATAGTAATGGAGCCAAAAGTGAACTCGTGGAAAAGTTTGGGTAGTGGGAAATAGCTAGAAGACGACTCAATGCACTTGGGTCAATGTGAACACTTGCATAGTGTGGAAGCCAATAAGTCATCCATCAGTGGCTGTGGAAGAAGGATGTGGAAAACAGGAGGAACAAAGTTGTGGTGGTGAATAGTAAATGTGTGGAAAGTCTGAGGCTGGCTGTTGGCGAGCCCTGGCCCGACGGTCCGGTTCCGGTGCCGCCGTTCTCGCTGCTCGACGGTGAAGGTCCCATCATCGGTCCTCCGGCAGGAGCGTCGCCGGCGGCTCCTCCTCCTCCTCCCTGGCTTGGGGACGGTGCACCTGTCGGACTTCCGCCAATTCCTGGTCATAAAAGTGTAAGTTAGTAAAAATTTGTGACCAATTTGTAACTTTCGAAATTTTTTTGGGATGGGATTAGAGAATTGGAATTTACTACCCAAGTGGGTACACTACAAACAGCTCATCTAGCAGAGGAATGGGCAAGCATTGAAAGAAACAAAGGCATGTGATGGTTAGGCCAACTACCAACTTTAGTATAGACCAAAATCTGTCATAAATTTTCATACTCCTGATTTGGTATATCATAGAGTTAGCATTAATTTATTTTGAGATAAGAACTTTGATTGCTTTTGGTTGATCACATGATAGATAAAGACAATTGAGTATGCTAATCACATGATTGACACAGTGATTAAATTCCATCTGATGTGACAGAAAAGTAAGTAACTAATTTAGTTATCTTAACTTGTGATCAAATTTTGTCCTCTAATATTACAACTAGCTAAGCTGAGGGGGAAAGATTCTTTCCATCAAATCGGATCCACCTGAATTTAGGTTTTCTTGGATCATCTTTTTAAAAATAGAGCATAATACGAACCCAAATGAAATCAAACAAAAGTTACATTTTCGGTCCGACTCTAACCATCTCATTTTTCTCCATTTCACGCCTGATTCGATCACAATTAGAGGTGGCAAATGGATTGGATTGGTGAATTGGTGGATTGGATTGGTGGATCCATGGATCAAATGGATTGGATCTAATGGATTGGATCAAGTGGATTGGTGGATTATCCATGAATCCAAATGACATCCTCAACCAAGGACCAATATGTAAAATGTAAAAAGTTTAGGTACTAAAATGTCACAATGAAAAATTTTAGGTACCAAAACGTAATTTTCCAATGATATTTTTGGTATAAAAAATAAAATTTCAGGTACCAAAATGTAAAAAATAAAAATTATAGGTACTAAACCGTAATTTGCCAATGATCCATGGATCCAATTCATGAATCCACCAATCCAATTGGATTTGGATCAAATGGATTGGATTTAAATGGATTGGATTAGGTGGATATTTTTAATGGATTGATGGATTGAATTGGTGGATTGAATTGAAATTGTCACCTCTAATCACAATTCAATCATACTCTAAACCTAAAGATACTATGCCACTCCTGAATCTACGTCATTCAAGTAATTTTTTCGAGTAATCTCAATATATACTATAATCCTTAAGCATCATCTAGAATCTTTCTTTCTCCTCTCAAATCTCCTTTCCGTTTTCCCACCAAGACGATGATGATTTCTTCTCCCTGACTAGGCGCGCAGTTGACTAATCTAAGTCAATGTGAATGCACCTCAAATTCCACATACACCAAACACCCTAATGTGAAAAAGAAAAACGCTTTCCTACTTCATCGTCGAAACTAAGGTAAACTCGGACCACCAAAAGTGATTTTTTTGCCAGAAAATCGAAGCATAATTTGAGTGCATGAATTTCAAAGGCAATACCTACCTTCCAAAACGACCTTAATTGCACCTACATGTTCTCCCGTGAGCTAGCATCATTTTAGTTATTTTCCTTCCCTTTTTCCATTTCCATCATCGATCGATCCAAAATAAATGCACCGATCCACAACCACTTATATTAAGCGGCGGTCCACACATTAATTGACCACACCCATCCCCTGCCTCCTAGCTAGCTGCCATTTTGGACCCATTGCTACATATTATGCTACATTTTTTTTTCTTCGTTCTTTCACTTAATTTTTTTAACGTAACGAATCATCGATGATAATACGAGGATGATAACATTAACGCGCGAGGATTCAAAAATACTGAATTATATAGTTTGTGAGTAGTGTTTAATTACCTGGGCACAAGCTAGCGGGAGGTGTGGCAACGGAGCAGGCGGAAGGCAGCCCGAGGGCTCTCCTCCTGTCGATGTCGAACCCGTAATCAGAAGCGTTGAGGGTGAGCAGCGAGCAGAGGCAGATCGGGTTGCTGTCGACCAGACCGGCCAGCTCCGGGCAGCACGGTTTGTCCGGTTTGGTCAGGTTGCTACCCGTGGTCACGTACGACAGGCAGTCCGACAGGTTGAACAGCTGCGTCATGCAGTCCACCGCCGGCGCCGGCGCCATTTCTCCACCTCCTCCGCCGCCGCTTCCTGGGGACGCGGGGCCCGTCGTCGGGTTGTAGTAGGGAGCTGGTCCGGGAGCCATGGTCGTCTGGGCCGAGACGGCGGAGATGATGGCTAACAGGATTGCCGCGGCGAAGGCGGCGGGTGATCGGCGGGACATTGTGGCCGGGAAAGTGTTTGGGAGAGGAGAAACGTATATCCTGTTTTTTTTCTTTTTTTGGGGATGTGGGGAAATGTTGTGTTCTGTGTAAAGAAGGTTGGAACTTGGAAGGGTTAAAGACTGTGATGGTTTTTATTCTGGAAGCAGGGCAATAAATGTGGGGAACTTCCAACAACATCCTAACTTCGTTGCGGTCTTTTTATTAATTAATGATTGTAAAATTGTAATGACATTTTATTATTATTGAAAGTTGTAATGATATAAGTTTGGGGAAAGACTATTTTGTTTTGAAATCATTGTTTGATCAGTGTTGTTTGGTGGTGGAATGAATGTGAATGTGTTGGTAACTAGTAAATGCTTGGCTGCCCAACTTTTCTGATCCAGTTGTTTTGTTGTTACTGTTATAAAAGGAAGAGAAAAATACAGATGGGTATTTTGTTTTGGTACTTGACTAACTAGCTATTATATTGAAGTCGCCACACCACACCATCGCCACTACACAAGCGTCGTCGAAAATACGATGTTGGCTCGCGAGAGACTGGTAAGTGCACATTGTCCATGTTTACAGGGAGGCAAATGTTGTTGCAGATTATCTCGCTAATTTAGGGCATTTGTGTTCAGTTGGTTCCCATGTTATTGCAGCACCTGATGCTGCTCTTTCTTATTGGTTGTACCATGACATTATTGGGGTGCCTTTAAGCGCCCCGTTTCGCGAAAAAAAAAAGAGCTAGCTACTATACTCAATCTAACCATTAATTCAAAAGGGGGTATTAAAGGCTTCTTGGTTGGCTGGTTGTCCCAACCTTTGGAAATGTCATGTGGCCAGGGTGTGTTTGGTTGTTGTGTGTGGGGAAATTAGGAAAGAGAGTATTTTCTTTTGTGTGTTTTAGGAAAATAGGGAGGAAAATATCGTGTATATTGGGAGATATGATATCGTTTATATCAATTTAAGAAAAACATTTATGTCAACTATCAAAAAAGTTATTCTACTCGGTTTTCTCTGCTCACATTACAACAGATGAACTCGGTCTCCGTTCGTACTCGTAACACATTTATTTTTATTTCTCGTAATTGATTGTAATTACTTCATCTTTCAATAATTTCATTATATTACAAAAACATAATCTAATTAGTCGACACAGAATCCTCTAGTACTACAAAAATTTCCTTAATGTCCATCAAATAGGATTATAAGACCCATCCAAATCACTGCTACACAAACACAATTATGAAGTATTCACGAGAACTTTTACATTTCGAAACACGCATCGAGTCCTCCGCTTGAAAAAGGGAAAAGAAACTGATCACAAGAGATCGCCATTGAAGGAAAGAAATAAGAAATGCCCCATGTGATAAGGGCACAGGCTGGGTACGCATACGACGACATACCCTACAGCGTAGAACCTTAACTTTTTGTTTGGATAATCAATACCGGAGATCACAAGACAAAATAAAAAACAGGGCAACGGATTGCCTACGGTCTCATGTCATTTCTCTTCTTTTTTTCCTTTAGTAGTAGAGAACCATGAACATACCCTTTTTAGTGACGAAATACACGCGGATCTTGTTACAAAAAAGTTCAAGTTCTGCTTCTAGTTCTAGAGGTTGAGTTGTTGACGACGTGACGGTCGTTTAGAGATGATCCCTTCCAGTCAACTGTGGGCTTTGCCCAAAATCTGAGCCCAGCTCAATACTAGCGAAATCGTGTTACAACTTCCATATGAACCTTTTAGAAATATTACATTTACAGTATTACACTATACACTTCAACACTTTGACCTTTTAGAAAGAATTGCAGCAATGTAGTTAAAATTACGTTTTAAAACTCAAAAGTTTACACTTTTATACTTCAAGGTCACTAAAATGCTTTTACGTAAAATCGCGCTTTTCACTTACAATTGTAGTAAAAAAAAAACAACTATGCTTTAAAGCTTTAAAAACTTCTAGGTCACCAGAATGCTTCTATCTAGAATCACGATTTTGACTGCGCGCATTGATTCGCTGAACGTCAAACCAGGACAGCTGGCAAGCTATCTAGGTTTGGCAGTACATGATTGTGTTGATGTGACTTGAATCGGACTATCAGCCGCTACGATTGTGTTGATGTGCTCAACGTTGTCTGGGTTCGTGTTCTGGGTCTGGGCTGTAACTGCTTGTCCTTTACCAGATCATTGGATTAGGGCTAGACCTAAGAGAAGTACTATAAATATTTGTCTTACTCCTCTGTAATCTGTATCTCCTCGAAGTTTAGTGAAACTGACTCTCTCCTGCTCCGTGGGCTAGCTAACACACATTGTGTTAACGAACCACATAAATTCGTGTATCGTTTTCTTTCATGCTTTTGTATTCTTGTTTTGTCGAGTCCTTCAATATTCCGATCCACGTACAGAAGAAACAGAGAGGCTCAAGGAGTCTTTTGTGAGCTATGCATCATACGGCCGTTACCATACTTAGCATGTGTGTTTTGACAACTGGCCAGCGTTTGTATGTATATAATAAACTAATTACTAATACAAACAAGGCACCAAGCCAATAGAAAGCTAGCAAAAAAAAAAAACCTAACCGGCAGACAGGATTACAAAACAAAGGGTTGCCGACAGAGCACAGAATTTGTACGAGCTAAAACCCTTTAGCGACCGGATTTGTAAGATAACCCCCCTTGGCGATTCTGCATATAAGCTCGAAAGGAATCAACCAATCGGCCGGATTGGAGTTGAGTATTTATAGGTCAAACTTGTGACAGATGAAGAAGAAGCTCAAACATACAGAGATTAAGGAAAATAAGATTATAGAGAGATTCGTAAGCTGTGTGTTGCATGCAAGAATGAAATCGAGTTTGGTCCCAAAGCTTGTTTTGGTCGTTCTGGTAGTGGCTTTTCTCATCTCTTGTGCCATGGCAGCTAGGATGGCCAAAGGTATGAACATTGAACAGCCTTCTTCCCTTCTCATTTCCGGTATATTTTTTGAAGTATAAAAGAGGTAGAGGGAGATTTAGTGGTGGAGCTAGGTTGAAGGTAGTTGAATTACTTCGTCGTTCGGTTTCAACAACTCGAGTTTTTTTTTTTTAAAGAATGTTACAAATTTATGATTCTTAAACCACTTTCTTACACGATTCCGGTCTGAAATAAAAGTCAAATAAAAACAATGCTTGAAGTTTGCACCTGCATGATCCCACCGTACGTTGTGCTTAAATGAACTGTTAAAATGTTGTGAGTCGTGTACATCTGGAACACACGATATCACCTGTTATACCAAGTTGAGGTACTATGTCATAAACAGTTTGGTTCCAATAATTCGACTTTTTTTTGGGAGTAAGTTAATTGTGAATTTTATATGATATAATAGGTTACTGATGGGTGAATCTTAATGGTTTGAAAGAACTGAGATATAGTCGCCGATAGTAATTCGTCTTGCGAATCTTATACCACTCTTTTATACGATCGTGCATTTCGTCATATGATCGTTTCTTATACTTGTATGGCAGAGCTAGGGAAGACAGTGCAGCCACAGGGAAGTGATTGCGCGAGCGATGAAGTCTGCTGTGTGCTTGACTGGGGTTGGAACCCCGGTTGCAACCTGTGCCTCAAATCCTGTCCACCGGCGGCTTAACCCATGCAACCGGCGGCCGACGTGCAATTTTGGATCGACGTGTGATGGTTAATTAATAAGATGTATTAATTAATATCATGTTATGGAGTTGTTTCTTTTTAACGAATTTCTTCATCCTTCTTCCCATGAATGTTGTCGATGAACACCGTTGTAAAAGGATACAAAACTTTCCACACGAGAAGTGCTAACTTCAAAGGTCATATATGAACGACGACGCTTTGCCAAAACCAGAAACAGGAAGATATCTTCAATGATTTGAGCAAAATCTGTCGTCGAATTTTCAACATAGATAAAAATGACATTGAAAAAAAAAATGATTCAGTTGTAAAACTAACAAACAACATAGCTCCTAGTATCATCAAAATGGGCCAAACGGGCCTTCGGCTTCGAGCCTCGAGGCCACTTGAGAGCTAGGGGTTCGTTTTGGTGAGTGATTTGGATGCGGGATTTTGTCCAAATCTCTTTTTAAGTTGGTTTTCAATGAAATCACTCGTTTTAAAAACGACTATTTTTGGTGATATATATATAGCAGAATCAGAAAATGAAAAATCAAACAAAGAAAGCTAAAGACTAGAGATTCTGTTGCCTGCAAAAAAATGAAGTCAAGTTTAGCTCATAAGATTGCTTTGGTCGTTCTGGTAGTGGCTATAATTCTCTGCAGCTCTGGTGCTATGGCAGCAAGGATGGCCAAAGGTATGTACAATTTTTTTTGTTCCTTATAGGTCCCTCATCATTTGTGGATGTATGGTGGTTGCTAGATTAATCAACCGATCGGGTTTGTGGTTGTGTTTTTCAAATTCGATAATCCGTTTCGCCATAAACAGGCCAACCCTCGAAAACCCCAAATAAAATTTGGACGGCACATCGTGTTGTGATGCCCTACAAGTCAGTTGTACATGTTAAACAAACGCGTATCGGTCAATTCTGGCTGAAGTGCTATAAGGCTGATATTGCGATTTTGCTACGACGGCGATTTTTACACGGGTTTTTCTCTGGTTTACGATGAAAACTATTGGATCATCAATCTCACCTATTTTATATTTGGTGTGTAAGTTTTATGAAATCTTTTTTTGTTTAACTCAGCTCTAACTGTTACTTTCTTGTGTAATTTGCATGTGGAAACATCATCATTGAATGAAGGCAGTTAATGAGAAGGTCGATATTACATTTTTACATGCACAATCATCTGGATCCAAATATACCCATTTAAATCAGACACATATGATAATAGTTGACCCAAACTAGACTCAATTCGAACTCAACCTAAATCCAATACTATTAAAATTATAATATGGTACATTTGGGTCTGACGAACTAAACGTCTAAACCCATAATAACAATTAGATCAAATTACCCACGTATTGCCTTTTTTCCCCCCACAAATCACAAGAACTATTTAACATTTAAGTGAGCTCTGGCGGTCAAATTAACGCACAGAAACTAGCTAGCTCGCTTAAGCTAAGCCAACATGCCGGAATCTCTAAGACGGCAGCCGAAGCAAAAATGCCGATTCGGTCCCAGCCATGCACTTACGTTACCAAGCATGCAATCCGGACGTACAGAAACTAGCAAACGAACCAACAAAAACGTAACTTCTAGCTTTCCTTGTCCAAAGATGCTGCCGCCGGCCGGCCGGCAACTAATCATATTCTACGTCTCTTTTGTTGTTTCCATTTGGGCCGGCAATCATATTCGCCGCCGGGCAAGCAAAACTCGACCTCTCCCCACTATATATAAATCAGTAACCCATCATCTGGGTTCATATCCATAATTCACTACGTACATATATAATATATACACACAAAAATGAAATCAAGTATGGCTCGTAAGCTTGCCTTCGCGGTTCTCGTGGTTGCGATGCTCTTCTCTTGCGCCATGGCTGCAAGGATGGCCTCCACGGGTATGTATCGTACTGTGTAACTGGACAGAGTTATATTTCCTATTGGAGTCGTATAAGTCATGTAATTTTTTTGTACTGGTGTTAGGATTGTTATAGTAGTCAAATCGTTCATTGTACTCTGTATAAACCCTCTAGCTATATGATTTCAGTAATAATACACAACCGTTTCCACCGATTTCTCAAACCATAACTAACTAACTAACTAACAGTTACCTCCTTCGTTTTTGGGATGTTTAATTGCAGAGCAAGGGTTTCATCAGAGGCGGTTTCTCGGCCGCTGCCCACGTCCCACAATTTGCTGTGGTCATAATGGCAACGTCAACGACCCGACCAATTGTGGATTTTGTTGTTAATCCTAATATTATCTCTTTAGAAACAAATTATGTATTTGTCTCAAAACTCAAATAGTGCTGTTGCTATTGCTCTACATTGTAAGTGGCTCATCTTAAAAAGCAATAAATGGGCCTTGGCCAACTGGACCAAAGCGGATGCATGAGTTTTGATTAAGCGATGGGCCGGAAACTTAAGAGAGTGAAAAAAGCCCAACAATGGGTTTTGATGGTGGGCTCGCGTAAGAACGGGGCCAAATTACTTGCTTTGCTTGGTTACCTATCTCGATCGAGACAGAGGAAAGAAGCTTTCAACTTCCCCTGTTCGTCCTTTGTTCTTCATCAAACCCAGAAATATAGCAGCAAAACTGAATAATCAAAGAGCAAGTAGTTCCCAACATCGTCATTGATTCTTATCGCTGTATCACATCTCTGTGTACAAGCGAGGTAACATCAAACATGGATGCCCGGTAGGACAAGTTTGACTATAATTCGTTACGCACACTATTTGTATAATTTCTACACGATATTTAACTTCATCGAATTAACTTCGACTTAATTCATTAATCTCTCGACTCGTCTATCTTTCATGAATTGTGAAAATCGTATTACCAATCAAACCACCACACAGAAGAAGCTAATACTACTATGATTAAATCAAACCAATTCAATAATTCATACATACTACTGTTGGTACAAGAGACCTGTACAAAATCACCAACACCTACCACAAAATCAGACAGAAAAAGCACGTGAATTTGCGATAAGTTGGTGGGCAGCTCCAATAATCTATTCAGATAATCTGCTGCCTCTTTTAATTTTTCTGTTTTTTCATGAATTAGATTATCTGAAGATTCGATTCTCCCAATCCATGGCCTCAAATGGCCGACATCAATTGGGGGAAAGAAAAAACAAGGGAAGAAGACAAAAGGGAACAGAAAACGGGCGGGCCAGTGAGCATTCGGTCTTTCTATACACACTTCCAAAGTCCACTGAGCAAGCCGCATCTTCTACGAAATCTGCAATCCATCGAAAGCTTCAGCTGAAAAAATATGGAACCCAATACGAATCGTCCACAGCGGTAATCGAAAGTTTCATGCTTTGCTTTCAATCCTTTTGCCTAGGGTGGCAAAACGCTGACTCCTGTTTTTTCCAGATATAGGGATAAAGAATCGATTTTTACCATCTGGGATTTCTTTTCCCTGCCGCAGGGTTGCAGTGGTTACAGGAGCTAACAAGGGGATTGGTTTAGAAACCGTGAGGCAGCTGGCTAGCCATGGAGTCACGGTGGTGCTTACGGCTAGAGATGCTAAGCGAGGGAGCGATGCAGCTTCGAAGCTCCACCAGATGGGTTTCCCCAATGTGATCTTCCATCAGCTTGATGTTTTAGATCCGGTCAGCATCCAGAACTTGGCCGAATTCTTGAAGGGGAAGTTCGGCAAGCTCGATATTTTGGTACGGAAGGGAGGGTTTTTTTCGTGTGCAGATCTCATTTCAATGGAGAAATGGGATATGGATGAATTGATTTGGGGTATATGGTTTGATTTCTGCAGGTAAATAATGCTGCAGCTTCAGGTGTTGAAGTTGATGAGCAGCGATTGAGGGACATGAACATTGAAGTTGACACTTGGGTAAGTTAAAAGTTGAAGCTTTTTTGCCACTAGGGATGGCAAAATAGCATACAACTGTTAGTCTAAGATATAATAGCAAGCATACTGGCCAAGCCTACTTCTAAGAAGCCAATTTCCATCTTGGAACAAGTTCATGATCACCAACTTATTACAGGGGTAATTGCAGCTTTCAGGGAAAGCTGTAAACTTGGTCCAGGATGTGATGAAGCACACTTATGAGAAGGCAGAGGAATGCTTGAATACTAACTACTATGCTGTCAAGAACTTGACAGAGTCCCTCCTCCCACTGCTCCAGCTCTCCGATTCCGGTGCCAGGATTGTGAATGTCACATCTCTCAGGGGGGAGCTATGGGTGAGTTTATGAAAAATCATAGATTTTCATTTGAGTTAATGACATCTTTACTATGCTATTCATTCATTTCTAGTTCTTGTTTTGGCAAGTTCGTCCTAATCCATGACTGGTTAGGTCGACCAATGCTTAATAACAACGTTCTTGATGACTCGTGCCCTTTATGATTGATGTAAACCCATCTTTCACACATCAATGAGACTGTCTTGATGTGATTAAATCCCAAATGACAGCTGCATTATCAAAAAAAATCAAGAACAGATACGAGATTCAAGAGTCGAATTAACCGATTTTTACATGAATTGTTAACATATGTAGCATATGAGTTACTGAAGCTGTAGGTTTGTGCTCCTCTCTTCGTGCAGAGGATTCGCAGCGATGATCTGAGGAAGGAATTTGCAGAGGTGGAATCACTGAGCGAAGAGAAACTGGACGAGATATTGAAGAGGTTCCTGCACGATTTCAAAGAGAACAAACTCGAAGCTGGAGGCTGGTCACTGATGCTGCCATCTTACAGCGTCTCGAAGGTAACCCTCAATGCTTACACGAGGATGCTGGCGAGAAGGCACCCGAATATGAAGATCAACTGCGTTCATCCGGGTTACGTGAACACGGATTTGAACTGGCATACTGGACCAATGCCGGTGGAAGAAGGTGCCAGAGGTTCTGTGAAGTGTGCTCTCTTGCCGAACGATGGTCCTACTGGCTGCTACTTTGATCAAACTGAGGTTGCCAGCTTCTGAATGTGAACAACAAATTTGCAGTACTGGTCTGAGTTTCTGGTTTTTTCTGCTGTAATAATTAAGGAAACTACGTCCTAGTGACTGCTTGTCAGTTTTTACAGACCCGAGTCTGCTGAGTTTGAAATGAATCTTACATATGATATTTTTTTTTTCCCAATCGAACTACAGTTTCACAGGCAATGATTAGGAGGGTAATTTATTAAAATCGTAATATATTTTTTTGACCAATAACAAAATCCAATCATTACTGATAACCACAATTTACTGATGAAATTACATCAATAACATACATTGAATCAATGAGTTAATCTCGATCATGTTTGTGGTCTTTCTTTATTCAGCAAACAGAGGACGACGGACGATTCGCTGCTGCTCTATTCTGCCGTCTAACGAGCCGCCGCCGCTATCTTCTGCTTTATTATTAGCTCCCGAATCTCTTGGAGCCGGCGCTGGCCTTCTTCGTCCACCGTCGTCTTCTTCTTCTTCCCACCATCCATGTCCTGCTTTTTCCGCTGCACGTACTCTCTGGCAAGGCGCTCGATTGATTCGTCGTCCACCTCCACCTCCGCCGCCGCCGCCGCCGCCACGTGTCCAGCGCGGCTGCTGGCACGTCGTCGACGCTCCTGCTGCTGCTGCTGCCGCCGCTTGAGAATCTTGACGCGGAGGCGATCGTCGTACAGCTTGCGGCGTTTGTCGTCCTTGAGAACCTCGTACGACGATTGGAGCTTCTGGAACTTTCGATTCGCTTCCTCGTCGCCGGGGTTTTTGTCGGGGTGGAGCTCGAAGGCCTTGCGTTTGTATGCTCGGTGAATCTCCTTCTCCGACAGCTTCAACCCTTCTTCCTCCGACGGCAGCCCCAACGCCGCGTAGTGATCGGCGTCGGCTTCTAGCACGTTCATCATGTTGGAGAGCGAGCGAGCGAGCAGAGATGTACCTTCCCGTTTCCCTTCTCTGCATTTATATACATCTTTGGTTTATTATCCTTTTCCCTATAGGATTCCGGAAACCTTTCCTTTTCATAAAATGATTACTTGGATAAGTATGGTTAAATAATTTATATAAAATTTTAAGTAGAGATGATTAGTTATGACATATATGTATCGTCAAGTATTATTTTGAATTTTCATGTTAATTTGTCACCAACAAATTTTTTTTTTAAAGAGTGTTACCAACTCAAAACATATGAAATAATGATTTCGATAGGACAATTGTGGTGGCAGATCTCTAATGATATGCGACTGTTAATAATTATTAACAACGGGATATCGCGAGTGAACTTAGCAAAATCGGTTCGAATTTATTGAGAAAAGATGTATGTCTTTTAGAAGTTCGATTTATGGAGTACTCTAAACATGATATTACAATTAGCTCTCAATAATAATAATTAAAAGGTTGTTGCATTTAGAGGTTTGGGTTATTACTTATTACACTAAAACCTCTAAATTTTTTTTATTTTTGTCTCAAAAAATAAAGTATCTTGCATGGTCAAAATAAAATAATAAAAGAGTTTAGTGCTCAAATGGGGAATTAGCCCTCTTTCTTAGTAGTAAAAAGAAAATTAAATAAAGGATATTGGGCTATGGTTCTTATTTCCTAAGTCGGGTCGATCCACAGGCCCGCGCGGTCAGCCCATCGCCGCCTCCTTCCGGCGGTCTGCGGCGAGGCTGGGTTGGTCTGAAATTTCATTTTCCACTTCTTAAATTTTCCGTTTCTTATTAACATGTAAAGAAGGATTTAGGTTTTCAGTTTCGTTCAATAATCAAATCCCAAAACTCTTTCTTTCTTCCACCAGAAATCAAAAATTAAAACATTGATCAAAGGAACGAACTTTCATCACGCTCGTTGGCTTTCAGGCAGTCTTCTCCCTCACTAAGCTTCCCATTTGGCTGAAAAGGCTTCTCCGATTCCCTTCGCGTAATCCCCCAATCTCCTGGGCTGCTGCTCTCTTCAGTCTCGTGCGATTCTCATTCAAGTTCCTTCCTTCCCAAATGCGAGGTTCCATTTCATCACTTTTGTCCGTTTATGAATATTCACTATTATGCATTCTACCCTTCCTGGGACACTCTTTGTTGCTATCTTCCAATTCCTATTGAGAAGCTGAAATTTCCTACCTTTGGTTGGTTCCTCTCTAGCGCATTGATGTTTGCGGTGAAATTTGTCTGAACTGGCTGATAATCTGGGTTAGTCATAATGTGTGTGAAGTTTGTTTCTTTTTGGTTTGTGCTCCACTTGTAGGGGTGTGTCAATCAGTCTGTTTTGGTTAGATTACAGTGCTTTAGTAGTTAGGTTAGATGTGAGCTGGTAGGAAACAGTTGGAAATTCTGTTTCACAGGCTCCTGGTAGTTAGTTTTTCTATAAATTGATGAGGAGATGTTATTGAAAAGGAGACTCCAAGCATTTAGGGTTACAGACAGTTATAGTTTGAATGCCGCATGCGAGGTTTTCAGGGCTTATTTTCATACTTCTGGTTGTATGACTATTATGCTGGTGGAATTGCTTGCAGATTGGGAATAAGATTGTTGCTTTTATTGAAAAGCACCATGCTTTTGATGGCTACGTAGTTTCTCCGCTAAGGTTTTACTTCTGCCTGGTTCATTGGTATGGACGTTCGTGTGATCGAAGAAGGAATGGGTCAGCGAACAATGGCTAGCGATGGAGATGCGGAAAACAATGACGGTGCAGAAGCAAACAACAACACGGTGCAACGTGATAATGGTACTGCTGCTGAGCCACACATAGGTATGGAGTTCACTACTGACGATGCTGCCAAGACTTTCTATGAAGAGTACACTAGACGTCTAGGGTTCAACTCCAAGGATGGTCAGTCGGTTCGTTCAGAAACTGATGGGACAATTGTTGCTCGGGAATTTTTGTGTGGTAAAGAAGGACCGAAGCGACGGTCTACTGATACTTGTGATGCAATGCTTAGGATAGCACTGAAGAGTGAGGATAAGTGGGTGGTCACAAAGTTTGTGAAAGATCATACTCATTCCTCTAATAACAGTCCCACCAAACTTCAGACATCAAATAATGGCCCCACCAAACAACAGTCATCTAATAATGGTGCCACCAAACTTCAGTCCCTCCGGCCCAGAAGGCATTTTGCTGGTGCTGCAAAATCCTTCTCCACTGAAACGAACCAACGAGTGGTAGGGAAAGTTCCCAGTGGACTAATGTATGTTTCCATGGATGGAAACAGACCCCAACAAGAGAATCGTGGGATTAGGAACTCTGTTGGTGAACCGACTCGTGTTATGAAGAGCTATCCAGTAGCAATCAATCCTGCTATTTGGCCAATTATGCACAAGAAAACACTAGGAAGGGATGCACAAAATCTGTTGGAGTATTTCAAGAAGATGCAGGCTGAGAACCCTGGTTTCTTTTATGCAATACAGCTAGATGAAGATAACCGTATCTCGAATGTTTTCTGGGCTGATGCTAGGTCAAGGACAGCTTATAGTCATTTTGGGGATGCCATCACATTTGACACAAACTACAGAGTCCACCAATATAGGGTACCATTTGCTCCATTTACAGGGCTGAACCATCATGGACAGATGATTTTGTTTGGTTGTGCAATACTACTGGATGAGTCCGAGGCTTCTTTTATTTGGCTTTTCAAGACATTTCTTACGGCGATGAACGATCGGCATCCTGCATCAATTATCACTGATCGCGATAAGGCCATACAAGTTTCAGTCTCACAAGTCTTTCCTGAAACAAGACATTGTTTGAATAAGTGGAATGTCTTGAGGGCAGGGCAAGAAAAGTTGGCTCATGTATGCCTTTCCCATCCCAGTTTCCAGGTGGAGCTGTACAATTGTATCAACTTGACTGAAACTATTGAGGAATTCGAATTCTCGTGGAGTTCATTAGTTGACAAATATGATCTGAAGGGGCAAGAATGGCTCCAGTCTTTGTACGACTCTCGTGCTCAATGGGTACCAGTATACTTCCGAGATTCTTTCTTCGCTGTAATATCTCCAGATCATGCATTCGATGCTTCTTTTTTTGATGGTTATGTTAACCAACAGACTACCTTACCAATGTTCTTTAGGCAGTACGAAAGAGCGTTAGAGGTTTCGTTCCAAAGGGAGCTAGAAGCTGATTTTGATACAATTTGTGCTACACCGGTCCTAAGGACGCCTTCCCCTATGGAGAAACAGGCGGCAGATCTATATACAAAGAAAGTATTTACAAAGTTTCAGGAAGAGCTGGTTGAAACTTTTGTTTATACTGCTAACAGAATCGAGGGCGATGCAACTGTCAGCACATTCAGGGTTGCTAAGTTTGAAGATGATGACAAGGAATATACTGTTACATTGAACTATGGAGATATGATAGCCAACTGCAGCTGCCAAATGTTTGAGTATTCAGGCGTTCTGTGCAGACATGTTTTGACAGTGTTCACTGTTACAAATGTTCTTACTCTGCCACCTCATTATATCTTGGGGCGATGGACAGTAAATGCCAAAGCTGGTCATGGGATTGCTGGACCTAGTACCGAGTCATCATCAAACCCGGAAATTCTTACATCTCGATACAACACTCTCTGTCGAGAAGCTATTAAATATGCTGAAGAGGGAGCAGTAGCTTCAGAGACTTATACTGCAGCATTGGCTGCCCTTGGAGAGGGTATAAAGAAGGTTGCAGCTGCCAAGAAAAATGTTGCCAAAGTTTCACCAACAAGCTTACAGGTTAGCGGGACAGCTGCTCAGGATGACAAAAAGACATCTGCACCAGCATCAGATGCACCCTCTCTGTTATGGCCTGATCAAGATGAAGCTAGTCGTAGTTTTAATCTGAATGATAATGGAGCTTCAACTCAGTCTGTTGCTGATCTAAATTTTCCCAGAATGTTCCCTGTATCTGTGCTGGGAGACGATGGTCCTCCTGGAAACCTGGTAATCCTGAGTAATCTTTTCTCTATGAAATTTATGCATTGTTTTTCTTAGTTAAGCAAGTGGTTTTGTTTCATAAGATAGACTTCTCACTGTTACTTAACCCACTGATTTTTTCCGGCAGGTAGTTCTCCCTTGTCTTAAATCAATGACCTGGGTGATGGAAAACAAGAATTCTACAACTGGAAGCCGAGGCGCCGTTATCAACCTAAGGGTTTGTTTCCCGTCTCTATTCTATATTGGTTGCCTGACTTGGGAGAGATTTGTTTGACGTGTATTACTGTTGCAAATGCTTGCAGTTGCAAGATTACAGCAAGACCCCCTCATCTGAATTTGAGGTTAAGTTTAATGCTTCAAGAGTCTCATTAGAGCCCATGCTGAAGTCTATGGCATATATCAGTGAACAGCTTGCTGCACCACCTAACACTTTCGCTGTAATCAACTTGAAGGTATGTACCCTGTTTATTCCAAGTCTTTCTCCTATAAGTGGGTGGGGGGTGGGCCGTGGGGGGAGTCTGAGAAGTTGGTTATTGTTTTTCTGAACAACCTTCAACGTGAAATAGAGTTCTAGCTGCTGATCGTGTTTTCTATCCCACTTTGGTTCAATAAATATGGTTACTGAAAGAGGCCTGGCTCATAATCTCACTTCCATGGTGTCTGCCTATCTTCCTTCCGAAAAGCTATTTGGGTGCCGTTACCAATTTATAGAGTCATAGCAAACTGGCATATTTATAATCATATAGTTGGAGTGGTTTTGAATCAACTGATTATATGCATTCCCTTGACAACGCCCATCCTCTCATCGGTATAAGAAGAAGACCTATAGGTCGAGAACTAGAAAATCTGTGCTTTCAGATGACTTTAATGTTCTGACTTCCCCCCCTCCCCCCTTTTTGGCCAATTGAAGTATGCTTGTGTTCCTGTGTTCCAGCTCCCAGTCTTTAATTTTGTTCATGCTTTTTCATGGTTTCAGCTTAATGATACTGAAACTAATTCTGAAGAGTCAGAAGTGAGATTCAGGATCTCCCGAGATACCCTAGCTGCTATGTTAAGATCGATGGCCTACATACGTGAGCAGCTCGCAAACACTGTAAGTATGATCCTACTATTCATAGCCGGCTTTTAATGCTTCAGCAGGTCTGCATGACCTGTGAAACTGTTGTCTGCCTCCCTCTGGTACCAATTCGTTGGACTTGCATGATTTTTTCTTGTAACAGTACCAGATTTCTCTTATTTCCACCTGAAAAATAATCTGTTGGAGTAACTTGGACTACCAAAGACATTATCGAACTTGTTTCAACTAGTTGAGAAGCTGCTGTTGTGCTTCGCAGGCTAGTTGCCTATCATGTAGTACTCCTACGATCATTTGATTGAACCGTGAATCATTAGGCCAAGTTCAAAACGACTTAATGAACCACATAACGAATTCTTGCCTTCTCTTGAACGCAGGCAGAGCCATCGGTGGAACCTCAACAAAAGAAGCAACGGAAGTGACAGAACATTAGTTGTTTGCTCTACCAGGTGTGTGTAACTAATCAAACCACGTTTTGTACATGTTGAGTGATTTAGGGAACAACATTCCTCCCAGATTTTTCTTTTCCATTTTTGCTGCCTTCATCGGATTTCATCCCTTGTAGAACTCTTGATATTTATTGTTCCCCAAACTCCCTCTGTAGGCAAGTCTGTAAACCGACTCTAATGAGATTGGCTTGTAAAATATGTTGTACATTCTTTGTTGCACTCGTCTAGTAACTGAATGAATAATAGAAGGGCATATCATCTCTTTGCTCAGAGGTTTTCAGTTTCTACTGTTCATGCCGCGATTTTGTAGCAAGCCCAGCAATTGTAGTATTCTGCTTAGCGAGAACCATGTAAAAAATTTGTGTCTTTCTCCCACTGTGCACAAATCAAATTATGTAGACAACCTTTAATTGGTTTCCTCCTGGGTCTAAGATAACAGGCTACGTGAAAGAATGAACGAAAAAGAAAACTCGAAACTCCAGCCAAGCGAGAAGGACGAGAGATATCAACCAAAATGAGATTGACAAAAATCCTGCACTCTGCCATTTCCAGTCGTTATCAAGTACAACCTACAGTATATAAGATCGCCGCGGCTAACATTCGCCAGCCAACATCCCTCCGGCACAAAAGAAGGTCCTCGTTTGCTAATAAAACTCCCGCGAGTGTAGGCTACTGGAGGTCTATTTTCACTGCCGTGCCATGTTGCACGAGTACAGCTTATGTCTCGGAAAAGAGATGAAGAAAGGTCCTTGCTGAGAGTTCTCTCTGCATCCAAATGCAAGGCTCTACAAACTCCTGTAGTCTATCACGGTAACTTCATCTTCTGGTGCATCTAAGTCTTGGTAACTACACAAAAGAAAGTTTTCAGAGGATAAGCGGATGCCAGTAACCCAGTAATAGGGCACCCATTTGCAAGAAATGTCGAAAGACTCAAGAGAAATCAAGCCACAAGAATAGCCACTATGGAGGCTTCAGCCAGAAGAAAAGTGCAAGAAGTTCAATACCTGCGAATACGTCGTGGATCCTGCCGAAAGGCTGAAGATAGAAGTATGGGAGCTGGCCCGCCTAATTGAGGACCAGGTCTTGGATTCCTACCGCCGCCACCACCTTCAAATGGAGGACCACCACCTTGCTCTCTGAACATCCGCATGGCAACCTCAGGTGGTGCAGGTACAAAAGGACCCAGAGGACTGCAAACCAATTTTTCAGCAAATATCAGATGACTACCATAGGGAAACACGAAAGATAATAATCAATCTGATTGGTCCCCGAGTGTTTTGCTAGCTTACCCAGCACCAGGAACTGGCATTAAGACGGGTGGTGGGGGTATGTCTGAGGGGAATGGATGAATCCCTCCACCTTGTCCACCAAAACCATCATACATCTGTTCATCGCCATTACCACCATCAGGACCATCGTTGTTATTTGACTGGAACTCCCCTGATTGTGTTTGTGGGTTTTCGGAACGATCATATCTATCACCACCATTCGCTTGATTGTCAAGTTCTCTCCTGTTCCCACGCTCGTCCTTCAATCGGCTTTGAATACCCAACCTCTTCCGCATTGGCCGGTCTCTCTGCAATGAAATTGAATATTACTAGGTAGCACTAAATGGGAACGATCAGCAGTAGAAAAATCATCAGACTGAAAATGATAATAAGTTAATAATAACAAATACACTTCCACATATAAGAGGTGGCTCTGCAACATTGAAATTTGCTCAAAGTACCCAATATTGAGTAGGATTCTAGATCCTCCACATTTTGAAACCAGACAGATTCAAGAAACGTAAGGGGTAATAAGTAAATGTTTCAACATCTCGGAACTAAATCAAATGGGGATATTGATCATGTACCCCAAACTAGAAGGGACAGCTTCTAAATAGCTAGGCCAAGGGGAACCAAATGGAAGTACTCCATACTTTCCCAAAGAGAAAAGGAGGTACCATGTACTGATTTTGCTATTTTAAAAGAAAGGATATACTACTTTGCTCTCGAGCATTTTCCTACAACGACCTGTGCACAATCTTGCAACTTTATGCAACGAGGGTATCCATTGTGCAACCTAAAGTAGAAGTGACAGGGAATCATTACTAAATGGCTAAGCCAAGTGCCCGAACTTGCTGCCCATGAGGAAGCCAAATGGAAGTAGACATTTTCAAAAGGAGGTATACTTGCTTATAAGCAGGACAAAGGATACATGACATAAGAATTTTGCTTCGTTAAAATAAAGAGGAAGCACTGCCATAACTCTCAAGAACTTTCTACTATAGCATGTGCAACTAGTCTCAGAACCAACCATGTAGACCTATAAAAGCCACTTAGTAGAACTGATTTCATAAGGGATTACCAGTTGAGGCCGTTGCATAACAGGAGTGCCACCGGGTGCATTTGGATCACTGTATACAGAAACCAAACATTCATCAAGGGAATAAAAACTAAAACTTAGAGAAAAAATAATACAAAACATGAATGTGCTTACTTCATGTAGTTTTCGAAATAAAGCTCTTCCCTCACTTTGGATGTCAGCTCTAAGATAACTTCCGTATGCTTAAGTTTCAGATGCTTGTGCACAAATTCAGCAGCGTGAAATAGTTTTGTGCAACCCTTGGCTCCACAACCATACTTCCATCCATACTTCTCATCCCTGATTTTCCTCACATAAGGATCCAAAGATTCAACAGCTGCAGCATCGATCTTCTCCTTAGCTGTCCTTATTTCTAGCGGATCCTGTCCCCTCAGCCTTTCTTGCCAACAGGAATCAAGCTTCTTTTCCCACTCAGGTCCTCCACTTCCAGCATCAGACGTCTTTCCCTCTGCCCTAATGTGCCTTAGACCTTTAGGTTCACTTGTTTCAAGCATCCCATAGTAGTCGACACCATGAATCCGCCAAAGATAAGTCAGAAGAGTGTCCAATAGTTCAATCCCCTCCAATCCCTTAACAGAGGCTAACCCTCGTATAATAATAACAGGGCCAGTGGAGCCACCAAGAGATTTCTCTCTGTTTGTTTTATCACTCTCAGAACCAGCTAAGACATTTTCCTGAACTCCCTTTTCAGAGTCAAGCTTGCGAACAAGAGCCTGTGCTTGTTCAACATCAACTTGAATTCTTCTGGGATCCAAACTAATAGGGTGGGCCTTCGGAGCAGCTGAAAGCACATCAGATTCTTTGCCAGGTGCCCTTCCATGGCGCTTTCTTTTGCCCCCGGTATCTCCTTCATCATCAGAATTTGGGTTGCTGGTGGTCTGTCCAGTCTTACTTGGGGGTAAAGCACTGACACCAGGACCTCTGCCATATTAAAATCAAAATTCAGACTTCACATATGACGACTTATATCTAAAGCTATAGCAAACATACAGAATAAAGAAGTGAGTGTCTCAGACAGTCAATCTTACACATCCAATGTCCCACTCTGCAGATCAAGCAAAAATTCCTTGGCAGCTTTGCGGACAAGTTCATTCCTCCTACAACAATAACAGATATAAAAATTAAATAAAATAACAACAGAGAAACAGTAAAGCCAAATCACATTTTAACTACAACAAGAAATCAAACAATTAGGGTACTGAATTGAGGCGATGTTATCTTAAAAGCTACAATCATGCATTCATCATAGTTGGGCATTCTAACTTCAGTCTTTACTAAAGTCATACAAAGGTAATGGCAAGTTTAGGAAAAACCTAAATAAGAAACAACTCATCCTTACATACAAGTCATTAGAAAATACCTTTCTATGACTGTCACCAGGTTGGTGGGATGGTATTTATCTTTTAACCTGCACCAATAAAACATCAATGAGAAGAAGAAACTAGTACAAATTCATCTGAGAATTATTCAAGTAAAGACTTACCATTCCTCATCTTTGTGTGCATCAAAAAATACTCTTTTCTGAGTTGATATGTACTCTGACTTGTATTCTTGATATCTGAGCAATCAAATAGTCTTGCTACTTCAGAATTTTGGAACAAAGAATCAACCCCATGCGTAACCAGATTTGTGACCTCTGTGTACCTGCGTTCAGCTTCAGCAGGAAGTATGTCATCTTCAAGCTCCTGAATGAATTGCTTGTATGACATCAAACCTTCTCTGGAGAGGAAAGGAATTGCCACGTTAGACTACCGATGGAAACAAACATAACCAGGATAGAATCAAGACACTGCACTTTTTAAATTTATATGTTGTGTTGATTGGTTGGAAAATATATGTTAACATCATCGAACATTTGCAGGTCTCTTTTTTTATGAATAACATAAGCAGCTCCCTCAACAACAGAATCATAGCACACTGTGGATAAATGCATCCACGACGCATCTGTTGAATATAAGCCAAACTACAACCACATTTACAATCAATCTGAATGAGCTTACAGAAGCTTGGAGTAAACAGCATGATAAAGAAAACAAACATTACAATCTAATAAAAGAGCCCATTCCACTAACAACTAAAACTAACCTTTGAGTAGACCCAGCATTGGCAGCATCACCAAAACCACCACGACCTGCATCCCAGCCTGCATAAAACCCTACGTCAGTGTTCAATAACAACAGTTGAAGACATTATAATGTACTAGTCGTAGTTGAAGCATGGATCCAAACTGCAATCCACCGACAGATGGATATTAAATAAGGAAGATTCTTCCCCACCAATGACACTAGATATCTTGGCTCTCAAGCATCGACATTATGAGGTCCGACCGTGGTTTCATCAGAAATCACAAATGCATTGCAGATTTGCAGGCAGAAGGGTACATATATATGATGTTCCAAATTTACATTATATGACCAAAGAGACCATTGTCACAGGATCACCACATGAATATACTTGGAACCCACTAATCTATGAAGTGAAGACCTAGTAACCACAACAGAAAATAATTCAGTCAACCGTAGCATTCTCTCAAAGTTCGTTCCACAGGTACACCACAAGACCTCCCGCAGAACACTTCCATACCATTCCCAGTTCTCGCCCACATAGCAGTAACCCTCTTCAAGAAATTTTAGCTGACAAAATGAGATATCACAAGGAATAGAGCCACTTATACCATTGGCAGCTAAGTGTCTACAGCACTCAAAGGGAAAAGAATGCTCTAGACCCTTAGCTACAAATGATATAGCAGCTGAAAGCACGCCTTAGAGGAGTCTGATTTCACAAATTGCCCTGAGAGAAGCACAAGCAGCCTGCCTGATAAATTCAAGGGGCGATGAGCCCAAAACAGACTTTTTTTTTATTACTTCGGAAGCATTACTGCACCAGTAGGAGACACTCCAAAGACACCCCGATTGCAATTTTTAAGATTTAGGAGGAGAAGTAATCCTCCTGGATGTGTAACTCGTCCAATTCAGGATTATAACAAGAAACCACTAAAAGTATAACAGAAAGTGTATACTATTACAATTCAGGAATATAACAAGAAAGTTGGAGGTGGATTATAAGACAGGTTAAAGTTGGCTTTCAAAAAGTAACTACCTACCTTGATATCCACCACGACCACCCATGTACCGACCATGAGGACGCTCGTCACCGTACCCAGGCCTTCCACCCATCTCTCTGTCATATCCACCACCGAATTCATATCCAGGCCTGCAGGGGAATGAACAAGTATGTGTTATATAGGTTGAAACGCAAATTGTCGAAATACATCGCATATTTGTTAACAACTTACTTAAAATCTATAGCCTATTGCATGGGAAGGCTTCCCCAAGTATTCATAGATAAGGAAGCATTTGTTAGATAAAGTAGTTAGCTTCTGCGCCAGTATTCAAACAAGATGGGCTACAAGAACATGTGAAAACTGAAGTCTAAGAGCAACCATATAGGAGAAACCGGATATCTACTTTCCATCAGCTCAATGCCACAGTTCTATTACCTCTCTACTGCATCATATCAGCTCAATTGCTCAGTTAGTTGGAAGAACTAATCAACGGGTGACCCTATCACCATCAATGGATCACGGTCTAATCACACTCACCTTCTATCGCCAGGCCCGAAGCCGCCTCGAGGACTTCCTCCTCTCCTCCCGTCGTAACCACCATCATCCCTTCTCGTCCTCTTGTACGGTGGAGACCTGCGCGGGGGCGGGGAATGCCTCCGATCCCTGTACGGAACCGGCGGAGGGCTCAAACTGCTCCTCCTCTTATAATCTCTCTCCCTGTCTCTAGGCGGAGGCGGAGGGGACCGATTGCGGTCGTAATAATCGCCTCCTCCTCGTCGATTGGGAGGACGGTCGATGTCCCTGTCGTCCCGGCGCTCGCGGGAGTCCCTGTCGCGACGACGCGGAGGCAAGGGAGGAGGGGGCGGAGGCGACGATTGGGGGTCCTCGTCGCCTGACTTCTCCTTGCGACCGCCGGCACCGCCGGCGTCCAGGCGGTCGACGGAATCGACGGGCATGTTAACGACTTCTGCCATGGCTGATTCCAACGATTTCCTGAAACCCTAAATCGGGGAAGCAAAGAAGGTGGAAAGGGGAAGGAAATGCGAATTGCAGCGTTGTACTTCGATTGGTTTGCGTTTCGTGTGCTTTGCATTTGGTCCTTGCTAATTTACAAATTACAACCACCTCGGCCTTGGCTGGCTGGGTTGGGTTGGCCGGTTGACCTAGGGGTGGGCAAACGGTTCGGTGAACCCGAACTGAACCGAAACCGAATTAATGCTATTCGGTTCGGAATTCGAAAGGAAAATATGGATAGTTCGGAAACCAGGGTTCTTTCAACCGAACCGAATTTCCGACCGAAAAACCGAAATACTATAATTGCAAGCTCCAAATGGTGGATTTTTATGTTTTTAGTTGTTTTTAGACTTAAATATTTGAAATGTTTTATGACTTATGTGTTGAAAAGTTTGATTTTATCACTGATGATGCATATAATTGATATTTATTGTTTATATTAGGGGTGAAAAATAATTTAAAAGTGAGAAAATACAAGTAGCTTCACAAATTCGGTTTTGGGTGAAAAACCGAACCGAATTATAATTCGGTTTAAATCGATCGAACCGAATTATAATTCGGTTTAAATCGACCGAACCGATCGAATGCCCACCCCTAGTTGGCCCAACACAGAATTACCGAGCCCATGACAAAAACCGGTAGGTGTATTGTAGACCGTAACATATTTAAAGGTAGATACAGTACAATTTTACAAATACTTGTACACATATATAATGATGAATTTTTTTCGATACATTTCCCGATCAAAGTCGATCATCAATCATCGAGTGTGTATTCTTTCAATTCAAATGGGAATATACTTTGATCAAATTGGTACATAGTGATATTTAAAGAAAAAATTGAAAATTAGAGTTGAATGCAAAGCGTAGTTGGTAAGTTCTAGTTCCGGTTTGATTAATTATTTTTAAAGTTTAAGATTACTTAATTAAATTTAAATCGGCATAGAATGAAACACGAATAATGTTTGGCTAATAATTAGTGTTTATTCTTTAAATCACACCGGACGTATAGTTTGAGGTAAACATAATCTTATCTCAAAATTCACCCATGTATAACCACTTCTTGCTGATCATCCAAATTATCATTTTTCAAAACTTCATCGTAAAAGTAACTTGTGGTGCATAATCCTCCACCTAAATCCACACTCCAAAACTACCTCTTTTTGTGATTAAATTTTACTGGTTACCATAATGAAGCCATTTTGCCTCACCACTTCAAAGCATTTCGTCCCCTTCTTCGTGAGTTCGTGTTGGCTGCAAATGGCTCCCTCTCTCTACCGTGAACTTTCTGCTCTTTTTGGATACGTTTTCGTCTCCCTTGGAGAAACACTACAGAAGCTTGGAACCCAAGTAACCCAAAACAAAGATTACTGTAATATGAATGTCATTGCTGATGGCAAGCAGAAAGTTACAGGCATTGACATTTGACGCCGATGCAGGCATGGAAGAAGGCGCCTTCCTGAGGAAGTTATTAGTTCCATGCCGTGTTGCTGAAAACAAATAAAAAAGAAAAGAGTATAAATTTGCAATGGCTCTTGGGGAATAGCAAAAGGGTAGCGAGGAGCCACTGAGCTTCTATAAAAGCCAGGCAGCTAGTTTTCTTGTTCAGTATCAAAGCTCAACGCCCAACTCCCCCAGGGCATTCTACAGCAAATCACTTGCGGCCGCCGCCGCCGCTCTCCGCCGCCGTCCAATTTCATTTGGTGCGTTGTTTCTTCTTTGGGTCATTTGCGATTCCCTGTATAAGATTAGTTGTCGCCATGTTGATGCATTCTTTCATTAATTCCCTGCATAAGATTAGTTGTCGCCATGTTCTTTCTTCATTAATTCCATGCGAATGTCAAACTCTGGCGATTTTCTTCTCGAGCAGCCAGTGGCGTAGCCAGACATCGAGTTCACTGGGGTCCTTAAAATTTTACTAACATAAATGCTTGTGTACATAATGAATTTTGAGTTAATCGGGGTCCTTGTGAGCTAACATCGTTGAGAGTATGGGGTCCTAAAGTTGAATTATCATACTAAAACCTATGTATTTAAAGGGTTTTGTTGCCCAATTATTTGCCAAGTGGGGTCCTAAGACCCCTCTCCTCCTTACCTCCCTCTGCCACTGCGAGCAGCATATCATAGGGATGGCAATTACCCACCCATGGGTAATTATACCCAAATCCAAGTAAACCCATTCATAATGGGTTGGGTATGGGTGAAGTGTATATGGGTTTGGGGGTTTGTAGATAGATTGGGTATGGGTATGAATATTGCTTTGCTGTAAAAGAATCGTGCATGCTTCTCCGCTTTGCTGTAGAGAATTGGGTCTGCCAATTTGTTCATCTGGTAACCAGGGGCGGAGCTGTGTAGGCTCTCGGGGGCCTCCGGGACCCCAGACTTTCGAAACTTACGTATAAAGTCCTAGGAACTTTCAAGAATTATGTATAAAATCAACATTAAATATATTTAAAATCCGAGTGAGACATAGTTGACATAATTTGCTTGCCAAAAAGGTAGTTGTAGTTGAATTGCAGCCAAAAGGTACAGGTTTGAAACTGTTAGGCAGCTTTTTTATTATTTTTACTATTTTAACTTTTTTATTTATTTTATTTTTAGTTTAATTCTTCAACCTTCCTGCTTGGTCTTATAAATCTTATGATTTCAAATAACGTCAGTCAAGTTATTGAACTTTTACATTAATATTTCATGGATGTGTTCTGGATATGTAATTAAATAATAATTCATACAAACACTAATATAATCATAAATTCATGTTCAATGTATAATAATATTGAAAAAATTACATGTTAAAGTGCATGATAATTTTTTCATAGTATAATCATTTATTTTGAACATAGCATACTAGAATACTTTAAATTAATTCTATTTTGATTATTTTAACTAATGTTATGTTGTTATAAATTTTGTTTTTTTTAATACCATTAAAGGTGGACTGCAACTTACTAAGCTTACTGACTTTCTGGAGATTCTTGTTTGATGTAAGCTATGGCGGAAGGATCAGTGACCTTTTCGCTTATGAAGCTTACCGACTTCCTGGAAAGAGAAGGTAGACTACTACTTGGAGTTCACGGGCAGGCCGAGTATATCTACGATGAACTGGAGTTTATGAAGGCTTTTCTAAGAGTTGCTGATACGATGGAGGAGTATGATGAAATACTCAAGGTGCTCGTGAACAAAGTAAGAGTTGTTGCATTTGAGATGGAAGATGCTCTCGACGACTTCAAGCTGCGAGTTGCAAATGACTATGGACGTGGGTACTATGCATCGCTCCAGAAAGCCTGCCACTTTGTCAGGTTCTTAACAGCTCGACATCAGATTGCTTCGAGGATGCGGCACATCAAATCTAGAGTGAAAAATGTTGCAGAATCACACCGAAGATACCTCAACAAAAACAATATAATGGAGCAAGGCTCTAGCTCCACCAGCGCGATGCACTTAGCCAGAAGAGGAGATGCCCTTCTGCTTGAAGATGCTGATCTGGTTGGAATCGAAGAGCCAAAGAGGCAGCTTATCAAATGGCTGGTTGGAGGCAAATCTGAACGTGAGATGGTATCAGTCACCGGGATGGGTGGTGCTGGAAAGACGACATTGACAAAGAAGGTGTATGATGATGCAGATGTGAAGAAACACTTCAAATTCTGTGTTTGGATCACTCTCTCTCCACACTTAATGATGGACGATGTGTTGAAGGATGTGATTCAACAGCTATTCCTCATCCTGAGGAAGCCAAAGCCTCCCGGGATGGACAGCATGGACCACAACAAGCTGCGTGCAATGATCAGTCGATTCCTTCGGAAGAGGAGGTACCTTATCGTGCTGGATGATGTGTGGCATTCACATTCTTGGGAAGCTCTTGAACATGCATTGCCAAATAACAACTTTGGCAGCAGAATATTGCTGACAACACGTAATACCGAGGTTGCCTCCACTTTGTGCATAGATTCACTTGATAAAGTTTTTGAACTGAATTCATTATCTGCAGAAGAGTCATGGACTTTGTTCTGCAAGAAGACGTTCCGGATCAGGACATGCCCACCACATTTGAAAATAGTTGCAGAGAAAATCATGCACAGATGTGAAGGGTTGCCACTTGCCATTGTTGCAATCAGTGGTGTTCTTGCTACGAAGGATGTTAGTCGTATTGATGAATGGGAAATGGTATACCGCAGCCTTGCTGCTGAACTCGAAGACAACAACAAACTAAGGAGTGCAACAAGAATCCTTTCACTCAGTTACAGTGATCTACCTTTCCACCTCAAGTCCTGCCTGCTCTACTTCAGCATATTTCCTCCAGGTACTCCTATTAATAACCGGAGACTCATTCGGTTGTTCATAGCTGAAGGCTTTATGAAGGCAAAAGAAGGAATGGCGCTAGAGGAAGTAGCAGAGGACTGTCTCCAGGAGCTCAGAAAAAGGAGCTTGCTCCAAGTGGTGAAAGCTAGCCCGGATGGAAGGGTAAAAAGTTGTCGCATCCATGATCTTCTTCGTGAGATCATCATCTTGAAGTCGAGGGAACAAGACTTTGCAGCTATAGTCAAGGAAGAAAATTTGGGATTCCCCGAGAAGGTCCGTCGTCTATCGATACAGAATGTGACTCCAAATATAACAAGGAAAGTGTACATTGACTCTAAACTACGGTCATTGCTCATGTTCTGGTGCCTAGACTCCTCTTCAACTAAACCGTCAATACCTGCTTTATCTTCAAGCCGCCTGAGGTTGCTCAATGTGTTGGATTTGGAAGGAGCTCCTTTGGAGGAATTTCCATCTCAGATTGTCGGCCTTCGCCTTCTAAAGTACCTGAGTTTGAGGCACACCATGGTGGATCGCATTCCAAGTTCAATTGGCAAACTTCAAAACCTTGAGACGTTGGACTTGAAGCATACAAAGGTCACTGAACTGCCAGCTGGAATTCTGAAGCTCCGGAAGATATCCCACCTGCTCGTATATTTTTACGAAATGGAAGCAGACAATTTCATTAAAACCAAATATGGGTTTAAGGCCCCTTGTCATATAGGATGTTTGCACTCCCTACACAGGCTTTCTCTGCTAGACGCAAAGCACTGCGATGGCACTCTGATGTTAGAGGTTGGAAAGTTGACTCAGTTGAGAAGGTTGGGGATCTTAAACCTCAAGATGGCTGATGGCAAGACACTTTGCTCTTCCCTCGAGAAATTGATCAATCTCCGTGCATTGTCACTGAACTCAGACGATTCTGAGGTCATCGACATGGAGTATCTCAGAAATCCTCCTCCGCTTCTGCAACGACTATACTTGGCAGGGTGTTTAAAGAAGTTACCCGAATGGCTATCAACCGTTGATAGTTTGGTCACATTGGTTCTGAAATGGAGCCGATTACATGACGATCCATCTGAAGCCCTCCAACATTTGCCAAACTTAGTACACCTCGAACTAATCCAGGTGTATGATGGAGAAGCGATGTGTTTTCAAGCTAACGGGTTCCCAAGGCTGAAGCTTTTGGCCCTAAACAATTTGGAGAGGCTTAATACTATCACAGTGGAGAAAGGAGCCATGCCTCGTCTTGAAAAGCTGGTAGTTCAGAGCTGCAAATCATTGCAGCGAGTACCACAGGGCATTCGACACTTGACCGAGTTGAAAGTCCTTGAGTTCTTCGACATGCCTAGGGAGTTTGTTATGATGTTGCATCCTAACGGACAAGTAAGCAACAACATACAAAGATCATCATCATCATCGAGCTTCGAGTGCCGGGTGGATTGGAGTTGGAGGAACCTGTGCTTGCTCAGGCTAGGCACTCCGACATCAACACTGCTACAGTTTAGCCTCCAGAAGCTACTCGTTGACTGTTGCTTGTTGCTGAAGAAAGTGCCTTTCAGAATGTATCGAGGTAAGCCTGGAGTCGATAGCGATGACTATAAGAAGGTTCAACACATTCCTGAAGTTTACTGCACGTATCAGACCGAAGGGAACTGGGATGCTTACAGGGTGGACAGCATTGGAAGGGCGAAATGCTTCGAGGAAGAACCGATGGAGATACGCGATTATGAGTGGAAACTCTGATTGTTTCTGTGTGTTTGTTTAGTTTTCATGGTTGTGAATTGTTCCCTATATACTAATGTGATGATCTTTATATAATTATGCCTGTCATTTGTAGAGCTTATGTCTGAAGTTCTGGTCTTGTTAAGATAGTTCCATGCACATGGTGTTCAAGAATAAGGATGGCTGGTGATTTAGATATAATTATCATTACTGTTTGTGTGTATTATAGTGTAATTGTATCATTTCAGTATATGAATGTACAACGATAATTTTAGTTCAAGGACTTAAACTAGTACATTATAAGGATTTGGTCACCGAAGCGTCAATTTGTCATGTTGAAGCCAAAGGTAGCGTATTATGAATGATCTTTTGTCATTTTGTGATCAGCTTTAAAAGTTTTCTTGGTTCAATAAGGTTTCCCTCTTGAACTAAATGGTAGGCTACGGGATCGGAATAGTGAGGTTTAGAATGCACCATGTTGATTCCTTATGGATCTTTCCAGCAGAATCGAGATATCTGTGCGAGAATAATCTTAACTTCCTTGATGAATTTACGCTCTATGCTTCCGGTGCTTGATCTTTGAAGAACTTGTAGTATGTTGATAATTTTGTTGTTAGCTTTTTTTGATAAAAAATTATGTTGTTTGCTTGGTTATACACTGAATGGTGTCCCAACTCAAGCTGAATGTGATCGACATTGATATTGTTTTCATGGGGTACTCTTTCCTCTATGCTGGTTCATGTTCGGTAAGCCTGTTCTTGTTGTTTCTACATGATAGCTGAGGAAAATCCAACTTGATGATGGTGTGGTGATAGATATAACCCTAGAGAAAATGAATGGCCAAAGTGGTTATGTACCGGCGACTTATATTCCATTGGGACAATCGGATTCTGAACCAGAGAATGTTCCACTAGCCAAGGCAGAAAATCATGCTCCTCGTTCTCAATTCGTGGGTGATAGACCAACAAGGTGGTCATCTGGAATCTGTGCTTGTGGTGATGATACACCGAGCTGTATGCTACTTTCTGCCTTCTGACCTTTGATATATTAGAATCAAAGTGCATAAAAGTGCTTGATAATTTTGGGTCAAAATGTTTGTCTTGTTTTCTTTTTGGTCCTAATCAATTGCTTTAGTTTTAAGGGGAAAGTAATTGGATGGAAATGGAGGCTCCAGTATCCTGAATAACCATTTATTTTCATTGTCTTAGTCAAACATAGGGAAGTTCTGGAGCTTGCTAGTCAGGTTTGTAATTACTAGTATGATGGAGATATCCGATAAAATATAGCTACAAATAGTCTTGGTTATTGTTTACGACGACATTATGTGATGTTGTCAAAATATCAGCATGTTTTGTGTGCAACTTGTCTGCAACTGCAGGCATGGTATATGATTTTTCGGGTGCTCTTGGAGAAAGCACATGATATTCTAAACACACTTTTGGGCTCTGGTGCAGAAAAAGCAGAAATTCAGTTGGGTTCGGACTTCGGATATAGAAAGTCATTTGCATTTCTGTATATTTCTTGTTTTGGCATGGTCCTAGTTTGTTTGTCTCTCTCTCTCTTCTGATTTATATGTTTCCCAGTTTCGCATAGGACCAGCAACTGCTATGGCAAGTGGCATGGATAAATTTCCAAATGTGCTTGTTCTATGTATCTGATGTATAAACATTGACTTGTCGAGGCATTGGTAAAGGGAACTAGGACGTTGTCTAACCAAAACCTTCAGTGTTTAATCAGCTATTAGTAAATTGTTCTTTGAATTTATGATGATCATATGCAACATCTGTTTTCGTATGCGTCATGTTATCATATCTGAATCGTAATACCTCTAAAACTATACATTCATCGTTTCTTTAAATTTGTTACTAGGTTTAATCGACTGTTTATGCCCATGCACTTGTTCACCAAGAATGCAGAATTCTTGGGATCTGGAACACTGATCGGATCATGCGTGACACACTTCATTCTATTGTCGCTTGCAACTCCATCTGTTGCTGCATGACAAATGGCATCTTGTTGGGAATCCCTGAATGTTTCGTCGCTTGCTATGCTTGTTCCTACCACAGGACTCTCCGTGAGAAGTACAAACTCAAGGTATAAGATTCATTCATTATCCTCCGATCTCTTGCTTAAACCTCAGGGGCCATCTTCAATCGATATTTAACATAGTTGCTCTCCTATTGTGTCAGAAGCCCCTTGTAACGACTTCATCACCCACTTCTTCTGCCATCTGTGTGCTAACTGCCAAGAGTACCGAGAGATTCAAGAAAGGTTCGACAACTCTAACCCGCATGACCTCAGCGGAGCAACAGTAGTTGTCTCGGCTCCACCTGCGCAGGTAATGGAGGCAGGTTTGATGGAGTAACATTAGTTGTAGTTGTTATACATGTTGTTATACATATTGTATAGAGAAGCTCCCATGCCATTGACTACTTCCTTTTGGTTAGGTTCATCACAAAGAAAAACTCTTGTTGTATGTTATATCTCCTGGAAAAAGGTATAATTTGCATGAATTGTTTGACATATAGTAGTAGTCCCTTGCTCCCTCCCGTGGTTAGCTCTTTGTAGCCTGGAGTTGGCTTGGCTAGTTATTTAAATGTTATGGAGCTTGAGTAGTTAATGATCCAGTGCCAAAATGGAGACGCTATCCTCGGTGCTATGATGGTCTGCAAATGGGAAGAAGATATACGAGGAGCATCAAGCTGTTGGAGTTGGACAATGACTGTGGTGTACTGACTACTGAACCAGGTTTTAGTTGTGTCCTTTAAGGTTTAGAAGAGGACATGTGACTTGAGAGGTTGTGGATGCATGGAATTTGAGAACTTTAGACTATTTCTCAGTGGGTTGGCATCCAATATCATACACATGAAACGGGTAAATACTTTGTTCGAAGTGAAGATTCTACTTTCTGGTTGTTGGATGATGCGATGACATTTTGTATAGAATATGTTGGTTTATGTGTTAGCAGACATTTTTATATGAAATAGGTAGGTTTATGCATCCTATTATCTAACAACCAAAACCCTGTAATATCAAAGGTTGGTTTATGCATCCTATCATTTAACGATCTAAGTCTTATAACCTCAATCTGATGGCCCCCTCTCGCATATCCATATGATTAGGGTTCCTTCTCTTATTGATGTTTTTTTTCCAAATTAATCCTCTTACACGAAGGTTGAATTGAAGATCTCTCAGATAAAACTAATGTTTGAGATCAACGGTTGAATCAATACTGGGATCGATAATATTGTCTTATAGGTCGCATTGTGTAGCTCAAAATTTCCTTAAAAGAGACCTAGTTTTTTTTTGACAAATTTAAAAGAGACCTAGTGAAGCCCAAAGATGCATCGAATTCAAACTATAATCTCTTCGAATGAAACTAACACTTCGACCTACAACTACCATCTTGTATCACTAGCTTATAACCCGGCCCATTGGCCGGAATATTCATATTTAATTATTTATATTTTTATGTTACGTTTAAGCTAATCAACCTGTTTAATTTTATTGCCAATTCTTCGATTGAGATGATACATAAAGAAAGAATATATAGGTCTAATATTCGGAGAAATACCATATCATTTAAGAAAAAAAAATATAATTTATCAATAATTCCGTTTTCATAATGATAATTAAGCCCTTATTAAAATGCTATTGATTAGTTGAATGTCAAGAAAGAGAGTATAAAAGCTCAGTGAAATTCCACACGACTCATATAGTTTGAAACTAAATCTTAAACCTCACAATCCTACATAAGAGTTTAATGCGCTCCTTTTATGAACAATATGCCACTAATCAAAAAGAAATTGAGGGTTGTTGATTCAAGTCAACTATATACTAACAACTCAGCTAAGAGGGGACCATCAAAACTTGAGAGCAAACGACAAAATTAGGGTTATCTCCAACATACTAATAGACTCAATCAAAGTAATAAGGTACAAAATTAAACACTCCTGGTTTATCAGTTTCGGTAGGTTGAATAAAGAATCGACCTACTTCAATAAATCAATCAATGATTCCTCGTTTTAAGATAGAAATAGGATGTGATAGATATAAAAACCATAAATATAAAGATCCAATAGCCAGCACTCTTCGTTGTACAACCAAATTTTTATCTCAAGAGACATATATTTCAACCAAAATTTCAATTTCTAATCCTCCTTCTGCAACTCCATTATTTATAAAACTCTTTTACTTGCCCAACTTAAAACCCAACAATAAAACCGACGTGCCAAAAGATACCAGATGATTGATTTTCAAAGGAGGCCTTGTACTGGGAAGTGAAAGGGGTGCAAACTATTGTACGATGGAGGGAATTTTTGAGGAAGTTAGAAAGAGATAAAAACAAAGATAAAAACCACAAAATTTAAATTGAAAATTGCAAGGACACAACACGTAGTGACAAAATTAGTTTTTTTCATGTTAGCCAATTACCAATTTACCTTTAGCAAAAATTAAAGAGAGAGAAATAATTTTAAAATTGAGAAAGTACATGAAACTCTACAATGAAAATTGAAGTATCAGGCACCATAAAAATACATACGGTATACTTAGTGGGCTTGCTAATCATGATGGAAAGTCCTGTGATTTTCAGAGAGTTGAACTTCGTGTATATTTTGTATTAAAAAAGACACAACAAATTTGTTCAGTGTAAATGGTTGTGATTGTTGTCTTTGTTTGAAGAGACCCGAGTTCAAATCCTAATGTTGATATTTTTTATGTGAGATAAATAATTAATTGTAAAGACAAAAATATCCTTCCTATTTTCACTCTCATTGCACGAAATTTGAAATGGAGAAAAGTTTTTGTAATATATATTGGAGGATTGTTTTGACATAATTGATGTAGTCGTGAGACTCAAAATTTTAATTAATAATATATATGCTATGAAGTTGGTTACCTCAATGAAATCAAATTACCAATAAAACAGAGAAAATTTTACACTAATCAAACTCACCACTGTATTTATTAGTCGTGTTTGTTCAGTCCCCATTTTTGCAAGCCAAAAAGCTTCACAGTTTGCACCGAATTCTCTCTTTGCTTTCTTCCACCAAACCTAACAGAAACACTCCCCCTTCTTCGCTTGAAACGTAATCGAGGTGCTTGACTGTAATGTAGCAGATTGCCGCAGAGATAATTTCCCCATCGCAGTTCTTGTTGCTGCTGCTTCGCGATTCGTCTGGAGGAAGAAGAGGTCGGTCGGTCGATCATCACGTATCGAAGAGGACATTCTCCAGTCGGATAGTTGTGTACTTGTGTTTGTCCTCCAGATGGATAGCTTCACCGCCGAAGATCTATCCACGATCGGGGGAATCGCCACCGTCTCGCTTCTTCACTCCTTTATCCCCACCCACTGGCTGCCTTTCTCCATTGTCGGCCGCGCTCAGAAATGGACTCTCTCCAGAACCCTTCTCGTCAGTATGTCCTCTCCCTCTCCGCGCGCTCTCTCCCGCACTCTCCTTTACTTTCTCAGTCGGCTGCATCTATTGTTCAGTTAACATCTGCTGCATTTCCGCCGCTCCGCACTTAATTTTGGCGCCATCTTATTCCGTGTTTGTTTTATCTTGATTCGGATCGGTAGTTAGGGCGGCAGCTCTGCAAGTCTTCAATTTTGCCATTGAACTCTTCAATTCGAGTGCGTGCGAGACACTGTTAGGTTATGGCGACCTGGGATCTATAGTGGGCGTATTGACCTCTTTACTCATTGATCAGATTTTGATAGCTCGATTGTGTGGGCTTAGAGTTTCATGTCATGCCTTCTTGCTTTTGTAAGGTTTCATACTAGTATATTTGTGAATTAATCGTCTTTTCAACTCAGTTATTAGCACTGGTCTTTGCATTTTCCTGCGAAGATGGTAGTGGCAGTAGCCAATTACATTGCCTAGTAGAACCACCTTTCCTTGATGGTGTCTAATTGATTAGTCCTAGGGAAAGTTCCTCCATCTAGGATATGCTACGTTCAGCTAGTCCTCTCCTTGATTAGTGTCACTAGCTGACTGTTTCGGCAGCTGCATTGCGGATCGCTGCAGGCATGCTTCTTGATTTAATTGTTGTGCTTGTAAGAGTGGTTGCAACTACTTGTTTCGTCAGATAGAGTTTATCAATTCATCATTGCTTCAGTGGCTATCTGTAATATGTAGATTCCGTTATTCATGCTGCCTGATAACTAGTTACGTTAGGCACTCTTATCTCCATACTGTTCATTTTCCTTGTTAACGTGGATTGGTTATAGTTCGCCTATTGCTCAAGTTGTGAGGTTGACAGGCTTTCTGAGAAACATATACAACTTCAGTGCAACTTCAAGAATCAAAATCTTAGTAGTTTTAATGGTTGTTTACTGGCTGATCTTCGTATTTGTTTCTCCCTGTAGCTGCTTTTGGGGCAGTCTTGCATGTTATCTCAACTTCGCTCCTGGGCATCACAGCAATCACAATGGCAAATACAATTGCCGGTGAAGAAACAGTGCACAAGCTAGCTTCACTTCTTCTCGTAATTCTCGGAGGTAGTTACGTGTTACTGTTTCTCTCTGGGAAAGGTGGGCACAGTCATTCACATAACCAACCAATGGAGAAAATGGCGGTTGCAGGGCTTGTTCTTGTTCCTGCATTATCTCCTTGTGCGACTACTCTTCCAGTGTTCCTTGCAGTTGGTAATTCATCCTCTATGATGGTGCTTGCCATCATCGTGCTGCTAATCAGGTATGACATCATCATCTGACTGTTGCATTTCCTATTTCTCTCGTACACAAAAAGCTCATTTGTGCATGGTACAACGTCGTATTTGAGAAGACAACATAGTTCAGGAAACTAATATGGCCATTAACCCTTTAGATGAAGTTACTGTAATCAATCCCTGTATCATCAAAGGTGTGCCTACACTTTATGGTTTGGCTTATCTTCCCACCTCAACTGACGTCGAACTCTGTGATATTGGCAGCACGATAACTGTTATGACTTCACTGGTGGCTCTGTCATTCTACGGCGCCAGTCAGATCAAGTTCCACTGGGTGGAACGCTACGACAAGCTTTTGGTGGGATCGGTTCTATGTCTGGTAGGAATATTGACGCTCATCTTCCATGATCACGATCATGGGCACCACCACGGAGAGGCAGCTTTCTCTGCTCAACAGCTGCCTAGAAAAGTCATTCTCCCTTGACCATTTTTTTCCCCTGCAGGTGAAAGGAAACAAAAATGTAAAGTGTTTGTTAAGCTGTAGTAGGATGCTTCTTCTTGCTGTTCATCGAGGCACAGGATCGACTCTGAACTGGCATATCTACGAGGTGCATGTTGTGTGAGATTCTGCTGTTCCAGATACTTATTCAGTGTGCCAACTGTTTTTGTTTAGGTAGTAGCATACTCCTACTTGTGTAATCCAGAGACCATGGCCGGTGATCGAATGGCAAGTAGTAGTTTGTGTTTGTTGTTCATCCATGGATCCAGTGCAGGCAGATATGCCATTTGCCTGCTTCAAAAAAGCACTAGCATTCTCTAAATGAGTTAGTCACTTTTGCCAGTGAATTTTATAGTAATAAGATAAAAGAAAAATACAATAAATTTTAGAAAATGAGGAAGAAGAAGGGAAAGAATCGTGGTAATGCAGCTGGGCTTGTAAGAGATAAGTCCTAGTTGGGCTTCTACCGCCTTATTTCGGCCCGGCCCTTCAAACAAATTGAAATGGCGGGTTTCCAAAAGCGAGGGCTTAATTTTCAGCTCCCGCCATTAATGAATGTTGAACTTCACCGATGAGCTGAGATTCTAGTTTGACGGACACAAGACCGGCGCGAGCTCCGTAATTTCCCGCTCTCTATCAGTCTCTTCCCCTAGGGAGATTTTTGCCAGGGAGGAATTCCAGCGCAGCTTCCGCTTCTCAATTCCAAGTAAAACTAGCTGAAAGTTTCCGTCGGCCTCTTATAAGTCCTACCGCACCGCAGACTTCTAGGGTTTCAAGCTGAACAGAATGGCGGTGCTCAGTTGGAAGCACCACACCGTCATCCAAGCTCTGATGGCGCGTGGTCCGCTCATGGAGGACGAGTTCCGCAAAATCTACGCCGACGTTACTGGGAAAAACCCTCGTAAGTCTTGCTCCTTCAATCCTTCTCCATTTGTTTTTTGGTAGAATGGATCGTTTTAATTGGTCGCTTTAGCAATATTATGGACTCGAAATTTTAGGTTCTAGATATTGGTGGGAGAAATCGATTCACTTGGTCAATTTTATGCATGTAGGTTTGGGGTTGTTTTTCTTAGGGCACCTTTGTTACTGTAGCGGTCGTTGAGCTATTATGTTAATGGCGGGTTGTTATGTGTTTTGCTGGTGCAGGCGCTAACTCAAAGGACTTCAATGATTTCACACTGAAGATAAATAAGGAGCTTTCGTTTGTCCAGATGGAGTTGAGGTGCTGCCGGAACCAAAATGATGGTCGAGTCTATTATGGATTGGTCAACAATATTGCTGATGAACAATCCAAGCTGGGGACGAAGTACTCTATCCCACATATTGCTTTGTTTAAGGGAATCGTAAGTTCCTTAGAAAACTGAATTGCTGTTGGCCTGCGGGTTTGGATGATTTCATCCCTGTCTTGATTGTTTCGGTTATAACGGAGCTGAGTACTTAAAACACCTGCTATTCCCGTGGTATTTAATCATGTTTGATAGCCGTCACATATAGGATCAAGAAGTCGCGTTTTTTTTTTTAACTTGCATTAAGCCTCCTAAACAGAGTTTGTTGAAAGAGATATATGGGTTCCCACCTGATTGAAAATTGAATGCATACACCTTCGATGCAGCTGATGCTACTCTAAGTAGTTCGTTATGTATCTGAAATTGTTTATGTTTATTGCATCTGATTATTGTTTGCTGATCTGGATTGTTTATTCCAACTATGGATAGTTCACTTTGTTGTTTGCATTTTACATGAGTGCAATTTTCCTTCACTTCATTAACTGGCCATGTCTGCTACCTTCATTTGCTCTTAGCTACTAGTTGATTATCCTTGTGAGCATGTGTTTGCTGGTCCAATTTGTTACGTGATTTAAATGTAGTTGGAGGTTTTCAATCTCCTTTTTTTGTTCCATCCTGATCCGTATCTTTCAGGTAGAAGCGATTATACAAGATGAAGCTGCTCAGGGTTGCATATCCACCATTACAGCTCTCAACATACGACTGGAGAATCAGGTTTCATAACATATGTGTGCTGTGCAAATAGGTTACATAACATATCGGTTGTTTGTTCAAGTTATAATTTCTCTGTAAAATATATTTGATCTTCAAGTCTAAAGTGTTCCTATGTAACAAGTGGAAGATAAAATCGACTGATTATGCAACTAGGTATGTATAACTCCAGTAGCACACCAATTTTTCAGGGTTTGTTTGGCGGATTAGTAGTATGGGCTTCTCATACTTTGATCATAATAAAAGAATTGGTTTTTTATACTAGTCAGTCTCCTTGGCCTCTTAATGTGCAAGAAGGAATTACCTCTGGTATCCATCTATTCCAACTGTGAAAGTGCTGATTCAGGAGTATAGTTGTTTATCCATCAACTGGACTTTGATATTAATATCGACGATCAGAAGAGAAATGTGCAAGGGTTGATAATTGGTAGCTATGCAAACAAACTAGAGAGGCAGAACCCAATAGGTAAGGTGCAGAAGTTGGGAAGAAAATAGAGTAGCTGTAAATATATAGTTGTGGAAACACAAATTGGTTCGGTAGAAAATGCACGGAAACATTAATACAGTAAAGCAAAACCAAAATAGAGAACATGTGGTAGCTCTTTGTTAGAGAGATTGAGAAGAGAACAAAGATGAGATTATTGACACAGAATAACTTCAGTTGAATGACCATACACCTTGATTTAGCATTGCCATATCAGTAGAAAATCCATTTTACTATTCACTTAATAGTAGTATAGATCATAGACACTGCAAGCCGTAATTTCTTCTAAACTCAACAGAATTCTGCTTCTCATAAGCTTTTTCAGGTAAAATTTCACAGTGCACATATATTCACAAGCGTTTCATGCTTTCCATACAAGAATAACTTCAGTTGAATGACCATACACCTTGATTTAGCATTGCCATATCAGTAGAAAATCCATTTTACTATTCACTTAATAGTAGTATAGATCATAGACACTGCAAGCCGTAATTTCTTCTAAACTCAACAGAATTCTGCTTCTCATAAGCTTTTTCAGGTAAAATTTCACAGTGCACATATATTCACAAGCGTTTCATGCTTTCCATACAAGAATAACTTCAGTTGAATGACCATACACCTTGATTTAGCATTGCCATATCAGTAGAAAATCCATTTTACTATTCACTTAATAGTAGTATAGATCATAGACACTGCAAGCCGTAATTTCTTCTAAACTCAACAGAATTCTGCTTCTCATAAGCTTTTTCAGGTAAAATTTCACAGTGCACATATATTCACAAGCGTTTCTTGCTTTCCATACTGGTGTATGTATATGACAGTCTTTACATATTTTTTCTGCAGGTCCAGTTGGCAGGAGGTTCCCAGTCACAAGATGGTCCACCTGAAGTCCCAGCTGCAATAAGGAATTTCTCAATGTCCCAGAAGGACAGGGCTATCGATGAACTCATACGAGACAATTGGCTTTCTCAAACTACTGATGGTGATGTTGCCTTAGGGTTCAGATCCTACCTTGATCTAAGGAGCTTATTCCATAACATGGGCATTCCTCCTTGTGAAGTCTGCAATGAAAGCGGCGTCAAGGTCTGCTCTTGCATTCACGGAACTATAGATCTCCAAGACGTTGTCTACTTTCTGTACATTTTAGACAAATTATTTACCTTTTTTTTTTTGGCAGGCTAAAGTGTGCCCAACTGAAGGATGTAATGTGCGAATTCACGAGTACTGCTTGAGTAAGAAACTATCACGGAAAAAGGTAATAACTTAGCAGCAAGTGTGTTCATTTTAATTATTTGTTCCAACCGTCAACGGGCTTTCTCACAACCCCTCTAACGTAAAATGACCGTTTCTGTTTCTTGCAGGACAAGATAGTATGCCCGAGTTGTGGCATTAATTGGCCATTTGCCGCACCAAAGAGCGAACCAGTGGAGGAAGAAGAGGATGAGCAGCCGACTCAAACTCAAACCCAAACGCAGCAACCATCATCGAGTGGATCCAGAAGGAAGCGGTATCGATTCTCGGTTGACGTAGAACCCAACCCTGCTTCCGCCGAAGCTTCTCAACCGGCTCCCTCTACGAGAAGAAGCACCCGATTTTCTGGACGATCGAGGTAGTAGTACCGGAACTCATCCTCCTTCCTTCCTCTCTCATCCAGCATTTTCCCTCCCCAATCTGATGAATGTGAGCTCAAAGGCTATGTTATTTTGTGAGCTACATAACAAGTAGGATCGAAATTTAAGGGGGCTCATGCACAGTTTGAATGTCAGGAAAGCTAAGACACCAACAGTAGCTGTAAATGAGGCATCCTGAGGTTGTATTTGTATAGTTGGTACTGGTAGTAGATGACTTGTTGGCTTATTAGGCTATGGCTGTATTGGGCAAGTCGCCTCTTCTCTTGGAACAGCACATACTCTCGACAAATTGGGTATATTCTTGTTTGTCTAAGGCTACAATGACAACTGGCCAAACGAAATCTTAGCTAAGGGCATTCATCGTCATCGTTGGATCTCTTCCACCAGTTTTGTTTTGTTGTGACGATGAAATATATTTTCGATAATATCGTTGTTTTTTTTTATTATGACTATGTTCTATGGTTAAATTAAGCTTTATTACTAAGATCGCGAAAATTTCAATGTGAGACTTATGATTGAAGACTTTAACCGCGCACATGGAGAATTAATTCATTTACTCGTTAAGTCACAACACTTTATAGAAACACACCCACTATGTTCAATTATGTACATATCTGTTCAATTATGTCGAATATCTGTTCAATTATGTCCATCATAATGTTTATGATTATGATATGCTTTCTCCATCGAAGAAAGAAAAAAGGAGCGTAGTTTCTCTATCTCTATCGTACAGTGTGGTGAAGGATATAGCTTGTATTGTGGATTATGACCGTCGCCTTTAGTGGGTTCATCGAAGTTTGTCGGCTGTATTAGTTGACGGGGCTGGCTGAAAGTCAAGCTGGCCCAATCGATTTACTTAATAAACATAGCGTTATTTGAATTTCGCTGCTCCACTCTCGATCGGAGCTCGCAATTCCTCTGCAATTTTTTCATCGATCTGTTTCTCAGAGTTCAAGGGTTCGTTTTAGAGGAGCAACAATCGGCAGCAAATAGATCAACTTTTTTTTGAGCTTAACGTCTCTCGCGATTGACCCAGATCAACACACACACACACTCTCTCTCTCTCCCTTTTTTATCCTTGCTCCTTTCTTGTTTTGCCTACCCCGCCATGGCGCCATCTCTTTCTGCTCTCCTCCATCAATCATCATCTCACTGCCATAGTTTCTGTTCCGTTTAGTTACCGTTGGTTGCATTATTTATTTATGTTCAGTTTTGACTGTTCACATAGCCATCATTGATCCAAGTCCTCTCTCTCTCTCTCTCTCTCTCTCTCTCTCTCTCTCTTGCTTTCGTTCTCTGCCCGCTTTCTTCTTCCCGAAGCTCATTCCTTTCGCGAATTTCAATCAAAACCCAAGTCAAAGGGGGGACCGGGGCTTGCTCTAATCTCATCTGGGTCGGTCTCGTGATCGCCTGATTTGCTCTCCCCTCCCTCCCTCCCTCCCTCCAATTTCTCAGGTGAGCTGTCACAGCAAGAAAATGAGTTTTGTGTTCTGCTGTTTCTATCTTCTGCTTAGTAAGTCTGCGTGAAATTGAAGCTGGTTGGTAATTCCATATTGGGTAGTGAATGATTTGGGCGTGTTTTGTGATTCATTCTGGACTTTGCTTTGCAGCAGAGTTTTCCTGTTCGGGTTCTGTGTTTAGATTCTCGACTTGCTAGCTAGCCCTGGTTTTGGTCCCTGCAATCAGAGTTGAAAGTATGAATGTTCCTCCTTCGGGCAGTTGCTGTCTTTTGGCTTTCCTTTTTTGTCTTAATCTTTCTGTTTGAGAAATTTAACAGCTTTTACGTTTCCGTGTGTTTGTTTCAACCGCAACACTCTAATTCATCTTCTCCTTCTTCTGCTCCTCCTCTTTCCATTCCCGTCCCACTAGGGCGATTTCCCAGTTCGTTTCTTCGGACGATGATGGCGGAGGATTTCGCGAGATCAGTCGAGGACGGGCTGAAGCTGTCTAAGCGGATATACTTGGGCAAGGACAGAGCCATAGCTCCTCCGAACATTCCGGTGACGATGGACAAGTCCATAACGGACGCTTACCTGCCGAAGTCGCCCATGGTCTACGCCGTCATCTCCAACCCAGGTATCGTCGACAACCCGGACATACCTAGCTACCAGCCTCACGTGCATGGCAGGTGCGATCCCCCAGCTCTCATCCCGCTTCAGATGAATCGGATTGAGCTCCAGGCCGATTGCTTCTTCGACAATGTCTTCGTGCAAATAATCGGATCCTGGCGGGTTCATTGTATTATGGGAAGCAAGAGCTGCGATTGCCGTATTGCCCTTCCAATGGGCGAACAGGTCGGTTCTTTGTTAATTTGTGCCCCTCAAGTTGTTTCATATGAGGGATGTGGGCTTGTATTTCAATGTCTGAACGTCTTTCTTCTTTCTCAAGTAATATCACTACCATTTGGCTAACAGGGTTCAGTTCTAGGTGTCGAGGTGGAGGTTCATACGAAGTCATATGCTACTGAGATGATTGCAGTGGACGTCAACAAGGATGTGGTGGACAAAGAAGCCCACCCTGAAACTGGCAGCTATCTCCAACCCAACATATTTACCCTCACGATCCCAAAGGTTAGTCAGTCTTATTGGAGGAGCTCCTTTCTTGTCAACTGTGTTCTGCAGTAAAAATGTGTTGTTTCGTTGTGGAATGGTCTTCTATGGAACTTGATTCTTACATCTTTCTAGGTTGATGGGGGTGCCATACTTTCAATTAAAGCTAGTTGGATGCAGAAATCAGTATTCAAGAATGGAGAATTTTCGATAGGAGTTCCATTTAGTTTCCCAGAGTATGTCACTCCAGTTGCAAAGAAGCTACCCAAGAAGGAGAAGATACTCTTGAATGTGAACTCTGGTTCTGGAACTGAGATTGTATGCAAACATACCAGTCATCCTTTGAAGGTTGTAAGCTTAACCGGCCTTCTTTAAGGAACTTAACTTTTTATGTTTTTTAATAATTAAGGGAACTTAACTTGAACTGTGTAGTTGTTATCGTTTTTTTTTTAAATTTTATTTTATTTTACAAGTCTTCAGGAAGTCAGAAGAGAAGCTGGGAAGTTGTCTTTGGCTTATGAAACAGAAGTTCTCATTTGGACGCACAATGATTTCACTTTCTCATATGCGGTAAGCTTCACTCTATAGGACATGAAACTGATAACCACTAGAATAAAATGCCTAATATTTGATATTCATAGTGAAGCTTGCTTAAGATGGCTGTTTCTATTATTTGATAGTCCAATCCCATGTTATGTTAGGTCTCGTCAAGCCATATATTTGGTGGTTTGCTTGTGCAATCACCATCTGTGCATGATGTCGATCAAAGAGACATGTTCTCCATTTACCTCTTTCCTGGAAATCAGCAGTGCATGAAGGTCAGTTTAACATGAGCTTAATCTGATAAGTGAGGCTCCACACTTCTACCTACTGGTGTGTTCTCATTTTCCTCAATCTGATAGGTGTTCAGAAGAGAGGTCGTATTTGTTATTGATATAAGTGGAAGCATGGAAGGAAAGCCAATTCAGGCTACGAAGAATGCAATACTTACTGCTCTCAACAAGCTTGAACCTAAAGATTCATTCAATATACTAGCTTTCAATGGTGAGAGTTATGTCTTTTCATCACTCATGGAATCCGTAACTGAAAACACAATCGAGAAGGCTGGTCAATGGATTAATTCAAATTTTATAGCCGGTGGGAGTACAAATATTTCACAGGCCCTAAATAAGGTGATTTGTCTGCTTATTCCAAGCATTTTGGTGCTGCTTATTCCAAGCATTTTGGTGTTTCTATCAGTTTGCAATGTGTTCAACATGGTATATAGTTTAACACTACTACGGGTTTCTTTCATGCTCTCAGGCAATAGAGATGGTCTCCAACATTAGTGGTGCAATCCCTCTCATATTCCTTGTGACTGATGGCACTGTCGAAGATGAAAGACAAATTTGTGAAGTGATTAAAAGTCGACAAACTTTTGGGGAAGCAATATCTCCACGGATACACACTTTTGGCATTGGTATGCTCTTATTTTGTACTCCTAATCCCTGTTCCTTGTCTTTTCCCCCATTGAAGAGAAGCTTCTTTTTTGTGAGGTTGAAGTTGTTAAATTCAGCTTCTAACAAGGATTTTATTGAAAAATGTCAGTCTTCATATTTTCACTTCACTTTTATAATCTGTAACTTTGTGCACCAATGTTCCAGGGTTGTACTGCAATCATCATTTTCTGAGGATGCTTGCAATCCTTGGCAGAGGAGGAAATGGTGCTGCTTATGAAGTAGGTGAGTCCAAGGTTCTTATTACTGGTTCACTCTCTCTAGGTAGCTACAATTTTGAGACTTCTTGCTTCATTTTATTTTCGAAGTTTTCGGTTGGAGGTAGCATAGCAATGTTATATTGACTATGTTCTTGTGTCATGAAACATGGACTTGACTCCAGGGTTTTCCATTGCATATTGAATTTCTGTAGGACATATGTTTTGAATTATAAGTTGTAGTTTCTTACTGTTATCTTTTCTTGTAATTGTTTATCTATGATCAGATTCCATAGAGACTAGACTGCAAAGTTTCTTCAGCAGAGGTTTGTCTACTGTTCTTGCCAATATATCACTGGAGCCATTGGATAATGAAGTTGAGGTATGCTTGAAGCTAATCTCCCTTATCATGAAAAATTAGTGATTTCACCCACCCTTCTCTTTTCCCTATATGTCAGCATCCATGGTTCGGGAATCTATTAGTTTTATCTTTTCTGCATTGGCCATAACCTTTAGTTGTATAACTGATATCCCTTGGTGGATCCTAGACTTGTTCTTGTGCGTCACCTGTGTTTATGCTTGCTTGTTGCCTCCTTTTGATTTAGATGGTTTTGTTTATGCAACAATGTATCCGGTCGAGGACCTATTAAAAAAAGAACTTGGTGGATTGGTAATGTGGGACCATTTTTTATCTATGCATATTCATCGACTTTGAAAACTCTATCTGCTTGTTTCCAGTGTGACAACTTTCCTTTGTTACTGTCTTCTTTGTACCGCATGGAGCTTTTTAGCTATAGTTTTATGGTTCCCCCATCTTCTTGCAACAGACGTATCCTTCCCGCCTTCCAGACCTTTCGTGTGAGGAGTTGTGGACCATATCTGGTAGATTTGTTGGAAATTTACCAGAGTTTGTAAGAGCTGAAGGTGTTTTTGGCGACTTTAGTAAATTTGTTGTGGACTTGAAGACATGTAGCGCAAAAGACGTTCCTTTGGACAAGGTAAAGGAAATAACTCACCCTTATACAGTTTCATTTGGCTCATTTGCAACATCTTGTGAGCCTTGGTGCATCTCTCAAGTTCTTACTTTATTTTGCAATATGGTTATCTTACGTTAGAGGGCTGTTAGAGGTGTCAAGTACCTTTGCATGATTGCGATGTTTGCTTTTAAAATCCTTTAGGGGCAGAGCTTTAGCCATGGCAAATCCAATTGAGTATTGGCAACACATGTGGTTCTAGATGATGGATAAATTTGTGAGTCGAGGACCTTGATGCTTATGTAGGTTCTTTCATGTTGTATTTGGTATGGATTCTCTCATCAAGCAAGAGAAGCTTGTAGCTAGGCTTGTACTGGTGTTGGAGGTGCTTCTCGTTTCCATCTTCCTACTGCATCTCTCAATAGGGTTTTAGAGAATCCGTGAACGCTCTAGATTGACATGGATGAAATGTACATCTGGAAACAGCTCCAAAACTTTGGCTAGTTGTATTTGATTGATGATAAATGATTTTGGCTTATTACAGATATTTGCAAAGCAGCAGATTGATATTCTAACATCCCAGGCATGGTTTTCAACAAGCAAACAGCTAGAGGAGAAGGTACAGCTCTGTTTCATCTTTTTTTTTTTTTTTTTATAGGAATATAGCCAAAACTTGATATGCTTACTACTATCCCAGTGATTTTGAACTCTAGTGGTACCTGCCAGGTTTCCAAAATTAGCATAGAAACTGGAGTTGCATCTGAATACACACGCATGTTAATATTGGAAACTCAGAGAGTGCACCAATCCACGGAATCGCCTGCTGGACGCAAGGTAATAAGTAATGCCATCTTTGACACCATACGTAGTACAGCTTTCCATAAACAAACTCCAGTCGCTAATACTAGTGGACCATAAACAAACAGGGATCAAAGAAAGCTAATTCGGAGAAGGGAGAAACCAAGACTCTGAGGAGAACAATGCTGCCAAGCCTGGGGGTCGGGTTCGGAAGTCTGACAGCAACCACGGACAACATACCACCAGGAGCCGAGCAACCGAAGTTGCCAGAGGCCGCCGAGATGATAATCAAGGCGGCTTCAAACTGCTGCGAGAGGCTGTACGGCAACTGCTGCTGCATGTGCTGCATCCAGTGTTGTTCCAGAATGAACAACGAATGCGCGGTAGCCTTGACCCAGCTCTGCATGGCTCTAGCATGTTTCGGCTGCTTCGAGTGCTGCGCCGCAATATGTTGCCCCGGGGAACAGTGATTTCCATTAGCCACTTGGTTAATATTGTTGTGATTTTTTTCCATCTTCTGTGTGTGCAGCATTGAGTGAAACAGCACAGCACCCCCGCCATATTTATACTGTATATTGGTGTCGTGGTTGCCGCTTTTGGTTGGGGATGGGACTTGGTTGTATACACACGGTGTATAGTAGAAAAGTGAAGGAGAGAGCCCATGATTCTTTGTTAAATCCAAACTTGTTCTGGGATGTTGTACATTTTGTAAGAAAGTAAGAAACTGAAGTAAAGAGTGTCTGAATTAGGAGTGGATTTATTTGTTTTAATTTGCAAAATAGAGATGTATGTATATCCACAACTATCAGGTTTGTGACAAATATATCCACAACTATCGAAATGCACGAAATATTCATTTCCGTTCACTTCGATAACTCCGTCAGTTAACTTGATGACTGGACAGACGGTGGATGCTTAGTTGGCGTGTTTCTGACCCCCACTAAATGAAGTGGATTAAAAGAGAAAAAAAAAATTTAGGCAAAATACAGTTGTATATCCACGACTATCAGGTTTGTGACAAATAAATCCACAACTATTGAAATACACGAAATATCTAAAAATTGGAAGGTTGTGTGACAAATCTATCCACTTACGTCTGAAACTATAACGGCGTGTCAGACGGCGTTAAATTGACTAACGAAATGCTGAATCGATGCCATCTCACCTGCCACATAAACCAAACAGCAACCAAACTTTACACCGTTATCTGTTAGACCTCGCTGCTGCAGTCTTCTCTGTTGGCGATTTGGTTAAATTCAAAGATTTTTTGTTTGAGATTCAATCTTGGTATCACCATGACGCAGACTGCATGGAAGCCGTCGGAGTAAATTTATTTGTTTTAATTTCCTCCAATTAAAGTTCCGGGCCCTCAATATAGACATGCCAGGAACTTACGGGCTGGGCCGTGTTTACCTCTCTAATTAAATAAATATTAGCTTCGTCGTGCGGTTGGGCTTGGGCTGCAGAAGAGACCCATCAGGCCATCGCCCATAATATTTTGTAGAAGTTTGGTTTGGAGCAAGATTGACAAATCCTTTTACCCTGATAAGTCGGTCAAGCAAGTGATATGGTCCTAGAGGAATACTATTGTCTATACGACGGTTTATACTTGTTTTAACAAAATATATGAGGAGGTGTAAATCAATTAACACAAAACGAATTGTGCATTTATGTAATCTATCTTAAAACAAGCTGCTTGTAATTTTCATCTATACTTAAAAAATAAAACACTACATTACAAACATAAGGATAAAACGTCATATTTAAATGCAACATCTAAAGCCAACATGCAAATTTGTTATACTTGAATCTGACAAATTTCTTTCTTTTAACAGTTAACTCCACTAAAACGACGTCGTTTTCGTTACCAATGGTCTTCCAGCCGGTTTATGAAACCCAAGTAGAAAAAGTACCCCTTCTCAAGTGACAAGTAAGATGGCACCTAAAAAGCTTCATTCCATGAGATTGGATGATGAGGGGATAGTAAAGGCTGTAGAGGGCACTTGGGATTGGGATGGATCATGGATGGCATTTGGATTGTGGGACATTTAGGGGTATCCCATATTCCAATTTGTGCTTTTGGGATGCATGGATATGATGAAAATAAGGTACCACCACACCATCCTATGTGTAAAGTCACATAAAAAAAAAAAGAACATCCAATGTGTTTCAATGACACAAAAAAATGGATTCCTCAGCATAGGAGAATAGAAGACCCAAACAAAACTGTGAGTTTGTTGTAGCAAATAGTACATTAGCAGGATGTTTGTTTATGTTGTCATAAAGAGTAGAATAGGGCCAAATTTGCTTGATGGCTGCCACTGACAAATGTTCATCATGACCTGGATCCCACTTTTGAGATTTGATTTATGTTCTCTTCCTATCCTTTCCTTCAGATTTTCTTTTCCCTAACTTACTTATTAATAATAAGTCCATGAAACCTTACCGGACATCGTACCGGAAAAGTTAGTAGTAGGGTATTTTACGGTAAAATCGTGATTGAACCGTAGTTCAACTGTTAATACCGTTAAATACCACCTATCGGGTTAGCTTCCGATACTGGTATTTTGTGGTTGAACCGCCAGTACGATATGGTTTAATGGACCATGCTTATTATAGGTGATTTCTTCTCACTTGAGTTGCATGTTTAACCAATACATATTGTTTGTTAAAATGAAATTCAAGGAGTATAATATATATATTTTTTTTACGACAAGCGGTCCTAGTTCATATGTTTTTGACGATACTCATGCGCGCACACGAAAAGTATATGGAACAAGAAGGTGTCAGTTCGAACTGTACGACAAATTTGTTGACGACGAAAGAGATTACACAAATTCAACAAAATGTGTTCCCCACAAACAATCAATAGTTTAATCTCCGTCCCGACGATTCGAATTCATTGTGATCACTCACAACAACAAAAAGAAAAGAGAGAAGAATGATCTAGATATACATCTAGCTAGTTAGGCTTTGGATCCTCAATAATATATATATACAATACAAGTAACATGCATGGCAAATAGCTATATTTATCTAATATATTTTCTCTCTGGTGTGGAAATCGAATCTCGATCCACTGCTTATTAACACCTCAAATCCCCCAAATAGCTTTCTGCTGCCTCCACAGTCCACGCTTTACAAATCTCTGCTGGTATACTGAAACCTCACTGCTGAAATCCGTGGGTCAAACCCATCGGCCAGACCTCCCAGCTAGTTGACGGAGGGTAGAAGTTGGACGACACTTCCAATTTTGGTGGGCGGCGGCGGTTCCTTCTTTTATTGGATCAGTGAAAACAAAGGGCGGACTGCGGTGGCGCAAATTGCTCGTCTCCTCCGCATTAGCCGTCTCTGTATATCTGAGTTGGAGCGGTGGGATCGTGGGGAGACGGTGGCGGGGACCCACTTTCCCAGAATCCACTATGCCTTTTCCCCTCCCCAAAATAAACTTTTCTTTTGCCTTTTCTTGCATGGAACTGGATGCAACAGCAGATTCCCTAAAACGAACAAATTTTCCCACCACCCTCTCTCTCTCTCTCTCTCCGTCTTCTCTTCCTTCTCTTCATCATCGTCTCATTGGCATTTTTACATTCCCATTTATTGTTATCAGGAATACTAATTTATTATCACTTTTGACTGCTCACAAAACCACACTTGATTCTTAGTCCATCCCTCTTTCTCTCTGTCTCTCTCTATCGCTTTCATTCTCTGCCGGCTTTCTTCTTCCCGAAGTTCATTCCTTTCTCGAATTTTAATCAGGACCCAAGTCAAGGGGAGGGATCGGTGCTTCTTGTCTCCTTGCTCTAATCTCTCAACTGGGTCGGTCCTGAAATTGGCTGATTGGCTTTTCTCCTGCCTCCAATTTCTCAGGTGAGCTGTCACAGGAAGGAGAGCAGAGTTTCTGTTCTGCTGTTTGCTCTCTCTTCTGATTCTTCTTTTTGGTTAGATTGCTCTCGCGCTTGGTGTGTGTGAATTTTTCATCGCTTTCAGTGTGAAATTGTGACTGGGGTTTGATTTGTCTCACTTGGTGGTTGGTGATTCCGGATTAGGTAGTGAATGATTTGGGGCGTTTTGTGATTCTTCTGGACATCGCTTTTGAAGCAGATGTTTCCTTTTTTATGGGAAAATCTGAGATTTTAGGCTTCTCGCTATCTAGGGACTGCGGTTTAATAATCCCTATAAGGAATTGAAGTATGAATATTTCCTTTTCTTCTCTGGGCAGTTGTTGGTTCTGGTTTTCCCTTTCTCTAGTCTTTGGTTTGTGAAAGTTAGCAACTTTCTAGTTTCCGAGTACAGCCGAGTGAACTTGGCTTTCTTGTTTTGTGGTTCAAAGAACTTGACTTTAGAGCTAGTTTGTACATAATTTAAGAATTAAGGTCAACGTTCAAGGGTTTTTTATTCTCTCACCTTGTCAAGGAAGAGCTTGTTCATGGACGAACTTGCACGTTTCAGTCTTGACAGCTTGAGAATGGTAGAATTCAGCTCTGTCAAACTTGTTTGGTAGAAGCTTCTCTTGTTCAACATCATTTCTCTTCCATAATGTGTTCCGTTAGCCTTGCTTCAAATCTTAGGATTGTGTTATTTTACTCATAACTTCTTTCTCAAGTCTTGTTTGATCTGGGTTGTCAAATTATGTCTGCATTCAACAAAACTCAATGATGATGGAATCATTTGGAAGGAATTTCTGGTGTACAAGGGCATTGGTGGAGTGTATTGGAAAGAAATGAGCTAGCTTTTTTATAGTCCAGGGGGAAATGTAATCTAGAGAGTATTCTCTGCGTGCGGTGATTGATCTTTTGATATTAGATGTTCTCATTCTTGTTTGGCTAGCCATTTTTATACTGTTTCATTCATGGGAATGTTCTTTTTGGGGTTTCAGGAAAACGTTTGAGCTGATTGTTTGGGCATCCGGAAAATGGGGGGTTCAAACTCTAAAGTAGAAGAAGACAAAGCTCTACAGCTTTGCCGCGCAAGAAAGAAGTTCGTCAGGCAAGCACTTGATGGTAGATGCTCCCTTGCCGCTGCTCATATTGCATACATTCAGTCCCTAAAAACTACAGGAATCGCATTAAGAAGATTAGTAGAACCAGACCTTCTTCCAACTGAATCATCACTGTACACCTCCACTAGTGCAACGCCCGAGCCACACGTTGTAACCGAGAAGTCCTACTCACACTTCTCCCTCTCTCCAACATCTCTATCCCATCCTGGGGATGGAACAAATGAAAACCTCTCTAGATCCCCTACTCCCCCTAGCTCTCGTAGGTTTCAGGTTCACCATATGAAGTTCAAAGGCTTCCCTTCTAGAAAGGTCGAAGAGAAGCCTCCTGTTGCCGTTACAGCCACAGTGACCTCATCAAGCACCCCACAGGATGCAACACCACCACAGTCCGCCGAAAAGCCAGAAGCAATACCACCCTTTGAACCTCCTCCATCTGCTACGCCTGGAACTCCACAATGGGATTACTTTCAGCTTTTTCATCCAATCGACAATGAGTTCTCTTTCCAAGATGGGCAGGAAAATGGAAATAGTCATGGCTTTGAGCATGGTGATGACATGGCACGGCATAGGGAGGAGGAGGGGATTCCTGAGCTGGAAGATGAGGAAGAAGATAAGGGTTCATTTCGTGGGACTGATGATGGATATGATGACTCTGAAGATGGATTTGATGATGACCCTCCTCCCACAGAGAGACTTGTGCGGAGTTATCAGAATGTCAACAGGGTGCATGATCATGTCAGTGCTTCGCCTACCGTGCCTTCTGCACGAAGTGTAGCTTCCGAAGGGGGGTTGTTGAATGGGGAGAAGAGTAACTCGCCTTATTTATCGCCGCTAAGAACTCCTTCCTCAACTGTTGTTGCTTCAGCTGAGAAAAAGAAAACACCTGTGAAAGAAGATCAGAATGAGAACAAGGTTACTCCTAAGGACTTCTTTTCGAGCATGAGAGATATCGAGTATCTGTTTATAAAGGCTTCTGAGTCTGGGAAAGAAGTTCCAAGGATGCTCGAAGCAAATAAATTTCACTTCCGTCCCGTAGCTGGAACAAAAGATAGTATGGTTTCCGTTCTCTGTCTCTTTGTTTATGTTTCGATGAAGTGAGAGATATTATGACCTTGAAAAACTAGTGGAGTTTCATTTCTTGGATTCCAGCGTTGAAAGCCTCTTAAGTCTTAACTAACAATACTCTGCATTGAAACAGATGGGTCAGTCGCTTCCACTTTTCTGAAGGCGTGTTTTTCTTGTGGGGATGATCCTACACATGTGCCAGAAGGTTAGCCTTCTTATTTTTGGTGTAAATCATTTTTCTGCGCTGTGTTATGTAGATAGTATTGGGATCTTAATGGCAAAGAAGCGACCTTATGATTTGACAGTTGACATTTCGCTGTTTGGGTGGTTGACTTCTCTTTAGAAGAAAAGTGCTACTGCCTCATCAACCTATATAATGCGGCTTATATAATCTTTGTATAGAAGTAGTTTGATTCGTGTTTTGAATGGTTTCCGTTGTTACTCGCCTAACTTGTTCCCGATGGCTTCTTTAGAACCCGTCCAAGATGCTGTGAAGTACCTGACTTGGCATAGGACAACTTCTTCACGATCATCATCATCTAGAAATCTTCTCGGAATGAATGCTAAAGATGATGCAGAGGATCTCGCTGGTAATCTCTTTGAGAATTTCTGTATGATCTCTGGCAGTCATGCTTCAACGTTGGATAGACTGCATGCTTGGGAGAGAAAACTTTATGATGAAGTAAAGGTATGGCGGTTTTTATTCATTTTATTTATGTCTGTCTATATCACTTGGTGGAAGTGTTTAAGAAATTATAGAAATTAAATTTTTGTAATCCACATTTCAGGCCAGCGAAATGGTCAGGAGGGAATATGACGCTAAATGCAGGTTCTTAAGACAGCTGGAATCGAAAAATGAAAGTTCGTATAGAATCGATAAAACCCGTGCCAATGTTAAGGATCTACATTCGAGAATCAGGGTTGCGATTCAAAGAATCGATTCCATATCAATGAGGATTGAGGAATTACGTGACAAAGAGCTTCAGCCGCAACTCGAGGAGTTGATTGAGGGGTATGTATCAGATTTAATATCCATCTTGAGAACTATTGTTCTGGCTTTAGATTGCTGCAGTGTATCATCTGTACATGGTATTGAATGCTGTCCATGTCTTATTTTCCATCTTCGGCTTGTCATGTTGAATCGTTTTTTTGTTTTCAGGCTAAGCCGAATGTGGGAAGTGATGTTCGAATGCCACAAACTGCAGTACACAATCATCACCATAGCAAACACGAACGCCAAAATCTCCCTGCAGTCTGAATCTCGCCGTCAGATCACTCTCCACCTCGAAACCGAGCTCGGCTCACTGTCATCTACATTCACAAAGTGGATGAATTCCCAAAAATCCTACCTCAAGTCCATCAATGACTGGTTATTCACCTGCGTGGTGCTTCCAGAGAAAACCTCCCGGCGTAAGAAGCGAGCCCCAAACCCTTCCTCCACACTGAGACACTTTGGGGCCCCAATCTACGCCACGTGTGGGGTATGGCTCGACAAGCTCGAGTCTTTACCAGCCAGAGAAGTAGCCGACTCGATAAAAGGTCTGACCACCGAGACAAGCCGGTTCATACCTCACCAGGACAGGAAGCAAGGGAAGAAGATGGCGACAACAACCGAGTTGCCACCATCGTGGAAGGGCGACAACGATAACAGGAGCGATGACGTGGCAGCAGATGATGATAATGGCGGTCCTCGCGGTTCTGAGCGATTCAGGTCGAGCTTGGAGGGGTTCATCGGCCAGCTCAGTAAGTTTGCAGAGTTGTCGGTGAACATGTATAAAGAGGTCGAGAAGGCGATCCAGGATGCGAAGCATCAGTTCGAGGTGAACTCGCAGATGCAGACTCAAACTGGATAGTCGGATCCTGGCTGGGTGAGAAGATTCAGAAAGGTACATTGGTTTGAGTCGGATCGTGCCAAATTGCAATCATCAGTTTGCGCAACTCTCTGAGCTCAGCTTGAACTGCTTCCGAATGGGCAACGTAAACCCCAATCCGGAAGGGAATCGGATCGATCAATTCAGAACAGGTAGAACGGTTGATGTGTAGCAAGCAAGGAACCGATAGCTTGGGCGCCAAGTATTGATACAGCAAGGCCTATGCGTTCTTTGTTGGGCCAGTGAAAGTTAATGAAACAAGCTAGGCCCAATAATTGAACTATTTCGGCCTACCTTAAGCGCCACAGCCCACGGTCACTGGGGTGAAAGGGGCAATCCGAATATATTGGGCGGGAAAACTCTGTCAATTGTGTCAACGTGCATAGTTAGGTCAAAGAAGGACACAATTGTAAATGACACCAAATTGTAATTAACCATCCATTTCTTAAGCAGCCCAATTCCTCAACCATCAAATCCTAATATCAAGTAAACCATTGTTGTCATAAGCGACGATATCGCGATGTAATCTTTAGCGATATTGACTCAACAGACAACAATAGCATAACTAACCATCAAACCCTAATATCAAGTAAACCATTTTTGGTTTCGAAACCAAAAATACATTCGCCAAATCATTCATCCAAGTTTTAATCAAATATCAGATCGTTAGGTGGCTGAGACCATTGGCTTGAATTACCTCTGAATGTTCGTCCTTAGCCTGATTACCTGCCCGGTTCAGAACAGCAACGGATCCAGGATTTAGTAGAGCACTAGGCCGCATTTGAATAAAAAATTTGATATTATAAAAGAAAATATATAATAATAACTAAGATTTTTGTTATAATGTGAATTATATACAATAGTCTTTTAGTTTAGCAAATTCATCAATAATAGAGTCTTCATCCATACAATTAACATACTATTTCTTAAAGAAATAGTTAAACAATCAACGAGAAATTCATCGCACATTCTATAGCACAAATTAGTTTTCACATGTTCCACCGCTAAAAAGGTTTCTCTTCGTAGTAGTCGTCGAAACGGACAACATCAACACTAAAAGAATCCACCGGTAATTAGAAAACAATATCGTCCTTGTCTTTTTATTTGGTGGTTGAGAATATACCATTATAAAGTATCTTCAAATTTTGATATATAACTAAAATTGTAATAGAATTCTTACAATTATCATAGACGGTTTAAACATGTGTCGCCCCTCATTCAGATTCCTAGCTCGGTCACTCACCTTAAAATCAAGGTTTTTACATTCTTAGGTCTCCGAGACTTCTGCTCAGCGAAGCAGCAGCAGCTTCTTGGTCGTGAATCGCAGCCCTAAACTTGGACAAGTCTTCAGAGTTCTCATTACCGGCTGGGAGCATGGCCTTCAACTCATACAAGGCACGAATCAAATCATCAATCATATCCCGAACCCTAGCCACGTCTCGAGGATGAATGAGCATATTCCTGGGGTAGTTAGAGATTATTATTAGGATATTATTCAAAATCGTCATATATTACCTTCTTGAGCATTGTGTTAAGGAAGAGTTGATTGAGATCTGTAAACCCGTAATGATAATTTTTGGTATATAATTGACAATATATGTTGAGAAATCGCAAAGTAAACCAATATTTGTTCAACATAACGTGACGTAGTGCAAAAAATCATATATAAACAATTTATATGTCTTTCGAGACCAATTTCTCAATAGTTTAAAGGAAAAAAATGAATCTTTTTCCATGGTTAACATCCAAGAATCTCATTTACAATTCCCTCCTCATAAATTGTACACATCTAATTTAGTGATCCGTCCACAAACAAATGACTATTTCTCGGATTACAAATTCAATGTCAAAGTGTTAAGTTTTAACCACTCTTATTTTCTCACTCTCGTTTAACCTTAGATGTTCAACTCTCCTATTCATATTCGTTGGGAGTTAAAACTCTGTTTTTATCGAACCTGGTGCTGAATCGAAAAAATTAGTGATTTATGGTTCAATGGTTAGTTATAATTATAGAATTGTTGGTTAATCTTGATAAAATCTTTCATGAATAATACCCTACTTTAGAACTAAAATTTTCACTAACTATAAACAACTTTAAATTCACATCATTTATTATCAAAATTAATAAATTTCTAACCAAATCATACGAACTCTATAATAAAAGAAATCACAAAAATTTATTAAATTCATGAGGGTGACAATTGATAGTGAACTATGTGAAGTTAACAAGGAGGCTAGGAAATGAAGAAAAGGAAGCAAAAATAAAATTATTCATTCAAACGGGATGATCTTAGTTTACTTTTTTTCTTATTTTTTCTGTCATTAAAATAGCGAACCAGTCAAACCGGGATGCCCAACCATTAAAAACCATTCATTCCATCCTCAAACATCCAATCAAATAGACTGAAGCACTACTGTAAACTGGTATGAAAGCTCTACTTATTGAGTCATTGATCTGGTTAGGTTCTTAAAAAAAAAAAAGTGGTCAACGCTCCATACAAGCATGAGAGTGATTTTGAAACCTCCACAACCAAAGGTTTGCCTTATATCGTTCAGTTCGATATCGTTTTCAGATTCCACATCAAATTCTTAACGATCGATATAAAGTATGAACAATATGACACTTCTTATTGACCTTTAATAATTCCAACTGATCTCTCTATCGCTAGGTTGCTGAGATCATTGCTAACAGAAGCAGCTTCTACTCGATTCGCAGCCTCCCTCAGTTTCATCAACTGCTGGACTTCGCCATGAATCAAATCCTACTCGGCATACTTAGCACGGGAGGCACAATGGATTTCACCAATCTCCCGATAAATTCGTTGAAGCTCGTCGTTCAACCGACGGTGATGAGCCCTCTCCTTCCCCTCGCGGATGCATGGGGAAAGCTCTTTCAGAACGCCCATGCTGCCGCCAAGCTTCACCGAAATGTCTTCGAGCATCGCCTGAGCCTCTCGACGCCTCGCAGCATACTCTTGTATCTTTACTAGGAGCCGCTGTTGGATAGTTTCGATTTTCTTTAAATTTTGAACAGATCACGGATTCGGTCTGAGGCTATTCTTCAACGATGATTAAGTCCATTAAGTACCAATTTGGGCGGATTTCTTTCGGGTCCATTTTTAGCAGATTCCAAATGGGTACCATCACAGATTTCGGGCGATTTTTCGGAAATGCGATTTTCTTCTGATTTTGGAGGCTACAGAACACGGATTCAGACCGAGGCTATTCTCCACTGATAATGAAGTCTATTGATCCTATCCTCCACCGATGATTAAGTCCATCAAGCACAGAATTTGGCCAATTAATTTTGGGATGGCATTATCGTAATTTTTTGGGAGATTTTTTGGGAAAGGCCATTTTCTTTGAATTTTGAAGGCTACAGATCACGGATTCGGCCTGAGGCTATTCTTCAACGATGATTAAGTCCATTAAGCACCGATTTGGGCGGATTTCTCTCGGGTCCATTTTTGGCAGATTCCAAAGGGGTACCATCACAAATTTCGGGCAATTTTTCCGAAATGGGATTTTCTTTCAATTTTGGAGGCTACAGAACACAGATTCAGCCCGAGGCTATTATCTAGTGATAATGAAGTCTATTAATCCTATTCTCCACCGATGATTAAGTCCATTAAGAACAGAATTTGGCCAATTATCTTTGGGATGACATTATCGTATTTTTTTGTGCGATTTTCTTAGAAAGGCCATTTTCTCTGAATTTTAAAGGATACAAATCACGGATTCGGCCTGAGGCTATTATTCAATGATGATTAAGTCCATTAAGCACCGATTTGGGCGGATTTCTTCCGGGTCCATTTTTAGCAGATTCCAAAGGGGTACTATCACAGATTTCGGGCGATTTTTCCGAAATGGGATTTTCTTTCGATTTTGGAGGCTACAGAACATGAATTCAGCCCGAGGCTATTCTCCAGTGATAATGAAGTCTATTGATCCTATTCTCCACCGATGATTAAGTCCATTAAACACAGAATTTGGCCAATTAATTTTGGGATGGCATTATCGTAATTTTTTGTGCGATTTTTTTAGAAAGGTCATTTTCTTTGAATTTTGAAGGATACAAATCACAGATTCGGCCTGAGGCTATTATTCAATGATGATTAAGTCCATTAAGCACCGATTTGGGCGGATTTCTTCCGGGTCCATTTTTAGCAGATTCAAAAGGGGTACCATCACAGATTTCGGGCGATTTTTCCGAAATTGGATTTTGTTTCGATTTTGGAGGCTACAGAACACGGATTCACCCCGAGGCTATTCTCCACTGATAATGAAGTCTATTGATCCTATTCTCCACCGATGATTAAGTTCATTAAGCACAGAATTTGGCCAATTAATTTTGGGATGTCATTATCGTAATTTTGTGTGCGATTTTTTTAGAAATACCATTTTCTTTGAATTTTGAAGGATACAAATCACGGATTCGGCATGAGGCTATTCTTCAACGATGATGAAGTCCATTAATCACCGATTTGGGCGGAATTCTTTCAGGTCCATTTTTAGCAGATTCCAAAGGGGTACCATCACAGATTTCGGGAGATTTTTCGGAAATGCGATTTTCTTCTGATTTTGGAGGCTACAGAACACGGATTCAGCCCGAGGCTATTCTCCACTGATAATGAACTCTATTGATCCTATTCTCCACCGATGATTAAGTCCATTAAGCACAGAATTTGGCCAATTAATTTTGGGATGGCATTATCGTAATTTTTTGGGTGATTTTTTTGCAAAGGCAATTTTCTTTGAATTTTGAAGGCTATAGATCACGGATTCGGCCTGGGGCTATTCTTCAACGATGATTAAGTCCATTAAGCACCGATTTGGGCGGATTTCTCCCGGGTCCATTTTTGGCAGATTCCGAAGGGGTACCATCACAGATTTCGGGCGATTTTTCCGAAATGGGATTTTCTTTCGATTTTGGAGGCTACAGAACACGGATTCAGCCCGAGGCTATTCTCTAGTGATAATGAAGTCTATTGATCCTATTCTCCACCGATGATTAAGTCCATTAAGAACAGAATTTGGCCAATTAATTTTGGGATGACATTATCGTAATTTTTTGTACGATTTTTTTGGAAAAGCCATTTTCTTTGAATTTTGAAGGATACAAATCACGGATTCGGCCTGAGGCTATTCTTCAAGGATGATTAAGTCCATTAAGCACCGATTTGGGCGGATTTCTCCCCGGTCCATTTTTGGCAGATTCCAAAGGGGTACCATCACAGATTTCGGGCGATTTTTCCGAAATGGGATATTCTTTCAATTTTAAAGGCTACAGAACACGGATTCAGCCCGAGGCTATTCTCCAGTGATAATGAAGTCTATTGATCCGATTCTCCATCGATGATTAAGTCCACTAAGCACTAATTTGGCCAATTAATTTTGTGATGGCATTATGGTAATTTTTTGTGCGATTTTTTTAGAAAGGCCATTTTCTTTGAATTTTGAAGGGTACAAATCACGGATTCGGCCTGAGGCTATTATTCAATGATGATTAAGTCCATTAAGCACCGATTTGGGCAGATTTCTTCCGGGTCCATTTTTAGCAGATTCGAAAGGGGTACTATCACAGATTTCGGGCGATTTTTCAAAAATGCGATTTTCTTCCGATTTTTAAGGCTACAGAACACGGAGTCACCCCCGAGGCTATTCTCCTGTGATAATGACGTCTATTGATCCTATTCTCCACCGATGATTAAGTCCATTAAACACAGAATTTGGCCAATTAATTTTAGGATAGCATTATCTTAATATTTTGTGAGATTTTTTTAGAAAGGCCATTTTCTTTGAATTTTGAAGGATACAAATCACGGATTCGGCATGAGGCTATTATTCAATGATGATTAAGTCCATTAAGCACCGATTTGGGCGGATTTCTTCCGGGTCCATTTTTAGCAGATTCCAAAGGGGTCCATCACAGATTTCGGGCGATTTTTCCGAAATGCGATTTTCATCCGATTTTGGAGGCTACAGAACACGGATTCACCCCGAGGCTATTCTCCACTGATAATGAAGTCTATTGATCCTATTCTCCACCGATGATTAAGTCCATTAAGCACAGAATTTGGCCAAGTAATTTTGTGATGTGGGCGATTTTTTTAGAAAGGCCATTTTCTTTGAATTTTGAAGGATACAAATCACGGATTCGGCCTGAGGCTATTATTCAATGATGATTAAGTCCATTAAGCACCGATTTGGGGTGATTTCTTCCGGGTCCATTTTTAGCATATTCCAAAGGGGTACCATCACAGATTTCGAGCGATTTTCCGAAATGCGATTTTCTTCCGATTTTGGAGGCTAAAGAACACGGATTCATCCCGAGGCTATTCTCCACTGATAATGAAGTCTATTGATCCTATTCTCCACCGATGATTAAGTCCATTAAGCACAGAATTTGGCCAATTAATTTTGGGATGGTATTATCGTAATTTTTTGTGCAATTTTTTAGAAAGGCCATTTTCTTTGAATTTTGAAGGATACAAATCACCGATTCGGCATGAGGCTATTATTCAATGATGATTAAGTCCATTAAGCACCGATTTGGGCGAATTTCTTCGGGGTCCATTTTTAGCAGATTCCAAAGGGGTACGATCACAGATTTCGGGCGATTTTTCTAAAATGCGATTTTCTTCCGATTTTCAAGGCTACAGAACACGGAGTCACCCCGAGGCTATTCTCTTGTGATAATGAAGTCTATAGATCCTATTCTCCACCGATGATTAAGTCCATTAAGCACAGAATTTGGCCAATTAATATTGGGATGGCATTATCGTAATATTTTGTGCAATTTTTTCAGAAAGGCCATTTTCTTTGAATTTTGAAGGATACAAATCACGGATTCGGCCTGAGGCTATTATTCAATGATGATTAGGTCCATCAAGCACCGATTTGGGCGGATTTCTTCCGGGTCCATTTTTAGCAGATTCCAAAGGGGTGCCATCACAGATTTCGGACGATTTTTCCGAAATGGGATTTTCTTCCAATTTTGGAGGCTACAGAACATTGATTCACCCCGAGGCTATTCTCCACTGATAATGAAGTCTATTGATCCTATTCTCCACCGATGATTAAGTCCATTAAGCATAGAATTTGGCCAATTAATTTTGGGATGTCATTATCGTAATTTTGTGTGCGATTTTTTTAGAAAGGCCATTTTCTTTGAATTTTGAAGGATACAAATCACGGATTCGGCCTGAGGCTATTATTCAATGATGATTTAGTACATTAAGCACGTATTTGGCCAGATTTCTTCCGGGTCCATTTTTAGCAGATTCCAAAGGGGTACCATCACAGAATTCAGACGGTTTTTCCGAAATGGGATTTTCTTTCGATTTTGGAGGCTGCAGAACACGGATTGAGCCCGAGGCTATTCTCAAGTGATAATGAAGTCTATTGATCCTGTTCTATATCGATGATTAAGTCCATTAAGCACAGAATTTGGACAATTAATTTTGGGATGGCATTATCGTAATTTTTTGTGCGATTTTTTTAGAAAGTCCATTTTCTTTGAATTTTGAAGGATACAAATCACGGATTCGGCCTGAGGCTATTATTCAATGATGATTAAATCCATTAAGCACCGATTTTGGGCGGATTTCTTCCGGGTCAATTTTTAGCAGATTCCAAAGGGGTACCATCACAGATTTCGGGCGATTTTTCCGAAATGGGATATTCTTTCGATTTTGGAGGCTACAGAACACGGATTCAGCCCGAGTCTATTCTCCAGTGATAATGAAGTCTATTGATCTTATTCTCCACCGATGATTAAGTTCATTAAGCACAGAATTTGCCAATTAATTTTGGGATGGCATTCTCGTAATTTTTTGTGCGATTTTTTTAGAAAGGCCATTTGCTTTGAATTTTGAAGGATACAAATCACGGATTCAGCCTGAGGCTATTATTCAATGATGATTAAGTCCATTAAGCAGCGATTTGGGCAGATTTTTTCCGGGTCCATTTTTAGCAGATTCCAAAGGGGTAATCACAGATTTCGAGCGATTTTTCTGAAATGCGATTTTCTTCCGATTTTGGAGGCTAAAGAACACGGATTCACCCCGAGGCTATTCTCCACTGATAATGACGTCTATTGATCCTATTCTCCACCGATGATTAAGTCCATTAAGCACAGAATTTGGCCAATTAATTTTGGGATGTCATTATCGTAATTTTTTGTGTGATTTTTTTTGAAAGGCCATTTTCTTTGAATTTTGAAGGATACAAATCACGGATTCGGCTTGAGGCTATTATTCAATGATGATTAAGTCCATTAAGCACCTATTTGGCCGGATTTCTTCCAGGTCCATTTTTAGCAGATTCCAAAGGGGTACCATCACAGATTTCGGACGATTTTTCCGAAATGGGATTTTCTTCCGATTTTGGAGGCTACAGAACACGGATTCAGCCCGAGGCTATTCTTAAGTGATAATGAAGTCTATTGATCCTGTTCTACACCGATGATTAAGTCCATTAAGCACAGAATTTGGACAATTAATTTTGGGATGGCATTATCGTAATTTTTTGTGCGATTTTTTTTGAAAGTCCATTTTCTTTGAATTTTGAAGGATACAAATCACGGATTCGGCCTGAGGCTATTATTCAATGATGATTAAGTCCATTAAGCACCGATTTTGGGCGGATTTCTTCCGGGTCCATTTTTAGCAGATTCCAAAGGGGTACCATCACAGATTTCGGGCGATTTTTCCGAAATGGGATATTCTTTCGGTTTTGGAGGCTACAGAAAACGAATTCAGCCCGAGGCTATTCTCCAGTGATAATGAAGTCTATTGAATCTATTCTCCGCCGATTATTAAGTCCATTAAGCACAGAATTTGGACAATTAATTTTGGGATGGCATTATCGTAATTTTTTGTGCGATTTTTTTAGAAAGGCCATTTTCTTTGAATTTTGAAGGATACAAATCACGGATTCGGCCTGAGGCTATTATTCAATGATGATTAAGTCCATTAAGCAGCGATTTGGGCAGATTTTTTCAGGGTCCATTTTTAGCATATTCCAAAGGGGTACCATCACAGTTTTCGAGCGATTTTTCCGAAATGCGATTTTCTTCCGTCTTTGGAGGCTAAAGAACACGGATTCATCCCGAGGCTATACTCCACTGATAATGAAGTCTATTGATCCTATTCTCCACCGATGATTAAGTACATTAAGCACATAGTTTGGCCAATTAATTTTGGGATGTCATTATCGTAATTTTGTGTGCGATTTTTTTAGAAAGGCCATTTTCTTTTAATTTTGAAGGATACAAATCACGGATTCGACATGAGGCTATTATTAAATGATGATTAAGTCCATTAAGCACCGATTTGGGTGGATTTCTTCCGTGTCCATTTTTAGCAGATACCAAAGGGGTACCATCACAGATTTCGGGCGATTTTTCCGAAATGCAATTTTTTCCCGATTTTGGAGGCTAGAGAACACTGATTCACCCCGAGGCTATTCTCCACTGATAATGAAGTCTATTGATCCTATTCTCCACCGATGATTAAGTCCATTAAGCACAGAATTTGGCCAATTAATTTTGGGATGTCATTATCGTAATTTTGTGTGCGATTTTTTTAGAAAGGCCATTTTCTTTGAATTTTGAAGGACACAAATGACGGATTCGGCATGAGGCTATTATTCAATGATGATTAAGTCCATTAAGCACCGATTTAGGCCGAATTCTTCCCGGTCCATTTTTAGAAGATTCCAAATGGGTACCATCACAGATTTCGGACGATTTTTCGGAAATGGTATTTTCATCCGATTTTGGAGGCTACAGAACACGGATTCAGCCCGAGGCTATTCTCCAGAGATATTGAAGTCTATTGATCCTATTATCCACCGATGATTAAGTCCATTAAGCACAGAATTTGGCCAATTAATTTTGGGATGGTATTATCGTAATTTTTTGTGCAATTTTTTAGAAAGGCCATTTTCTTTGAATTTTGAAGGATACAAATCACGGATTCGGCATGAGGCTATTATTCAATTATGATTAAGTCCATTAAGCACCGATTTGGGCGAATTTCTTCGGGGTCCATTTTTAGCAGATTCCAAAGGGGTAGCATCACAGATTTCGGGCGATTTTTCTAAAATGCGATTTTCTTCCGATTTTCAAGGCTACAAAACACAGAGTCACCCCGAGGCTATTCTCTTGTGATAATGAAGTCTATAGATCCTATTCTCCACCGATGATTAAGTCCATTAAGCACAGAATTTGGCCAATTAATATTGGGATGGCATTATCGTAATATTTGTGCGATATTTTCAGAAAGACCATTTTCTTTGAATTTTGAAGGATACAAATCACGGATTCGGCCTGAGGCTATTATTCAATGATGATTAGGTCCATCAAGCACCGATTTGGGCGGATTTCTTCCGGGTCCATTTTTAGCAGATTCCAAAGTGATACCATCACAGATTTCGGACGATTTTTCCGAAATGGGATTTTCTTCCGATTTTGGAGGCTACAGAACACTGATTCAGCCCGAGGCTATTCTCCAGTGATAATGAAGTCTATTGATCCTGTTCTCCACCGATGATTAAGTCCATTAAGCACAGAATTTGGACAATTAATTTTGGGATGGCATTATCGTAATTTTTTGTGCGATTTTTTTAGAAAGTCCATTTTCTTTGAATTTTGAAGGATATAAATCACGGATTCGGCCTGAGGCTATTATTCAATGATGATTAAGTCCATTAAGCACCGATTTTGGGCGGATTTCTTCCGGGTCCATTTTTAGCAGATTCCAAAGGGGTACCATCACAGATTTCGGGCGATTTTTCCGAAATGGGATATTCTTTCGATTTTGAAGGCTACAGAACACGGATTCAGCTCGAGGCTATTCTCCAGTGATAATGAAGTCTATTGAATCTATTCTCCGCCGATTATTAAGTCCATTAAGCACAGAATTTGGACAATTAATTTTGGGATGGCATTATCGTAATTTTTTGTGCGATTTTTTTAGAAAGGCCATTTTCTTTGAATTTTGAAGGATACAAATCACGGATTCGGCCTGAGGCTATTATTCAATGATGATTAAGTCCATTAAGCAGCGATTTGGGCAGATTTTTTCCGGGTCCATTTTTAGCATATTCCAAAGGGGTACCATCACAGATTTCGAGCGATTTTTCCGAAATGCGATTTTCTTCCGATTTTGGAGGCTAAAGAACACGGATTCATCCCGAGGCTATTCTCCACTGATAATGAAGTCTATTGATCCTATTCTCCACCGATGATTAAGTACATTAAGCACATAGTTTGGCCAATTAATTTTGGGATGTCATTATCGTAATTTTGTATGCGATTTTTTTAGAAAGGCCATTTTCTTTGAATTTTGAAGGATACAAATCACGGATTCGACATGAGGCTATTATTCAATGATGATTAAGTCCATTAAGCACCGATTTGGGTGGATTTCTTCTGTGTCCATTTTTAGCAGATACCAAAGGGGCACCATCACAGATTTCGGGCGATTTTTCCGAAATGCGATTTTTTTCCGATTTTGGAGGCTACAGAACACTGATTCACCCCGAGGCTATTCTCCACTGATAATGAAGTCTATTGATCCTATTCTCCACCGATGATTAAGTCCATTAAGCACAGAATTTGGCCAATTAATTTTGGGATGTCATTATCGTAATTTTGTGTGCGATTTTTTTAGAAAGGCCATTTTCTTTGAATTTTGAAGGACACAAATGACGGATTCGGCATGAGGCTATTATTCAATGATGATTAAGTCCATTAAGCACCGATTTAGGCAGAATTCTTCCCGGTCCATTTTTAGAAGATTCCAAATGGGTACCATAACAGATTTCGGACGATTTTTCGGAAATGGTATTTTCATCCGATTTTGGAGGCTACAGAACACGGATTCAGCCCGAGGCTATTCTCCAGAGATATTGAAGTCTATTGATCCTATTATCCACCGATGATTAAGTCCATTAAGCACAGAATTTGGCCAATTAATTTTGGGATGGTATTATCGTAATTTTTTGTGCAATTTTTTAGAAAGGCCATTTTCTTTGAATTTTGAAGGATACAAATCACTGATTCGGCCTGAGGCTATTATTCAATGATGATTAAGTCCATTAAGCACCGATTTGGGCGGATTTCTTCCGGGTCAAATTTTAGCAGATTCCAAAGGGGTACCATCACAGATTTCGAGCGATTTTTCCGAAATGCGATTTTCTTCCGATTTTGGAGGCTACAGAACACGGATTCACCCCGAGGCTATTCTCCATTGATAATGAAGTCTATTGATCCTGTTCTCCACCGATGATTAAGTCCATTAAGCACAGAATTTGGCCAATTAATTTTGGGATTTCATTATCGTAATTTTGTGGGCAATTTTTTTAGAAAGGCCATTTTCTTTGAATTTTGAAGGATATAAATCACGGATTCGGCATGAGGCTATTATTCAATGATGATTAAGTCCATTAAGCACCGATTTGGGCGGATTTCTTTCGGGTCCATTTTTAGCATATTCCAAAGCGGTACCATCACAGATTTCGGGCGATTTTTATAAAATGCGATTTTCTTCCGATTTTTAAGGCTATAGAACACGGAGTCACCCCGAGGCTATTCTCCCGTGATAATGAAGTCTATTGATCTTATTTTCCACCGATGATTAAGTCCATTAAGCACATAATTTGGCCAATTAATTTTGGGATGACATTATCGTAATATTTTGTGCGATTTTTTTAGGAAGGCCATATTCTTTGAATATGAAAGGATACAAATCACGGATTCGGCCTGAGTCCATTATTCAATGATGATTAAGTCCATTAAGCTCCGATTTGGGCGGATTTCTTCCGTGTTCATTTTTAACAGATTCCAAAGGGGTACCATCACAGATTATGGGCGGTTTTTCCGAAATGCGATTTTCTTCCGATTTTGGAGGCTACATAACACAGATTCTGCCCGAGGCTATTCTCCAGTGATAATGAAATCTATTGAATATGTTCTCCACCGATGATTATGTCCATTAAGCACAAAATTTGGACAATTAATTTTGGGATGGCATTATCGTAATTTTTTGTGCGATTTTTTTAGAAAAGCCATTTTCTTTGAATTTTGAAGGATACAAATCTCGGATTCGGCCCGAGGCTATTATTCAATGATGATTAAGTCCATTAAGCACCGATTTGGGCGGATTTCTTTCGGGTCCATTTTTAGCAGATTTCAAAGGGGTACCATCACAGATTTCGGGAGGTTTTTCCGAAATGCGATTTTCTTCCGATTTTGGAGGCTACAGAACACGGATTCTGCCCTAGGCTATTCTCCAGTGATAATGAAGTCTATTGATCATGTTCTCCATTGATGATTTAGTCCATTAAGCACAAAATTTGGACAATTAATTTTGGGATTGCATTATCGTATTTTTTTGTGCGATTTTTTTAGAAAGCCACTTTCTTTGAATTTTGAAGGATACAAATCACGGATTCGGCCTGAGGCTATTATACAATGATTATTAAGTCCATTAAGCACCGATTTGGCCGGATTTCTTCCCGGTCCATTTTTAGCAGATTCCAAAGAGGTACCATCAAAGATTTCGGACGATTTTTCCGAAATGGGATTTTCTTCCGATTTTTAAGGCTACATAACACGGAGTCACCCTGATGCTATTCTCCTGTGATAATGAAGTCTATTGATCCTCTTCTCCACCAATGATTAAGTCCATTAAGCACAAAATTTGGCTAATTAATTTTGGGAAGGCATTATCGTAATATTTTGTGCGATTTTTTTAGAAAGGCCATTTTCTTTAAATTTTAAATGATACAAATCACGGATTCGGCCTGAGGCTATTATTCAGTGATGATTAAGTTCATTAAGCACCGATTTGGGCGGATTTCTTCCGGGTCCATTTTTAGCCGATTCCAAAGGGGTGCCATCACAGATTCCAGGCGATTTTTCTGAAATGCGATTTTCTTCCGATTTTGGAGGCTACAGAACACGGATTCTGCCCAAGGCTATTCTCCAGTGATAATGAAGTCTATTGATCCTGTTCTCCATTGATGATTAAGTCCATTAAGCACATAATTCGGACAATTAATTTTGGGATGGCATTATCGTAATTTTTTGTGCGATTTTTTTAGAAAGGTTATTTTCTTTGAATTTTGAAGGATACAAATCACGGATTCGGCCTGAGGCTATTATTCAATGATTATTAAGTCCATTAAGCACCGATTTGGGCGGATTTCTTCCGGGTCCATTTTTAGCAGATTCCAAAGTGGCATCACAGATTTCGAACAATTTTTCCGAAATGGGATTTTCTTCCGATTTTGGAGGCTACAGAACACGGATTCAGCCCGAGGCTATTCTCCAGTGATAATGAAGTCTATTGATCATGTTCTCCACCGATGATTAAGTCCATTAAGCACAGAATTTGGACAATTAATTTTGGGATGGCATTATCGTAATTTTTTGTGCGCTTTTTTTAGAAAGGCCATTTTCTTTGAATTTTGAAGGATACAAATCACGGATTCGGCCTCAGGCTATTATTCAATGATGATTAAGTCCATTAAGCACCGATTTGGGCGGATTTCTTCCGGGTCCATTTTTAGCAGATTCCAAAGGGGTACCATCACAGATTTCGAGCGATTTTTCTGAAATGCGATTTTCTTCCGATTTTGGAGGCTACAGAACACGGATTCACCCCGAGGCTATTGTCCACTGATAATGAAGTCTATTGATCCTATTCTCCACCGATGATTAAGTCCATTAATCACAGAATTTAGCCAATTAATTTTGGGATGGCATTATCGTAATTTTTTGTGTAATTTTTTTGAAAGGCCATTTTCGTTGAATTTATAAGGATACAAATCACGGATTCGGCCTGAGGCTATTATTCAATGATGATTAAGTCCATTAAGCACCGATTTGGGCGGATTTCTTCCGGGTCCATTTTTAGCAGATTCCAAAGGGGTACCATCACAGATTTCGGGAGGTTTTTCCAAAATGCGATTTTCTTCCAATTTTGGAGGCTACAGAACACGGATTCTGCCCTAGGCTATTCTCCAGTGATAATGAAGTCTATTGATCATGTTCTCCACCGATGATTTAGTCCATTAAGCACAAAATTTGATCAATTAATTTTGGGATTGCATTATCGTATTTTTTTGTGCGATTTTTTTAGAAAGGCCACTTTCTTTGAATTTTGAAAGATACAAATCACGGATTCGGCCTGAGGCTATTATACAATGATTATTAAGTCCATTAAGCACCGATTTGGCCGGATTTCTTCCCGGTCCATTTTTAGCAGATTCCAAAGGGGTACCATCAAAGATTTCGGACGATTTTTTCGAAATGGGATTTTCTTCCGATTTTTAAGGCTATAGAACACGGAGTCACCCTGATGCTATTCTCCTGTGATAATGAAGTCTATTGATCCTCTTCTCCACCAATGATTAAGTCCATTAAGCACAGAATTTGGCTAATTAATTTTGGGAAGGCATTATCGTAATATTTTGTGCGATTTTTTTAGAAAGGCCATTTTCTTTGAATTTTAAATGATACAAATCACGGATTCGGCCTGAGGCTATTATTCAGTGATGATTAAGTTCATTAAGCACCGATTTGGGCGGATTTCTTCCGGGTCCATTTTTAGCCGATTCCAAAGGGGTACCATCACAGATTCCAGGCGATTTTTCCGAAATGCGATTTTCTTCCGATTTTGGAGGCTACAGAACACGGATTCTGCCCAAGGCTATTCTCCAGTGATAATGAAGTCTATTGATCCTGTTCTCCATTGATGATTAAGTCCATTAAGCACATAATTCGGACAATTAATTTTGGGATGGCAATATCGTAATTTTTTGTGCGATTTTTTTAGAAAGGTTATTTTCTTTGAATTTTGAAGGATACAAATCACGGATTCGGGCTGAGGCTATTATTCAATGATTATTAAGTCCATTAAGCACCGATTTGGGCGGATTTCTTCCGGGTCCATTTTTAGCGGATTCCAAAGGGTACCATCACAGATTACGAGCGATTTTTCCGAAATGCGATTTTCTTGCGATTTTGGATGCTACAGAAAACTGATTCACCCCGAGGCTATTCTCCACTGATAATGAAGTCTATTGATCAGATTCTCCACCGATGACTAAGTCCATTAAGAACAAAATTTGGCCAATTTATTTTGGGATGTCATTATCGTAATTTTGTGGGTGATTTTTTTAGAAAGGCCATTTTCTTTGAATTTTGAAGGATACAAATCACGGATTCGGCATGAGGCTATTATTCAATGACGATTAAGTCCATTAAGCACCGATTTGGGGGGATTTCTTCCGGGTCCATTTTTAGCAGATTCCAAAGGGGTACCATCACAGATTTCGGACGATTTTTCCGAAATGGGATTTTCTTCCGATTTTGGATGCTACAGAACACGGATTTAGCCCGAGGCTATTCTCCAGCGATAACGAAGTCTATTGATCCTGTTCTCCACCGATGATTAAGTCCATTAAGCACAGAATTTGGCCAATTAATATTGGGATGGCATTATCGTAATTTTTTGTGTGATTTTTTTAGAAAGCCATTTTCTTTGAATATTGAAGGATACAAATCACGGATTCGGCCTGAGGGTATTATTCAATGATGATTAAGTCCATTAAGCACCGATTTGGGCGGATTTCTTCCAGGTCCATTTTTAGCAGATTCCAAAGGGGTACCCTCACAGATTTCTGGCGATTTTTCTAAAATGCGATTTTCATCCGATTTTTAAGGCTACAGAACACGGAATCAGCCCGAGGCTATTCTCTTGTAATAATGAAGTCTATAGATCCTATTCTCCACCGATGATTAAGTCCATTAAGCACAGAATTTGGCCAATTAATTTTGGGATGGCATTATCGTAATATTTTGTGCGATTTATTTAGAAAGGCTATTTTCTTTGAATTTTGAAGGATACAAATCACGGATTCGGTCTGAGGCTATTATTCAATGATGATTAAGTCCATTAAGTACCGATTTGGGCGGATTTCTTCCGGGTCCATTTTTAGCAGATTCCAAAGGGGTGCCATCAAAGATTTCGAGCGATTTTTCCGAAATGCGATTTTCTTCCTATTTTGGGGGCTACAGAACACTGATTCACCCCGAGGATATTCTCCACTGATAATGAAGTCTATTGATCCTATTCCCCACCGATGATTAAGTCCATTAAGCACAGAATTTGGCCAATTAATTTGAGGATGGTATTATCGAAATTTTTTGTGCAATTTTTTTAGAAAGGCCATTTTCTTTGAATTTTGAAGGATACAAATCACGGATT